GCAGTCATCAAAGCCAGGCCAAGCCATTAAGCCCGTTCTTGGCGAGATTCTGACCAATCACAGGCGTCCCAGCTACGTGTCTCTGGTTCCCAGGACGCGGGCTCGGGCCTCGGGATGTTCTGCTTCAAGCATGATAGCCCCGGCCGGTTGTCTGGTTCCCTCCCGCTCGTCAAACGCCAACATGGTCATGAACGGTTGCAAGGGTATCAGGCATCAGTTATCAGATTTTGCAAGTTTATGCGTACGGCATCGTCACAAGAGGCTTGGTGTTTCGATGTCTCACACATCCATTTAGAGAGGTATCAGCAACACACACTCTGCCGACGCGGCAGCTGGGCATTGGACGTGCAGGACGCGATCTTGAAGATCGAGCTCACTGCGCCGTTGTGGGGAGTGCAGAGGCACGGCACGCCTCGAAGCCACCATGTCTGGGGTTACGCCTTGAACGTTGCAACGATTTCCGCCTTCTGCAGCCTTGTTGCATATCCAGCCGAGGCGGCGTTGCCTCGGACGAATCCTTTTGATCAGGCCGACAGTCGGCCTCGCCAGACACCTCCTGTCTGTTGATCCAGCTGCTCTGCGGAACCGAGCCGTGCCGAACCCTTCTCCTGGAGTCGACGCCCTGGTAGACAGCGGTAGACAGCTGGGTCAAACCCACCGACTCCACGTCGAGTCGACCAGGGTGAATGGCAGCTCATTTGACATGTTGCTTTTTCTCGATGTTGGCAACGACGGGGAAGGCATTCGAATCCTGCTTCAACTCCGCCAAGAAGGTCAAGGTTCGCGTTAGTCTCACTCTGAATCCGCCACAGCCGGGGAACAGGATGGAAACCGTGTGCGGGTCGGCCCTAGACCAGCCATGAGTTAGTTTCCGAGGCGTCGGGTTGAGTTTGAGAGAAGAAGAAGAGACAACAAGAGAGAAAACAAGGACGATCCGGTAAACCGAAGGTTGTTGGAGATGGATGCGTGCGGGAAATTGGCTCGGACTTTTCACTGCCGAGCGTCACATCGACAACAGATGACTGATACTGCAGCCACACTGACGCAGTATGCATCAAGGACGCAGACGCAGGATACTGAAGAATATTGCTTCAGAAAGGCGTCTCTGAAGAATCTTTGGACACGCCGTCTTGCGGATGGATTTGTTCAGTACACGACACTAGGCTAGTTGATGCAGACCGCTCTTTGACAGCAAGCCTACGACACGGTATCGACAAGACGTGCAGCTGGCAGATGGAGCAACGATGCAATTCTCGCAGGGCCTCGAACTGGGAGGCCTTCGGTTATTCCTTTGGTGTGGCCCAGGCTACAGGATTTTTCTGAGTCGATGTCTAGATAGGAAAACTCTGCCGCTGGAAGCGCGATGGGAGAGCCCATGATACACACAGACACACACTCTCTCTCTCACTCAACCCATGGGATTTGCACCTGTCGACCCCAGACTTGGCAAGGAATTAGCAAGACCGCCACGGCTTCAGGGCGCCCGTCAAACAGGTTGACAACCCCCCCGCCGGCCGGCATCTTTGGCTGCATATGCTATCGGGTCATGGGCGGACTAATGAGTCTGCCGGCGTCGACCACTACTGCGTGATGCCTGCGGGAGGAGCTTCACGTGAGGGTCGGATGGGACATGGTCATGATTGACGGGAGTCAAAAGGTTCTGGACCCCCCTCAGGATATAATAAGTTGAACGTCACAGTCAGGCGATTGTCTGTTCGCAGCGACACCGTGGTGGCTTTACAATCAATGGAATGTCTAGGCCAAGGAACACGCACCGCACCGCGAAGTTGCGCCTCAAATGGTAGGTACAGCCGCGAGAGATATCAACTAACGTTCAATACCCTGGAGCGCAGAAGGACGATTCACAAGGATCAAGACTTAGTGGCCCGGGGTTAAGGAAGCGGCTGATGGCTTGGGCGAATGAAGGAGGAACAAACGCAGATTATGACTCTATTTGGGAGACCTGGACTGCCCTTAGGCCGCCAGACGAAGGGCTGTGCGATACACGGGCACACCAGAGAGCGACAATGATCGAGAAGGGAAAGTTGATAACCCTCATCTGCGGGATATCGAGGTATAGGTTAGTAGGCAGTTCAGTTCAGTTGGATGGCAACAGTAGCAGTCAGTCAGTTTGCAGGCAATGGAAGCGACATTGGATTGCAACGTCGGCCGTTGACTCCGGCTCCGCGTGTCGGAGCGACACAGAAGAACGTTTCAACAAAGGAACCCCAAGCTCGTTGTTTCAGGCAGTCGAGAAAGATGCCCTGGTCAGCAAGAGAGAGTGTGTGTGTGACCCTGTCTGCACGCCCTCGGGCCATCGCCATGATACTCACTGACAGACGACCTTGCTCAGGGGCGCGATTTCGATTCTCGGCCGACGGACGGAGAAATGCTCCAGCTATTGTGCGCCCATCCATCATTTACCGTTGATCGGTGGGCATTGATTGCCCAACTGCGGACGGCGAACCCCTGGTCATTGCGAGGTCCTTGTCTCGCACCAAGAACGGCGGTACCGGTCAGTTGGGAATTTGGCGAGATGACGCAGCCTAGCTACCAGGCAAGGAATTTCGTAAACAGCCCAGCTTGTCATGGTCTTTGCTTTCTCCCTCTCTTTCTCCTTGCCTCGTCATGGAGGGTGAGCGTTGCATTCCTAGGTGCAAAAACGTGCCTCGGGGGGGGGGGGGGGGCTTGGACAGGGGTGTGCACGCCATCTTTACTTGTGCGTTCCTTTTTTTTTTCTCTCTGTCTTACTTGAGAAAAAGGGGATGGGAATTTCAGATGGCGGTTTGATGATCTGGACCAAAAAGCCATGTCAGATGGAGTTTTGGCCCTTGATCGTCTAAGATCCAAAACCTCCATGTCTCCCCCTTGACTCCTCCTTGGTGTTGGGTTAGGCATCAAGATCTTCCCAAGCAAAATGTCCCGAGACAACGGCTTCAGTGGGAACAAGAGGCTCCACCGACGTGAAGCTCTGGGCCAAACAACATCATGGCCACGCCGTCGGTGAAAGCTTAATCGTTGCCAATCCGCCGCGCGCGCGCGTGTTTCATGGCCTGGGACTGGGCAGGACTGGATTGGTACTTGCCTGCGCCCCCCGGCATTTCGGACCCTTGGATATTCCCGGATCAACGCCCCCCTTGGAGTTGGAGCCCGTGGGCCATTTCATCGACTTGGGACTTGGGTTCCAACAAGACCCTTTGTCAGCTAACCTGCTGCCCCATACATACCATGCCATGCCCTGCCCATTCCATTCCATCATTCATGGACATGGACAAGGTCAAGGTCCTTGGACCATGGCCCCGGCGTCTTCTTGAGCTGCCGCAGATTGCGGCATGCCCGTGATGAAGATCACTGGGGTTGGTTGGCCTAGCGAGGCGAGAATAAGGTTTCCCAGGTGCCATGCGAGTTATTCGCAATCACACCACCGGCCGTCACTTGTCAGATTTTCCTCAACTGCCTTCCCTTCCTTTAAGGGAGGGGGGTTTCGACTGCATGAATTGGGGATGGGAACTTGAGGTGGCAATGCCATTGGCGATGGAGTTGTCTCCGTATTCGCTTGGGTGGGAAATGCCGGGCCTTCCAAAGGGTCCTCCTTTGACGATCGATGTCCTTTTTGAGGCAAATTTGTCTCAAACGGCAGACAAGAGAGAATACTCGTTTGCAAATAACAAGATAATTCCTTTGGTTTGCTCGCGAGAGGGGAGTGGATAATCGTCAAAGCGTCTCGTCTTGGGATTGAGTTTCGGCCGTTGAAGCACGGCTCGGGGTGCGCATCTCGGGACATGCTTTTTTTTTTTTTTACCGACATGAGTATGGCCATGATGCCCTTCCGTTTCAAGGATGCTGTGAGTGAATTCACGCCTCGTCATCGGTCATCATCATACCGAGCTTGAATCCATCTACCGTGCTCATCCGGCACATCGACTCCCGAAGTTGATGGATGCGACTTTACTCAAGACGCTGTTGAAACTCAAAACCCCTCTCACAATCAAGTCTCATCGCGTGGGAAGAATAACAAAAACTGCACCCCCTCTCGGTGAGGCGAGGCGTGTGACCGACGACGGGACTTGTATGCCCGTTTTTTTTCTCGCTCAGGGTAGCACCCAACGGCTGTCTCCGAGGGAGAACCTAGGCTTCTAACGGGGTGCTGAGGTCCAGTTAAACACCACAGAGAACCCCTTTGGCCCTCCCCCCGGATGCCGGATGACCGTTCCCCTAGCGGGCGCCTTTCGGTCTTGTTGTTTGTTGTTGGTCGTGGCGCCCGGGGCTATCATCTAAGGAAACGGGAGCCGAGATGCATGTCCGCCAGAGTTGGCTTGGCGTGGAATATGCGAGAGCTCAAGGTTTGCAATGGTTGTTGTTACAGGTGTGGTTGTTGCAGCTATTCAGAGATGCATCGACCAGGCATCAAGGTTTAGACCACCAAGTTGTATGCTTGCAGCAAGGCAGGAAGCTATGGCCTTTGAGATCGAAAACTTGTCTGCAGCCCTACGAAGCACTGCGAAGGTTTAGATCTACGTCTGGGAACTGGAAGATCATGTTCCGCACTATCCGGGAATATACATTTTGACTCTTGCATGGTGGTTTGAGTGAAGATCATCCATCGGGTTGGGTTGGGCATGAATGCACACGCGTGTTGCGAATTTGCCACAACTCCTAAAAGGCCAAGGAGTTTGCTACTAATAATATTACTTTGAAATCTGTGCCAATGTTTCGTTGAGGACGCCACCTCAGCCGAGGAGTTCTCTGGATTACACCGCCGAGTTCCCACTTTGATGAGTTGTTGACCGCTTCACATGAGCATTTGACCTTGATAACACGCCCCGATGACGAGATGGTGAAACTAACCATAGGAATGTATTAGATTACACTATTCCGTTCCTTCCAGGAGGCCTCAACGGCAAAACTGGGATGAAAGTCTATGCCAACAGTGTCCATACGCGAGAAAGCTCCCCTGAGTAACCACCGAACCGAACCCATCGATTTCAATACTGTTCCCCCTACGAGTCCAACAGTGGCTCAATCTCGCTGCGGAGTTCAACGAGATGCTTGGCCAAAGCCTCCTCTCGATCTCTAAACGCCTGGAAAGATACATCCACAACACCGGCAAACATTGACGCCGCGTTCCCAGCCCCAGACCAGCGCGCCGTTGATCCTCTCAGCCGGCAGAGGAACTCTTCTGCCAGCTGGATCGTCAGGGACATTTGGAGAAAGGGCGATGACTCGACTGCAAAGGAACCCACGGTCACGGCGGGGAGTTTCCAGAAGCTAAAGGTCGCGCCCGAGTCTGCTCGGGACAACTCTGCGTGGACGAGGCTAAAGACTCTCTGATACATGTCTAGAAGACGAACATATGTTGAGAGGATGAACATGGCGTTGCCTGGGTCTGTCCCGTCGATGGTTGAGTGATGACCCCTGACGCCGTCCCTATCTGGCGTGTCGGTAGGGGGCTTCTCGAGTATGTCGGCGACTCTCCGGGTCAGCTTGAACATGTCCTCGATGGGGAACCCTTGACTCCTGAACCTCTCGTCTACAGGACGACCCAGAGACGGACCGTTCTGAGCCACCTCCTGCGGAGAGGGCAGGGCGGACGCGAGGTCCAGGAGGCGGGCGTTGATGTCGGACAGCTGCGCCATCCAGTGAATCGGGGGCGCTTCGGGGTGCAGCGGAGACAGATGGTCAGCGTCGTGCCTCAGGGTGATCTGCCTAGGCCGTTGCTTGGTCCGGGGCCGCGAGCGCTTGTCAGAGCTGCCGTGCTCAGGTACACAGCTTCTGCTCCTCAGGGGTTGTTGTTGTAGCTGTAGAGGCACAGCAGAGGGGACAGAGTCGACGACACGATTGGCGTCACCTTGAAGCAGAGGAGGAGGCTCTTGAGGAGGTTGATAAGCCTCGACGGCGAGCCTCGGATTCCAAGAGTCGGCAAAGACGTTTGCCGGAGGATGATGAACCAGATGAGGATCGTTGACTACTACTCCTCCCGGGAGCTCAGGATGAGATAAGTGCTGAGGAAAAAAGGCCAGCTGGTCAAAGGTGAAGCCAAAGTCGCCGGCGTCGAGGACGGGATCGGGTGTGACGGGGACATGACTCTTGGACGCCGCCGCCAGGACGCCCGTATGAGGTACTATTGGCACTGCTTTTCGGCAAAGGGGAAGTGAGTCGGTTGATTCAGATGGGCAGACTGGTGAACTCATAGGAAGAAGGGGATGGCACGTACCCGCGTCGGGTGGGACAAGACTCGCATCTCCTTGGCTATCGGTCCTCCGGCGTTTCGGAGAGCGGCGTCCGGTCGGAGCTGGAGTTGAGGAGGTAGAAAGTTGTTGTCCCTGAAGATGATTCGAGTTGTTGTCGACAAGTTGCTGCTGCTGTTGTTGTTTCCTATACCTCAGGGAAGGACTCGACTTGCACTCGGTCTTGAGTCGGACACAGCGCTCGCACGGCTCATCGTTGTATCGCTTGCAGCTGAGCTTCTGCGCGTGACATCGATCGCAGGCCTTGCGGATCACCGTCTCGGCCATGGTCATAGCCCCCGTTCGAGGTGGGGGGAGAGACGAGTGGGGAAGACATGGGAGAAGGTGTTTAAGAAGAGTAGAACGCCGAATGGACCCCATGGCTTGAAGACGATGCTATCCCATGTTTCTTTGAGACAGGGCATATCATTCCTTCTGCCGGTGGGACAGCATCTCTTTCCCTTCTCTTCTCTCAGGGGGGAAAATGGGAAAGCCTCATGCATGGACTCGCCTAACCATGCTGCGCGCTTGCCAGTGAGGCGGTTCCGATGCTGTCGCTATCCTTTCTGTGAGACATGAAGGATCCGGTTTAATGGATCGGCGTCTAAGGACAAGTGCCGAGTTGTATTTGCTGAAAGCTGAGTCAAGTGACTTTACTTTACAACATGAACCCCTAATTGCTCAGAAGAAACCCTGCTCTAAAGGAATCTTTTCTTTACTTCATCTCCTTGAGTCAATCTCATATCCATATCTTTACAGAGGTAGCGCCTCATCATCTCGCTGTCGTGACACAGCCCGCACGCCTTGTACAACACTCCAAGGACTCGAGAAAGCCGTTGTGTAACCCCATCTCCAGGCACGATCCAGTCCCCTGGCACTTGTTCTCTTTCACCGCCGGGGACGCGGAGAGAGCAAGATATATTAACCAAGGCCAAGTGCATCATAGTATTTCATTGGGGGATTGTTGGCGACTTGCATGTTTTATATAACATGTGCATTCGGAGGGGCGGGATCTGGTGCATTATCAAAAAAGGAATCAGATCGACGATAGTAACACAAAGACACGATATTTAAAAAAGCAATATTTTGCACGTGCTCCCATTTACACAAAAAGCAATCTCTTGAAAGACAAATAACATGACTTTTTTTCTTTTCTCCACACAAAAGCGACTGTTTATCAATCGGTTACATCCGATCTCGTCCACCACCACACCCCCTGGTTCTTCGCAAGGAACCACCTTGCATTCCCCCACACTGGATCAGCATTGCTTTTCTTCCCCGTACATTGGGTCCCCTTTTCTAAGTGGTTGCATACCTAGCATGTAAAGTGAGGTGCTGGATCTTGTTCACGTCCTTTGTTACGGCTGGGGAGATTGTCTTGAGGTTCATACGTTCCCTTGAGTCAATGATACCTACACAGGAACAGATATTTAAATGTCAATATCATGAGCTCAGAACATCACCTCCTTTTCAACAGAGGTAACAAGCAGTGGGTGGTCGTTCTTGTCGCCCATCTACGGGAAGAAGTGGATGTGATGACGCTTGGTGGCGACATGACCGTAAACCTGAAAACTTCTCTCGCAAAAATTTCTTGATTTATACGAGAATAGGCAAAGGCTGCGAGACCAACATCTTATCCTCTCATCTGAAACCCGAGACGTCTGTCTCACGAGAAAAAGGGTCTACTCATCTCATATGAGACGGTTCACTTATGACTCTAGACACATATTTCTAAAAATAATAACATTCATTTTTCGTTCGAGATGGGTGGTATCTAGGATATACGCTTTCTACTCTTTGGAAAACAAAATTCGGTGTAGTCAAGAAAACCACCCGCTATAGAAAAGCTAGGATTCCAACGCCTTCGAAATGCCAGATGAACAAATAACAAAGTATTCGCAGTAAAAAGACAAGACAGAAAAGAAAACCCTGACATCGTCATCCTGAATCCTAGCGTGTATCCCATTCTCTTTTTAAACATCCCAGTTTCTCGTTGTATCGTTCTAGGAAATTAGACATCTCCAGTCTTGAACAGCTCGAGGTGCTGGCGCTCGCGGGGAACACCCTTCTCCTCGAGCCAGGTCCTCACGCCAACCATCCAGTCCTCAGGACCGCAGATGAAGTACTCTGCCTCTTGGTTGTTGAGGTGGAGGAGGTTCTCCTTCTCGAGGCGGGCGAGGTCGATCTGGCCCTCAAAGTCAAAGGCGTCGCCGTCCTTGGCGTCCTCGAGGAAGATCTTGGCCGTCACGTTGTCGTGCTGCTTGGCTGTCTCGAGAATGTGAGGCACGAAGCAAGTAGATCCTGAGTAGCGGGCGCCGTGGATCCAGGTGATGGGTCGTGAGGCAGTCTCGGAGGCGAGGACGGAGTCGTAGATGGAGACGAGAGGAGTAGCGCCGACACCAGCAGAGACGAGAACCAGGGGCTTCTTGGCGGCAGAGGTGTCGGCAGGGTTGACAAAGAATTCTCCGCAGGGAGGGCTTAGTTCAACCTCGTCCCCGACGTTGTAGCGCTTGTGCAGGCGGTTAGAAACAAGACCGGCGATCTTGCCAGCGGCCAAGTCCTGGATGGAGGGCTCCTCGGTGGGACCCTCAAGCTTGACGCTCACGCGGAGATGGTTGCTGCCAGGGGCTTCGCTGAGACTGAACTGTCGGCTCTGGAGGAGACCGTCGAGCTCAGGGATGGGAATCTGCAGGCTGACGTACTGGCCGGGGAGGAACTTGGGCAGGGGCTTGCCATCAAGGGCCTCAAGATAGAAGCTGGTAACGGCGTCGTTCTCAGCCTCCTTCTTGACAATCTTGAACTTGCGCCACGAGTTCCACTCTCCAGCAGCCTCGTACAGATCGCCTTCTCGCTTGATAAAGATGTCGGCCAGCTGACCGTAGGCGGCGATCCAAGCCTCCTTGATCTCGGTGGTCAGGGCAGAGCCGAGAACCTCACCAATAGCACCAATCAGATGCGTACCGACAATTTGATACTGCTCAGGCTTGATAAAGAGCGAAACGTGCTTCTGAGCAATACGCTCAACAGCATGGGACAGCTTGCCGAGGTCGTCGATGTGGGTTGCGTAGGCGAGGACAGAGTTGGCGAGGGCGGCCTGCTGAGCACCCGTCTGCTGGTTGCGCAATGAGAAGTAGTTCTTGAGCTCGGGGTGAGCGCCGAGCATGTTGCGGTAGAAGGTGGTGGTGATGGTCTTGCCGTGCTCCTTGAGGATGGGAGCCGTCGACTTGACGATGGCGACCTGAGCTTGTGTAAGAGCCATTGTGAGGGTGTATGTAGTTTATGAGAGGAATCTAAAGGAGGAGAGGGGGGAAACTGTATGTTATAAAAGACGAATTGCCTCTTGTTGATGTACTGAATATATCCCAGAAACAACGACGTCAAGGTGGCCAGCTCTCGGGGTCTTTATATCTGGGTCCGGAGAACCAGTCAAGGCGCGGAGAAAGGCCATTACAATTCTCGTTCTCCATCGTGAAACATCATGCCATGAGTTAAAAAAAAAAAAAAAGTATAGGAATTTCTCACGGGTCCGAACACCGCGCACCGGAGGTCCCCTTGGTTCCTGGATCACCGCCCGATCTTCATAGTGGTCTGATGCTTGTTGGACGGAGCATCTCCGCGGACGACACGGCCGTGGCTGCCGTGCACCTCCCGAGTTTTGAGCCGGAGGATTTTTTTCTACTGCGCTCTTTTGCGGTTTGCGCGGGACCTGTTCATGCCAATTAGGCCGAATTGATTTAATCTATGCTGTTTCAGTTAATGTCGCTTTACCCAAACTCCTGGGAATTGAAGGAACCAGGTTGCAATTCCATCCCGTCGCCCCGCCTACTTACAGCACGTATGCCTCTGGTGTAAGCGTTGACAAAACGCCCCATGTCATTAGTTTAGACGCGAGGCCACGCGGTGCTCCCATGTACATTTGCGTCAATCATGGCCAAGATGCTTAATTGACAGCTTCAGCTCCAGGCGTCTACTTGCCAAACAAGGAAATAGTCTACCAGCAGTTTCTTGCGGAGAAGCGGAAATGTCAACGGCTGGCTTTATTTTTGAACGCCACGAGCCTGGGAAGGAACAATTTCGTGACACACAGTGGGCTGACACTTCACCAACAAGCTTCGGATCAACCCGGGGGACTCGAAGATTCATCGGAACGGGTATAACGGGGGGCTCGAGAATCAAGATCTCGCTGAGCCTCCCAAGGTCCCCTGACTTGCCAGAGCCCCATGTGACGAATTACCCTTTGCTTCAATGGGTTTGGTCGCCGCTCGTTTAATCCACGCGCGAATGGTTTTTGTAGCATTCATAAGCCAGGCTTCCCCGGAGATGTCGATTCTGCATGCTTGAGAACGGGGTCCAGGTGGGTCGTCATGAATTGTGATTCCTCACTTTGACGCCTGTTTTTAGCATCATGGCCGAGTTGTTCAGCGTTGCGCAGCTTGGTCAGTCATGAAGTAATCCTTGGACAATTGGATGCGGATCCAAAATGGATGAGCCGAGTTGAGAAGCCCTGAATGTGGAATGGTTCCGCACTGAGAATTGCTCGTCTCCTGTTGGTCAATGCCTGCTTTACTGCTCGCCAAGGGTTAATCGAATTCCACAAATTCCCATGTCAATTTCTGCAATGAAACACATTGGATGAACTGAACTCCACACTGACAGCGCAGAGCTTATAGAGTTGTTTTTCGTCGCGACTTCCAACAACAAGAACCGGCCGCGTGGCCTAATGGCTAAGGCGCTAGATTTCGGTCTTTGAGCCCCGAATTCTCTAGAGATTCCAGGTTAGTCTCAGCAACAGCTCGCCGCACCAACATCAGTACTAACATCATCTCAAGGTTCGACTCCTGGCGTGGTCGATTGATCAGCTCCTCTTTTTTTTGCTTTTTGTCAGTCTGATTTATTCAAGGAATAGGTGTTAAACATTGATGCGATATGCGAATGGTGGTGGTGGTTGTTAAATCGTTGCAACATTGATCGGCCGTTGATGTCAGCTTCATCCACCACGACCACCCAGCCCTTGCCAACTGAACTACCGTGATCGTACGATCAAGCTCTTCTTCGTCACTCTTCTTAGTGCACGCATTGGCGCCTTGCATCACTACTCGTTCTGGCCCAGTTGCTGTTGCAATAATTCATGACATCACTACGTCGCCTGCTCTGACCTGTCGACTCCAAAGGTAAGATGAAACCGTTGATCTCTCGTATATTCAGGCACTATAAGAATTCGCTCGTCATTCGCTCTTCGTCGCTGCCCAGATCGCAAACCACAACAACCACGTATACCGTGTAAATCCTCTCCATCCTTGTTATCACGCCGATCTCAGTCAAGCCTCCTCGCTCGGCTTGGGCTTTGGCGGACGACCCCATCCTCTCCAATATGAGGAGGTGGGATGCTGGACTTGATCAATTGTTCGGCACCCAGGGTTCCAGTGGTCATCCTCCCCTCCAAACGGCCACATGGCGATGAAGAGGACCTCGTCTGGTGGACATGGCTGTAACTGTGTGAAGGTTGTCCACCCCAGAGTGTCGACCAGTTGCTGCAACATGGCTCGGCCAGTCTTGACTGCATACTCCAACTTGTCCTCGCTCTCGGCCTCCCTATTCATCTTGTAATCGTTCGAAGTCGAACCGGACGCCTCTTGCAACAGGCTCCGAACCGAAAAGAGACTGTGACAAACATGTCCCATAACGGTATCGATGGACGTGTGGATCAAGTCATCTTCGAGACTCCATCGCTCTGCAGTGACCAATGCTGGTCTGAGATAATGCTTCCTGCAACGCTCGATGGCATCCGCGGTCCGGTTCCTTTCGAGCTCTGCTACGCTCACATCGTCAGGCAACGGCAGTGCGTCGAACCAAGTCAGTGTAGCAGCCTCGATCTCGTTGACGAAGTGTTTCGAAGGTAGTGATTCGTATAACATCGTGGCTAGCCTTTTGCTGTATCGACTCACGATGAGGTCGGCCAACGCTTGCCAGTTGACCGTGAACCTTCGGGGCGAAGTGGCGACGTCTTTCAAGTATGCCTTGAGGTCTTTCAAATCGTCCAAGTCTGCCGCTCCGAGTCGCATGAGATCTGGTCGCTTGGCATCGGTGCTGGAAATGTTGATGGGAAAGAAGAGTCCTGATACCATTGACGAGAAGTCGATCCGCAGTCGATCACCTCCAAGGTCATTATATCGCTCCCCAGCAGCTCTTGCCCATTGGAAAGCCGACAGTTGACGCATCCCGATGGTGTTTTCCATCATCTCTGTTCGGGTCATGCTGACGAGGTTCAGGCCGGTGGTAAAGTTGCACTGAATAACCTCGAATCCTATTTCCACCCGCATCAAGCCATCATAACCCCATTCAGTGGCTATATCGCACAGATCGACTGCTCGTGCCCATTCGTCCCACACGCCGTCGTTGTGCTTGGTGTTATTCTCGCGAAGTACAAGATCCTGAGAGTCCATAGTTCCCATCGCGGTCTTGCCAGCGCTCATGCCGTCGATTAGAAGCAGCTTCAGATCGCGTTTCGCCTGATACGTATGGAGGTATCCGCGGTAGTTTTTGGGTTGATCGTCATCGTCTCCATCGCCAGGGCCATGTCTTTCGATGTCATCACCGTTCAGATCATGCTCCCTACGGCGTCGCAGCTCTTGGCGAGGCTCTTCAGGCTCCGGCTGAGGTTTCCACCCATGAGGTTGTTTACCTGGCGGAGGAGGCCGGGGACGCCCGTCGCCAGGCCTAGCTCTGAACGAGGGCGCAAAGTTCTCGGCGTGCTCAATCTCGAAGGCCAGCCACTCAGGCCCTGTCGGTGTGACATTCTGCCGAGCACCATGATAGAAAAGGGTGCCCTGGGGAACAATGGCTGGGAAAAAGCCGAAGCCGTTGTGATACAGAGATGAGCCCCATTGTCGACCTGCAGAATGTATGGCGTTGAAGACCATATGCGCCCGCTCTCTGGCCGACGCCTGGTCCGGTTGAGTACGCTCGATATCGTCGCTTTCGCCGCTCACGACCCTGAGAACCAGGGACAAAGCAGCCAGAAAACCAAGCGAAGGTTTCGGAACCATTTTGTTCAATCCTGTGAAAAGCCAGTTTTCGTTAGCAGGACTTCTCTCGTCCGCGGGAACTCGAGGTCAAGATGTCCCCGTCAGTAAGAGCGCATTTTACTGATGGTGGTGTTTAGAGCCGCGCGTCCGTCAGGTCAGACCGACCCCGGTGCGACGCCCACTTTCCGCGATCGGTCGTCGGAAACCGATCTTATCGGCGTGGTGGAGATGGCGGCGCTGATCAACAGATTGATAACAAGAGGTTGCGACAACATCTCAAGAAGCTCGTAACGATTGCTGAGAAAAGTCAACGGGATAGCTTCGCTGCGTCCAGAATGTCTGGCGCAATCAACCTGAAATTTGCGACATGTGAAAACGCATACTTGCGCCGTTCAAAAGCAATGCGCAAGTCGTCTTTCTGCGATTGAACGCTGCGCGACCCAACACAAAGCAGTGCGATGCAATGCGACTCGAGTCTGCAACCTTGGTGTTGCACAGTCGAGCAGAGTTTCTCATCTCATGAGGGCGTCGCGAGACAAGGAGGCCGCGCCAGGTTGAGGGTTGGCATGGGATAGAGCACGGCCACGTGTGCTCATGCCATTGACACCTAATTGAATCAGGGATTTCAACAGAGACACCATGACCACCCATGAGAGCCGTGAAGCATGAGGGATGGAGCTTTCTGCAAGCATCCACCGAGCAAGGATATTCAGCAAGGGCCCGCGCTGGTACCGGTACGTCGATCGTGAATTCATGGGTTCCACCGCTCTATGTAGCTCCCACGGTGCAAGCTCGAACTCGAGCTGGCGTTATCGACAGAGGCGCGCGCGGCACCCGGGATGCACTTCCGTGCGCGCCTTGATCCCATCGAATGGCCTCGTCCCACGGCTTCTGAGTCGCGGCAGATCCAATGGGCATGCCGCAGAGGCACATGCGCGATGCTGGTGGTGGGATGATTGGCGCAGCATCACCAACCCAACACGGTTCACCGCCGGTCAGCGGTCAAGGGTTCGCAAACACTCGGTAGTAAGAAGTGAAGGTCATCAAGGCTCATGCGGTGACTTATGGCAGTTCGGTGAGATGGGTTGCCCATGAGCCGCCCTTGATGCTTGGGATTGACCTTGAAAGCCATCATACGATGGAACGACCAGCTGACCGGAAAGCCGAGACGGTGAATAGCTTGACAAGCCACTCTTCGTACTCAGGTCGTACGAAATGCTGTACGTACTCGGGGAGGCTGCTTCTCCTGAAAGCCGTTGCCCGGTGAAGCGGGCGCTCGGGGTCTCGTTCTGCGTCGTGATCATGTCGAAACGGGGATCCGGAGGCTGAATCATGAGTTGAAGCCCCTTGAGGCGAAAACGGTGCCTCCTCAAACTAATTGAAAGGCCCTTACTCGATGCTCTGTTGTAAGGCAGTCCTGAAGGCAGATAGCGGTATCGCATTGAACCTTGTCGAGTCTTGTTAACCCCCACAGAGTCGGCAACTGACGTACATTACATGATCATTCAGGCTGAGGCCAGATAGCCATTGAACAAGGGAACAACAGGCCCCTTGCATATTCGCCCGGGGGCTCAAGACGGTAAAAGAGGCGAGTTGTAGGGTAGAATCCGCGGTCCATCATCTTCCCCAGAGACTTCCGACTCGTGCGAGAACAAACAGTGGGTGCCCGTGGGCGGCAAGGAAGACGGCGGGGGTTAGCGGCCATCTTCCGGGGACGGACGGCCCCTCTGCATCGCTCCTTCCTTTCTGTGGGCCCTGCCCGCCTGCCTGTGCTGTCTGCAACTCCACATCCCTCCTTCCTCGTGGAACAGTCCCCGGGCGGCTCGGCGCAGCGCGGGGTCGGCAGCACTACTGGCTTAGGTACATGAGGTACTTGAAGCTACCTGCTGTAGGTCTAGGGCCCGTTGGGCGGCACAGTAGCGCCCTGTAGCAGTGGGTGACAGCTCCTGGAATAGAAGGATTGAATGCAGCTCAACTGCAAATCCCAAACAAAGACCGACCCAGGCACGACCAGCCCTGCCGTTGCAATGGTGCATCTTGCAACGGTCAACATGCCCAGCCAGAACAGTTCCAGGGCCATGGAACGCAGAATGTTCCATAAGGGCTCAAGAAACAAAAACCAAGCCATAGGGTCAACCTTAATTATCCTCACCAAACTGTCTGTGGTCTAGGTTAGTGAAACATTGACAACTTGTCCGCAACCGGAGAGCTGTCATTGCACGACAGCAACAGGAAGGAGGGATCTGATGATGCAGTGGCTGCAACTGTTACTGGCCCGCAAGAGACAAGAGCAAAACCCAAACTGCCTATTGTTCATGCCTCCTTCCATCCTTAGGTCTGAGCGACACGAGGAATGTCACTTGTCGCTCCTCATCTTTCCGCTTCCCCTCTCTTCTCATCAACTCTTTTCGTTCTTTCATCTAAACTTTCTCGAGGAGACAGATGCAACACCAGCGGATGTGACCTCGTACCTGCATCAAGCACGTTGGCGGCGCTTATTGATTTTGCTTCCCAAAAAAACCCTGGATTGCAGCGACTTTTCGCCATCCGGTTTCCCATCACCGCCGCCTAGAATCGCAGGCCCACGATCGGATTCATCAACCCCCGGTGATCTCATCACGCATATCAGACCACGTCCTCATTACCTCACCTCGCCTCGTCTTTCTTCCTGCCCAGTCCTTTCTGGCCCCCCTTTCATGTACCCCCGGACCTTTCGGCTTTGGTGATTTGTTTGATTCCGTGTCAGAGTCAGTAACAGAAGGCAGCGTCCTCAGTAGGCAAGTCAAGACATCGACAAATTCTTTCCATCATCTGACACACAGACGCACCATAGCAGCCTCAGCAAGTGCCACTTTCTACACCTGCTCCCGCTTTCAATCTATACTCCCCAGAGACCCAATCTCTTTTCTCTCTCCCCCTCGATTCATATCCCTGTGTTAATTTACCTGAGCATCCGGCTCAGGCAATCGTTGCCTCTCGATACGGCCTGTCGTCCAAACGCTGGCCAACGTGACCGTCTACCATAAGCAGTCCAAGCTTCGCCCTGTCTCCGGCACGCCACCCGTCTCCTCACCTTGGAGCATCATCGCCTGCTCACCTCGTCACCTCAGTCTCAACTGGTTGTTGACCCCACGCCTGCCCGCTCTCTTGCCCCCTGTCGAGTTGACTTGTCGATTCCCCTTGTCTCTCCCGATACCTCGAGTACCTCCTGTCGCCCTACAGGAGTACCGTACGAGTACTGTACTCAACTCCAAGTGCGTGCCTCGTACCTCTTCTTCCTTGCTGCATAGACCCGCGCTGACGGGGCCAGCCAGGGTTTCAATCTTGGGTCAACTACCAACCTGGCCTTCCCATCTCTGCAGGTTGTTGCCGAGGACCCTGCTCAACTGTTACCAACGCATAATCGTTCTCTCTCATCGGTGGTCCCCGTCTTCCGGCCTCTCATAACCCCCAATCTCTTGGTGTAGCCATCTTCAGCAGGGGTGCATGTGTGTTAGACGCTGCTCCAGCTCCACAACTCTTTCGATCCCGACCTCCTACTCACCACCGCCTTTTGCCTGTCTGACCTGACCAGGGAGGCGTTCCAAGAGTATATCTTGAGGCTCGGCCGCAGTCTTGTCCATTCTTCTGAAATCCTGAGCATCTCCATTGGCTTCTCGCTGAGTTCACTCGTCTCTCTTCCTGTCCCCAAGAGAGTCACCCCCCACGAGCCATCACCAGTTCACTACCCCTCCCTCATACCTGTTACCCCGCCATTCGCTGCAGTCCGCCGCCATCATGACTTCCAAGCCTACTCGCAAGTTTTCCACGGGCGCCACGTCGCACCGCAAGAGGCAGATGAGCCTTCTCGTCGAGAGGGAAGGCCCCGTCAGCGCTCCTCTTCAGGTGCGTTTTCTCTCTTATACTCCCTTTTTTCTCTATCTTGGCTTTGGATGCCGTTTTGGGTCCTCATGACATCTTGTGTCATCCCAATCGAGACATCTGGGGCTCTGCCATGAAACCCAATGCCGATCACTTTCTTGTGGCCAAAACTGACGAGCTCAATCACAGACCTTCTACCTCGGTATCTCTGCCGTCTTCGCCGATGACCACACTGCTGTCATTGCCCTCGCTATCCATGACACCGTCTACCTCAACGACTTCTCCATCAAGCACATCTCACTCGATGAGGACATGCGTGAGGGCCAGGACCTCATCGCCGACCACATCATCTCCGAGGTCGAGACTTATGAGCATGAGAACTTTGTCAAGTTCATCGGAGCTGGTCTCCCCGTCACGCTCAAGTACATGAGCCCTTCTCTGTGCTCGCGTCTCTGGCTCGAGCTCGATGTTGTCCCCGTCGTCCTTAGACCTGACCACGAGGCCAAGGAGAAGAACTTCTGGGATGTCAAGCGTGTCGATGAGCAGGCCGACTCTATGGCCCGCAAGTGTATCCTGTAAGTCTATTCATAATGGATCTGCAAAGCTAGTCACTGACCGAAACCACAGTAACTTCGGACCCTCGCTGGTTCCTCACCTCCAGGTTGGCTACCGAGGCATTGTCCAGACTGACGCTGGCTTCCGTGTCCACCTCACCTCTCTCCAGAACCACAAGGACACTTGCTCTGCTGCCACCTGGGGTGCCATGCAGTTCTACGCCAACCAGCTCCGTGAGAAGAAGACCAAGATTGCCTTCTTCAGCGCCACTCCCCAGGGTGGCGGTGTCGCTCTCATGCGTCATGCCCTCGTCCGTCTCAGTCGTCTCCTAGGCGTCGACGTGACTTGGTATGGTAAGTAGCAATGCCCCATCAGACAGACCTCAACAGCGCTCTAATAACCTAAAAGTTCCCAAGCCCCGACCTGGTGTTTTCCGAATCACCAAGAACCAGCACAACATCCTCCAGGGTGTCAGCCACCCTGACCAGCGAATTTCGGACCCTGAGAAGGCCGCCATCACCGACTGGATCGAGGACAACGCCAACCGATACTGGCTCTCTGAGGGTGGCCCCCTCCGCCCCCCTGAGGAGGGTGGTGCCGACATCATCTTTGTAAGAACGACTCTGTAGAGAGAGAAGATATGGTTACTGACAAAATGAAACAGGTCGATGACCCCCAGATGCCCGGTCTCATCCCCCTGATCAAGAAGATCACCCCCGACCGCCCCGTCCTCTACCGATCTCACATCCAGATGCGAAGTGACCTCATTGCCATTGAGGGCTCTCCCCAGAACGACATCTGGAACTACCTCTGGAGCAACATCCGGGAGTCGGACATGTTCATCAGCCACCCCATCCCCAAGTTTGTTCCCCACAACGTTCCCAAGGAGAAGGTCGTCTACCTCCCCGCTACCACCGACTGGATCGACGGTCTCAACAAGCCCATGAACAAGTGGGACACTGGCTACTACGCCCACATCTACAACCAGCAGTGCCTGACCCAGCGAATGTAAGAGTTGTCAATTCTTATGCACGTGACAAGAACTAACAAACTTCAGGACTCCTCTTGCCTGGCCCACTCGCAAGTACATCGCCCAGGTTGCTCGATTCGACCCTGCCAAGGGTATCCCCACCGTTATCGACTCTTACGCCGAATTCCGCCGCCGCTGCGACGATGCTGGCATCACCGACATTCCTCAGCTCGCTGTGTAAGTTATTCGACTCATCTCTCTAGCTCTTTACTGATCTTGGTAGCTGCGGCAACGGCTCCATTGATGACCCCGATGGTGCCATCATCTTTGACCAGACCATGACCCAGCTGGAGGACCACTACCCCCACCTGATCGAGGATGTCAGTGTCATTCGCCTGGATGCCAACGATCAGCTCCTCAACATGGTCATCGCCAACGCCCATGTCATTCTCCAGCTCTCCACCCGCGAGGGTTTCGAGATCAAGGTCTCCGAGGCTCTCCACGCCGGTGTCCCCGTCATTGTCTCCAACGAAGGTGGTATTCCTCTCCAGGTCAAGGACAAGGTCAACGGTTACCTCGTCACCCCCGGCGACTACAAGACTGTTGCCGGTCACCTTATCGACCTCTTCACCGACAAGGACCTTCACGCCAAGATGTCCCACGAGGCCAAGACTGGTGTCAGCGACGAGGTCGGCACTGTTGGCAACGCCCTCGGCTGGTTCTACCTCGCTGCCAAGTGGTCTGAGCTGGGCACCAAGCCCGGTCTGCGCGGCGATGAGAAATGGGTTAACGATATGGCCCGTGAGGAAGCCGGCTTCCCTTACGCCGAGGGCGAGAACCGTCTTCCTCGCCACTACACTCAGCGCAAGCCTGAGGATGAAGGCGAGAAGGAGGAGGCTGAAGAATAAGTCGACCCGAGTTGCTTCTCTCTCTCTGTTAGACGTCGTTTCACCTAAATTCATCTGGGGACGGAAGAAAACCAAGAGGATAGATGGATACGTGTTTGCGGTTACAATGGTTTATTGTTAGAATCGGTACGGGTTGTTTATGACTATGATGGGGACGACATGTCTGCCCGCATAGTCGGGAACGAATTCCACTCACCTGCTGTATCGGATTACACAGTTTATGCTTATGAAGAAAATACCATACAATTATTGTTTATTGATTTTGTCTCCTTTTCTGATATGTGAGGTGGTTGACATGAGTAGAGGAAATGAATGGTGCGCTCTGCCGCGCCGTGTGTCCAATACAATGACAAGCAGTGGGTTTAGGCATGCAACTTCCCGACGGGCACAAAGCCATACTCGTCCCTCCTTTAGTATGCCAGGGTTTTAATGCCCAATGAAATGGGGCGTAGGCTGGTAGGTACTCCTAATGGACAAAAGTTGGCACCATTGCAGTGGCAGGCAGGTGCAAGGTTCAAGTCTGCCGAGATCGCAGTCAACCACCTGCAGCTAAGCTCTGTCAGGGCAGGTACGTTCTACTTGGTGTGAGCTCAACAATCAAAAGGAAGGAACGAGGAAATACCAGCAGGGAGCATCTGGCAGCTGCACATCTCGCCAGCACCGGGACTTTCTCCCCAAGTTATCGCACCTGGAATGGGTGCCCGGTGTCTCCTACGATTCTTCGTTTCCCCTCGTTCTCTCAGTCTCGAGCTTCTGCCAACTCGCAGCGTCCCCCTCACTCATTTGCTTGTTTGTTTTCCTGTTTGTTCGTTTGGTTTTCCTGTGCGGGCTTTGCTTTCGCTGGTCCATGGAATTTGGTCGTCTAACCTGCCCACAGAGAGCTCCTCCGCCTTCCTTTCGCCTCACGATCCTCAAGACTGACCCGGAAACATTGGCCTAATGTCTCTACTTGTGGTGGAGGGCACGGCCTCTCCGCCTACGACGTGCGTGGAGGGGATGAACTCTGCGCGCGCTCAGATGCTCGCCGAGGTGGCTCGAGTAGAGGCAGCCATGCCCCCGAGAGTCGTCAAGATCGAGGACACTCCTCCTCCACCAGTCACGGGGGCTAACTGCGCTCCCGTTGGCGATGCATCTCTGCGCGCCTTACGGGGTTCAAGCCAGGGCAATAGACTTGGAGGACTCCAGCCTGCCGGCTCATCTACCAACATCGGGCCCCGTGCCATGACTGCTCCCGTCTCTGCTTCGCTGAAGCGACCACACAGAGATGACGGAGGAGCCAAGAACGACAAGGGAGTCAAGCGGCACAAATCCGGACTCTACACCAAAGTCATTTCCCTTGGCCAGGGTGAGTTCGGCCAAGTTTGGGTCTGTCATGTTTGGGTCTAATCAGCTTCCAGCTCCTTCCCCAAACCCGGACACCAAGTACCTCACGTCTCTCCTCCAGAATCGGACCCTGACTCTTTGTTTGCAACCCCCTCTGAAGAAGGGGGAGTTGATTGGGACGCCCCGGACGCACGAGTTTCGCATCTCGCAGGCTGGTTTGATCCAGCACGAAGCCCTGTCGGCCCTTGGCTACACCCGAGCGCTGCCCTTGTCTCTCCATGACCAAGACATCTGTGGGGGTGGTGGTCCCATCATACGCACCGTCCGAGGTCAGTTGCTCGAGGATGTGTGGTCTGGTCTGAGCAACCAGATGAAGTTTGGATTTGCTCGACAGCTTCACAACTTACTGGGCAAGATGCGAACTCAGGACAAGGGCAACACGGTGGGATCTGTTCATTCCGGGCAGTACACTCTTCTGCTGGACAAGCATGCCGAGCACACATATTATGCGATCCGCACGAAGCCGACTCAGAAACAGTTCATGGCGCTTCTCATGTCAACCTTGTACAACACCGTTCCAACCCAGGTTGCCCAGGCTCTGATTTCGCAGTTCCGGACCAGCTACGACACGGTGCTCACGCATGGTGCGCTGTGCCCCCGGAACATTGTTGTCTGCAACGATACAATCGCATGGATTGTGGGCTGGGACTGTGCCGGGCATTATCCCGCTTGGTGGGAGTATGCTCGATTCTTCGAGGCGAGAACTTCCGAGGAGAACAGCGACTGGTATAGCTATGCGCGGGACATTTTCGACGATGAATTTACGACCGAGCTTGCAGCTTACCAGGGATTGGGGAGATGCCAGCAGCCCTGAGAGGATGCTTCAACGCCTTATTTGACGGGCTGATGCAATGCTAGTTTGTAATACATTCGTCGAGTTTACAGCATTTGGACCAGGATTGCCGTTGAATGACGGACCACAGGGATTGGGACACTAATTGTATTGACTCCATGGCGATTCGATTCAGAAGCTCGATGTACTATACACTCGATATCTTGACAAACAAAACATGTCTACGCAAGGCTTGGCTCATGACACCTTGGCGCGTGCGTCTGAACTTTGGTTCTTTTGACTCTTTGACTTGGCTATAACCCTTAGTTGCCGAATCGCTTGGCAACAGTCTCCCAGTTGACAACGTCCCAGATGGCGCTAAAGTACTCGGCCTTGCGGTTCTGGTACTGGAGGTAGTAGGCGTGCTCCCAGGCATCAATACCGAGGAGGGGCTCGAGGTTGCCAGTGACGGGGTCCTGGTTGGGGCGGGTGACGACGGAGAGGGTGCCCGAGGTCTTGTCCTTGACGAGCCAGGCCCAGCCGGAGCCCTGGATGCCGGCGAGGGCGGCGTTTGTCTGCTTCTTGAGGGTGTCGAAGGAGCCGAAATCCTCGTTGATGGCGGTCAGGAGCTTCCCCTCGGGCTCACCACCACCGCCCTTGCCGTTGGGGGCGAGGTTCTCCCAGAAGAGAGTGTGGTTGAGGTGACCACCGCCGTGGAAGTTGAGGAGGGGAGCCTGGGCAGCGGCAGCCTTGGCGTCGCCCTTGGCCTGGGCCTCGGCGATGGCCTCTGTGGCAGCGTTGAAGCCGTTGACGTAGGTCTGGTGGTGCTTGGAGTGGTGGAGCTCCATGATCTGGCCCGAGATGTAGGGCTCGAGGGCGCCATAGTCGTCTACAGTTTGTGTCAGTTGAGGTTCGTTGTGAGTGATTGGAGAGGCGCACAGGAGAGGTCGGGGAGAGTGGCCTTGGTGCGGACAAAGGCCATGGAGGCGAGGGGAGCGGCACGGGCCCGGAGACCGGCGCGGAGGGCGGGAGTAGTGCGGAGGAGGGCGGACGACATGGTGAAGCTATTCGGCAATTGTCAGCTCGGTTAAGATCAAGGCAATGGAAGTTGATGTAATTCGAGATAAAGTTGTAAAAGAGATTCAATTGCTTGACTAGGCCAAGACATTTAATAAATGGAGATTCGGACGTACCAATATACCAGAGAGTGGATGAATTGATGATGTAGGAGGAAGAGGGAGGGGAGGGAAAAAGAGGTATGGGCGGAAATGTCGGATTGCCGAACTGCGGGATAGCTCCCAGCACCTGTTTGGCGGGGACTTGGATGAACTCAGCTTGTCGTCATTTCTAGGGAGCTTGGGCCGCTGATGCTTGTGGCTAGAGTGTGGGATGTGGCTGCTGTGGCTTTGTAAGAGCATCAATGTGATTCAAGTGAAATGATTGCAGTCACTACTTCTATGGTCTTGTCCCATTTCCTTACTATTTTTTTTTTCTTTTTTTCATTTCGACTTGAACGCCTGACGTCTTTCAAAAATTTGTCGATATTCAACTCATCTACAGTGAAATTGGACATTTGTGTTGGATGTTGACTTGCACCATCATCATGAGATTGACGACAACCAACCTTGGAAATCCCCAAATACCGATCCACAAAAACACGTTTTCTTGCTCTTCCCCATGTAAACAGGCTAATTCCGTAAACCCAGTCCAATCGCTTCAGCTCGGGGGGGGGGGGGGGGGACCTTGCTTCCGGACTTGAGCATCTCGGACTCAAACAAGCTCGGCCTTTTACTCCAAAAGCCGAATCGCGAAACGAAACGTGCCAAGACCTCGTGTGAAATCTCGATTCGATTGATTGGAAATAGAAATCTGCTTCTTTACTGATACTCATGTTGTTGCTTGACCCGTTGCTCCGAGATAACCGCTTGTGCCGATCTCGGAGACCCGAGGTTGTTTTGCGAGGTGACGTCTTGAGATACAACGTTGAAACGTGAAAGCTCAAACAATGTCCTTTGAGAGCACGATTCCTTTACTTTCCCAACTCCCTTATATTTTATTTTGTTGACTTATCGTTTTAACCATGTAGCGACAGCTAAAGAGAGATTCTGTAAAAGCAAAAGATCCACTGATGGCTTCAAGTTGCAGCTCAGTGCCGATTAGCCAATAAGCTTACCATGATTCACAATGCCCACGGACGGATATCAATATTGGACTCTAGGGTAGGCCAACGGATCTCCCCGTCCATTAAACGGCACGGGATTATGTCATTGTCCGGCGCGTCTTCCCCTCCACTCAACGCGTCTCCAAAACTCCCATCTCCAAAGAGACAACACAATCAAGGAGACGCTTGAGAAGTCATAGCAATCATGTCGTACTACGACATAGATGCCATCCTAACGGATGCAGAAGTATACCCCCCAATAACCAGCTTCACACACTCAAAGCTCACAAAAATGCCCAGAAAGTCCCATGCCAATTCGAAATCGATGTCCCCTACCTCGGCCACCTCGACAACTCCCCCCACGGCCTAAAAGCAAACACGGCCCTAAACCTCCCTCTCTGGCTCGCAGAGATGCTCGCCCTCGCCTCGACTCCAACATCCCGCGCCCCTCTAACTCTCAACCTTCCTCCATGTCTATCCGCCATGGTACTCGCGGCTCTGAGGGCCGATCCGCGAGCTGTGCCGTTGAGGGATCAGAGCGCGCACTTTTACGGTGTGGGCGTTAGGATGCTGGATTTATTCGATGAGAAGGAGATTGCAGAGGTTTTGAGAAAGACGTTTGTTGTTAGGGCGGGAGAGGTTGGACTTCATGCTAGAAAGGCGGATGAGGGCGTTGGGGGTGATGGAGGTGAGTTTCTGAGGGGACTCGAGGAGTGGGAGAGGGCTCTGTTCAGGAGAGGCCACGATGGAGTCAAGGGAGCCAAGGAGTGGACGGAAAAGGTCAAGAAGACGTGATGAGCATAAAACAAACACGGAGGCTCAGGACAAGCACACGCCCGAGGACAAAGATACCCATGAGATGCCAGGATAGGCAGTACGCGTCCATGAAATAACTTATTAAACTTGCAAATGGATTAATTATTCGACTCAAACATCACAAAAAATCTGAAAAACTTGAGGGATAAATCGCGTGCATCTTTCAGCACGTTCTATTGCCGACTCCGACTCCTACGCCTTGAAGCCAGCCGAGGTTCCCATCCGTATAGAGGCAAAAAGGTACTCATCCATCCGCTCAGTAATGTTTCAACCGAACGACAAGACCAGGCATTTCCTCAGCATGCCCCCAGATCTAAACCCCATGTTTATATCCCCAACATCATGTACACTTCAACTCTCGATATCCAACCGCTCTAACAAGAAGACCCCTCGTCTCGAGGTGTAAAACAAACGCTGTTTCCCCATCATTTGATCCTTCCCAAGGATCCCAAAAACAAAAACGCCATGCTCAAAAGTCGAGTTGGATTCCACATGTACAGCAAGAAATGCAACCGACTCCTGTTTTTCCTCTCCCGAGAAACCCCAATACCGACCGGCCCCAATGTATCATGGTTGCGCGATGAAGCACTTTCAATCGCGCTGTGAATAAACGTATAGGTCCCGCGCCATACAATAGGCGGGACCTGGTGGCTGTCCCTTCAGGGATCGAGCCGGGTTGAGCGTAACCACCAGTTGCCAAGGGATTCGCTGAATAGTAAACCAGAGAGTAATCATCGACGCCGTGACGGTAAGAAATAAGAAAGATTCGGAGGCGAAGAAGAGAAACAGCAATCATAAAACAGGCTCCTTGAAAGTCATTAAATGTGAAGGGAAAATCGGAAAGGCCCGACCAAAGGATGGTACCCTTGATCTGGGGAAAGGCTGCTGTCCAGAGGGAAGCAGGTTGCCGAGTTCAAGATGCCAGAGTGGGCATTGTCGTATCGACCCATCTTTGACTTGAACTCAGCCGAGGGCTTTTTTTTTGTGTTTTGTTCTTTTCGCCCATCCTTATCCCTTGGTACGTTTGGTGCTCGACAATAACTCGACGTTGAGATCTAGTTCAGCGAAGCACGCCAACTGGTGGAGGTTGGAAAATATCCGTAAGGAAATAAACAAGAACGATCACCGATACTCCAGGGAACCCCAACCCCTGTCACCATCATGCCTCACGCCCACTGGACAAGGTGGGACATGTCTTGGTAGTTCGATGGGGTGATGGTGTTTGTGGACGAGAGGTTCGACCCATAGGCAGAGGAGCCCTGATCCGAGAAGGCATAGTTGTCGCTCAGAGCGACCAGGGGAGACCCATCCGAGAAGGGTGAGTATCCGAAGCTGCCGGCAGACGAGATGGGGGCCTGGATGCTGAGCTCACCGTTGGCTCCAGCCAGCATGGAGGGATCAGCACTCTCAAGGGCGATGTCGTAGGTCTCGCCATAAGGGCTCATGCTGCTGCCAGTGCTATACATCTCCATCTGGTTGGGCAGGCTAGAGCCTTCCATCTCGGCATCAACCATGTCCGAGTCATCCTCCTGATCCATGATGGGGGATTCGTTCTGGCCGACCTCGACCGTCTTCTCGACGAACCAGGCCTTGAGCTCAGACATGGGAGGCCAGTCACCACCGCCCTTGCCTCCGCGCTTCTCATCACCGTTGGCACCCTTCTTGCCTCGGGGAGTCTTAGGCTTGAAGTGTGTGCGACGGAGATGAGCGGCGGCGTTGTAATAGGCGCCATACTCCTTTCCAGAGGTGCACGCCTTACACTTAGACAAGGGGTTCACAGCCTCGACGTTGGACTTGATGCCAGCCAGCGCTGGGTCACGGCAAACAAACTTCTTGACGATGCCCTCATGCTTGGCGTTGATGTGCCGGCGAAGCTCATGGTCACCACGGAAGCCATCTGGATGCTCATTGCACTGGGTGCAGTGAACCTTGGGGTGCTTGGGTCGCTGATAGCTACTCTTGTTCACAGCCACCTTGGCCTCCTTCTTGGCAGCAGTCGAGTTGGCTTCGGCCTTGGTCGTCTCCTCCTTGGGCTTGGGGGCAAGATGAAGGGTCTTGGCGGACTGCAAAACACGAACTCGGGCCTCTGCGGCTCTGCGCTCTAGGTTGGAAGCATTCGATCGCACACTTGAGATACTTGTGTTGGAGGCAGATCGCTCCATGTCGGCGGACTCTGGTGACGACAAGAGTGAGTTCTTGTTGGCGACTGCCCACTGCTGAGTAGCAGTGGAGGAAAGATTGGCGCCGAGGCCGATGAGATCATGCTCAGGTGTGTACTGCTTGCTGGTGGGGTAAAGGTTGCTTGAGCTGGGAGAAAGATCCGGAGCAACGAGCCCGTCGATGTGAGACTGCGATGATTCCATGGCGGCCATGGGAACCCCAAAATTGTCCAGGGCGCTGTTTTGGCGTGTCAAAGGACTCGGGGCCTCGGTGACAGAGGGACCGGAGATCATTGAAGGACACGCCGATGAGAGGGGGTAGCTGCACGGCACATTGGAGGAGGAAAGGCTTGACGAGAGGCTCGAGAAGGCACTTGTGGAGGCCATGTTGTATGGGAAGTTTGAGAAGTTCGAGTCAAACTGCTGCGAGCTTTGGGGGATCTCGGTGTACATCTCCAAGAAGTCGCCAGGGTCCATGCCAATGCTGAGAGTTTGGTTCTCCTGGACGCTGGGCAGTCGTTCAGTTGCGCCATGGAGGGACTGGTTGGCGGGCTCATCTTGAGAAGCGCAGAAGCGACCGATGGACGGGTTGAGAGGAGCGATGCGGTTCCCAGTTTGTGAAAAGGGCATGGGAGACTCGGACTGAGCAGACATGCTTCGGCTCATGGGGACTGTAGCGCTCGCTGACTGCTGCGAGTATGCTCTCCGCTCGCGCCTGTGAGCCTGGAGGTTGGCATTGCGTTCCTAAGGTGTGTCAGAGGGTGGGCATGGCGATACGTCAGGGTGTGTTCCATACCGTGATGGCACTCTTTATTTGTTGTGTGGGATAGCTAACGGAAGACTTGCTACGAGAGAGACCACTACTTCGTGCACTTGAGCTGCCGTAGCTGGGAAGCTGATAGCCCTGGGCCAGCGAGTACCCGTAGTTCTGGGCGAAGTGATTTAGGGTTGAAGGATCTCCTCTGAACTGATCCTGCACCAACTGCTCGAGGTTGCTATTCCGTTCGGTGAGGAGCTGCACCCGACGTTGTAGCTCCTCGACATTGGTGTTGTCTAAATTCATCTTTGTATTGATGTCAAGTTGCACGCGGGATGATGGACGATGCAAGCGAACAAGATGTGCGAGGCGAGAAGAGCGCAAGATAGGATAACCTTGACAGGCTCACGATGCGATAGTCGCTGGTGTAAGCCGGACGTTGGACGATGGGGTAGCTGCGTCAAAAGTGGGCAGCCTTGCTAACCTGTGGATGAATGGCGAACAAGTAAAAAGCTGAGGCGGACGAGAGTATCAGGAACTGAGGACAGATCTAAGGCTCACGTTGGTCGCGGTTGGAAAAGTGGGATATGTGAGTCGAGAAAGACGACGGAGAAGGGAAGGACAAGAACAAGAGCGTGAACGAAGATGCGGACGGGATGGAGGATTAATACGTGAGCCGGGATGGAGAGAACAGGCGGCCCAGTCGTTCTGACGAGGCTTCCAATACCCACCCTCGAGCAGGGGTGAGCAGGGATGGTGGAACTGGGCGGTAGCTGCGGTGTGTGGACTCGTACTGTAGAAAGGATCTTGGTGGGTGGGCTAATTAAGGTGTAGCATGCTGTACTGGACCTGTACAGCAGAGACCGACCGACCGCGGGTCCCGGGCGTGTGTGGGCGTGTGACGATGATGTAGCGTGCGTCTTGGGTGGTGTGTTTCGAGGGAATGAGAAGGGGATTCGTTCGCTCGAGGAGTCTTGTTGGTGATTGCTGGCGAGCTGAGTTATGGATGTCGTCCAGTGGCCTGACGGAGGGAGAGACGTTGATAATAAATGAACTGCACGCGACGAATGACAGGCTTGAAGGCAGATTCTTGACAAGTGCACGTTGAAGATGTTGATGCAGGGCCGCTAGCTAGGTAATGTACTGTATCCGTAGATGGCCTGGTTTGGTGTTTGAGATGCAGATTGAAATAAAGATGAAAATGACCTTGAAGACGTGGGATGAGACAGGAATGGGGCCCATCCCATGGGACCTGGGCGAGAGATGGGAAAGAGCCCCCAAACCCAAGACCAAGCCCGGCCAAGGTGGACGCGTGACGACACCTCAGCAAAGAGTCCGCCCGTTGACAACACCTCAGTGGACGCATGGCTTCACCTCCAGGGGGTCCACCCGCTAACAAACGTCCTCTCCAAAGCCAAAACGGTCGCTGGAGGTCGGCATGTTCGGTGCCCGTTGAGTGCTGTAAGCTCCGTGCCTCCAGCTGGCAGAAGAGGTCTCCTTACCGGTGAAAGGTCGACCCACTAATAAAACACCCCGGGTAAAGTTGTCTCAATCCAAAAAAAGAGCCCCCGACAGAAAAGAAAAGAAAAAGGGCCAACTCCAAGAGCAAAACATCCCTGTCGGCTGACGCCCGGCTACAGAGTGGAGTCCTGATGACGCTCATTGGATGTTTCAAGCCGTCCCTCGAAAGCGGGTTGGCTGGCTCCTTGCCCTGGTCTGGTCTGCTGCGACCACTACAACCTTTTTACTCGTCTCGCTCTCGGTTTGCGCGTACAGCCAGCCCAAGCCCAACTCTATTCGAAGACGACGAAACGGGTTGAAACGAGGAGGCTTCTTAGGGGCGTAAGAGGCTGAGTCGGGCTGTGTACTGTAGGTACTCGTTTGCCTGCTTGCTATGACTCTTGTGTTTGTGTGTGATACAAGGGCAAAACGCAACATGTTGTGCATCTCGATGGGAAAACAAGAGTCTAGGACTCGCTCTGGGTGAGACATAACGGCAAGCCGCAGATTTCTGACACCTCACGATCCATCCCCAACTCCCGACCGCCATCTCTCATTCCTGGTAGCTGGCTACGTAATTAGCGGCGGCATCAGTCGTCATTCTCGATACGGGCGGTGGCTTGTACAGTCAAAGAGAAAAGAACCCCAGCCAGCCTCAGCCCAAACGACAACACAAAGAAGCAATGTTGAGAACAGTTACAACCCACCCTCCCTTGGGAACTGAGTGGACTTGCATGACGTCCGTCCAATACAGCATGCAGCCCGCCAACAGCAGAAATCGGCAGCAAAAAGCAACGACAACTCAAGGAGCGGTGCGTGGCCTGGGGCATTTCTTGGTTCTTGGGGGAGATCCATGATCCATTGCGAGATGGATGTCATGGATCGCCCACTCACACAGTGGGCATGGCAGAGGCCAACGAGGAGCGGGCACTGGGCGGGCGCCAGGGGGGCACCGACACCAGAAAGCGCCTCCAAACGCCAAACCGAGTAATTCAACGTGTCCATCATGGGATGGGGGAGAGACTACTTCTTCTTGCGCCTGCATAACACGCAGCAGCGCAGCAACACACGGGAGTGAGTGAGTGAGACTGCTGCTGCGACAGATAGTTACGAGAGCGGTTACGAGACGGCGTCATATCATGCGCGAGCCCGCTAAAATCTTGACCGGCTGCACCCTCTCTGCCAGGTGCTGTTGTCAGTTCCCGTCTTGGTATTGTTCAGTAGGAATGAAAGCTAGGTCTTGAAGATACAAGGGATATTGCTTGGTGGTCCGTATAATCACCGATGGGGTTTCTTGGTTCGATTGCGCCGTATTTTGTGGTGTAGCTATTTTCAGCCCTGTAGGAAGCACTGAGCAGACAATCTCGTAGGCGAGACCAGCAGCCTACCAACACTAGGGAACCGGCGATGCTGATCACCATTTTCCCTGGCATCTATTTGCTGGGCATTCCAGATCCGGTGCCAAGTGCCGCCTCTCTCACTCTTCGCTTACTGAAAAATGACCCAAGCCCCCGGGTTCAACAGCCATTCGACTTCCACCGGGCGTTGCAAAAGTGCAGATAAACTCGACCCCTTGATTCGTCTTTACCGCAGCTGAACATCAGATGTGCAGTCCTCAACAGAGATGCCATCACCAAGAGTCTGAAAACGTGCTCTGCCTCCACCTCCAACTCCAACGGGTTATATCCCTGCCGGACCTAACACCCACGCTCCATCTCATTTGCACCCACCTCCCTAGCAAAAACGAGGCAATCAACGAGACGGGGCACCCAGCGATTGGCTCTCGAGCGCGGTCAGGTTGGCCCACCGCATCTCGATTGGCTCCCGCTGTCGCATAGAGTGAGGCGGACGGCGCCATGCTAGCAAGTGTGACTCCTCCCCCCTTCTCCAGACCGAGCCAACCTAATCAGATCCTCTGTCGTTTTTCTGCTTCACACCATCTTCTTTTTTTGACTGCTTCGTTTGTGTTGTGTTGGCCTCGAGAGAAATAACCTCATGCTCTCGGGGAACTCGGGTCCCCTTGCTCAAACGATGCCGATCTCATCGTGTCCTGGACTAGGTCCGACTTGTCTAGACTCTTCGATCTTCATGACGGGACAGGCATGATCCAAGCTTCTCAATCCCTCGACCGAGTCCAATGTCGCGAGGGTTTCGCCCAGGCCCTGTGTCATGCAGTCGAGTACACATGCAGCTACTGTACGAGTTTCTTCTGACTCGAACATGAAAAAAGCTTGGCTTGGCTGTAATTACCTCGTCCTGCGCGTGTTTTTGTCCCTAACCCAGGAACAGAAGTTGTCTGTCTGCTGCGTTGTCGACTTATGCTAGCTATTGCAACCATCACGACCGCTGTCTTGATGCCGGGCACCCGGGCGTCTGCAACCTTGAGAGTTGCTTGCAACCCTCCCCGCGGAAGCTCGTCCGGATCAACAGCCCCGATTCATCCCCTTCTCGGAATCCGTAGATATCCTCAATCCTCCGAAGACGTTGATGTTTAGCTGCGGCAGATAGCATCTCCCGAGCTACCTGAGCTTGTTGGTTGGACTCTCAGAGACAAAAGTTCCACTTTCCACTGCCCCGTTGCCTCGTTTCCTTGCGGTGATCATGCAGTCTCGACCTCTACCATGCCCGTTTCAACTCGAATATTTCGCAGATCATTTACGGAACCGGTCCACCAGCTCCTGGGTCTTTGATCCCGTGCCCGTGCGGTGTCGCTTCAGCCGCCCGCGCGCACGTGTGAAGGGAACGCAATGCAGACCTTGGCCACACACCGCGCTTGATTGTGTGTTTGCTTACGACGTCTTGATACCTTGCGTGTCGATCCGCGGCTTGGGCAGAACACGTGCGACACCTTTGACAGACGCATGTCTCGGTAGCGCTAAGCTGGGCGGCACCTCTTGATAGGCATCTATGCCTTTAACACCGAGTCTGGGAATGACAACTATTAGCGAGCAATGCGGGAAACACTAGTCTGCTTTCTCGTCACCTGACTGCAAGTTGTCAGTTGTCTAATTCACAGTTGTGATTATCTCGCAGCTCCAGTCAGCCACCCTACACATCCACATTTGTCTTGTGAATCCCACAGTTGATTGCCTTTTACAATGCCACAATCAGTTGCCTAACACACTTGCAAATATGCGGGACACTGTAGGGAAACCCTGGCTCGAAATGATTAAGCAAAGTCGAACGGCTTGTAACTGTTACATAGCTGCATGAAGGAGTTTTGTAATGCCTTTGGCAAGCCCTAACAAGCGTCAACTAGGGCTGATGTCTAAATGATGAACCATGGCTCGACAAACCACTGTCGGCAGTCTATGCTTCTCGGGTTCGGCAGCCAAACGGGACACATCCGTCAACGCCGGGATCCCCTTGGGATGCTTCTCCAACATCATGCCATGATAAGCGCCTAGCGTTCTGCTAGAGCCATATCTTGGGAGTCACGCAGACTCAGCAATGGCCAGCACCCACAGACGCCATTTCCAACTTGGTAGGCACCTCGCCGCAATCGTCGTCCGAGCTCGGGTCTAGCGGCCCGGCGATGAGATCGAAGCAACACATCGTGGATCTCCTCAATCACCGGGTCCAGGACCCTTTTGTCTGCCGACTCGGGGGTGCCCACCTGGACCCGGAGGTGGCAAACTGCCCACCGAGACACGTGTAGTGCTCCGAAGAGCTCTCCTGGCGACTGGCTCCCCTCCCGGAACGGGGATGTTCCTGGCAGCGGCATGTGCCGATAACAGGCCCTTTTGAGTACCATCGAGCCATGTTGGGCTCTGGTTACAGATTTAAAGCTGTTGACTTGAGACGAACCTTGCACACCGAGGAGCCAACATCTTGTCTCCTCAATACGGCATCCAGGAGAGGAGACAACCAGCATTTGGGTAAGGAGATGAGTTATGAGGTAATAGTCAGCTGCTTGGTTGTATCCTCCAATTTAGACAGTAATTATTATTAGGTACTCATCTCGCATCGGCGGCAATGCCGACTCGGCCCCTCTTAATCTCCTAGGCTCCGTAGTGTCAGTCCGTTAGAAGTGGAATTGTCCGGCGTCGTGCTCGGGGGCCCTGGAGAACATAGCGCCGTCCAAAGCCGGAGAAATCGCCGGACAGTCGCTTCCCTTACCTGACACCGGCGAAACTTCGGAAAACTGGTGCTTCGCAAGATGACGCCTTGCTTCAGCCAATCGAAACCCCACAGCTCGGCCCATCATGACACCTCTCTCACTAACTCTTGGCACGCCGACTAAGCGGCGTGGTTGACGTGACCTTCTCATCTCCTTGAGCTCTATGTGAGCTATTCACGGCACATTACGGCACAATGCGCCGGTTCAACTTGGCACTCCTGGCTGTGATCCAGCTTGCTCGAGCTCGTTCCCCGAGCTTTAGCATCCACGAGGATCTGTTGACGTATCCTCAGGTAAGCCATCCCGGGATGCCGAGGGGTTGACTGATGCTCATCGTTGGCAGTTTGAGGTCATCTTTGCCGACGACTACATCTCTGAGAAGGACGCCAATTCCATATTGGAACAGAGTGTCCAGCATTCCACCTACTCGGCCGACTTTGCGCAATCTACCCTCCAGCAGGTCCGAGAGGCCAACGAGCGCGACAATGGCGGGACCAACGAAGGCGAAACAGGCCCGTCGCATACATACGAGCTGATGAAGCTTCCTCCTCACCAATACCTATGCTCCATCCCCGTCATACAGCCCCCGGCGCCCGAGAACAAGACTGCCAACGAGCTCGCCAAGGCCGAGGAGGCACGCGAGCTCAGTCGTGCGACTGCGAGTGGATGGGAGCTTCTGGGACAATTAGAGAATTCATGCCTCTACTTTATGTCAGGATGGTGGAGCTACAGCTTCTGCAATAACCGAGAGATTGTTCAGTTCCACGCACTTCCTTCCATACCCAACGGACAGCCTCCTAAGCGCGACCCGAACACGGCTCAGTTTGTCCTGGGACGGACACCTACGATTCCCCACAATGCGGCGTATCAGGCTAAGAAGAATGGCCAGGATGAGCCGGCCCCGGCGGAACTGCAGGTCAAGGGCGACCAGCGATACCTGATTCAGCGACTGGAGGGAGGAACCATCTGCGATTTGACAGGACGGGAGCGTACCATCGAAGTCCAGTATCACTGTGTACCAGGCATGAAGAGCGATCGAATCGGCTGGATCAAGGAGGTGACAATTTGCGCTTACCTCATGGTGGTGAACACCCCGCGCCTTTGCAACGATGTCGCTTTCCTGCCCCCCGAGGAGACGAGGGCGAACCCCATTACTTGTAAACTCATCGTTGGAGAGAACGATACTCCTCCTTTGCTGGACCAGACCGCACCCGTTGAGGTACCCATCGCTCAGGAAGCGAAGCAGCAAGAAGGCTCAACCGCCCAAGACGAGCCTCCCGCGAAGGAGCAGGTCAACATCGGTGGCGTTATTGTCGGCGCCCGGAACGTCCTCTCTTTTGCCGACGAAGCTGGAAAGCCGCCTGCCAAGCTCGCTCCTCCTCAGAGCTACTTTGCCAACACGGATACGGATGCTGAGCGCTTTATCGAAGTGGTGGCCTCTGGAAAGTCTGCCGAGGAAGGTGGCGAGTCTAAGGTTCTCGGCAACCCGGAGCTTGAGAGGTTGGACCTGCAGCCTAGCGTGGTGAAGGACATGGCGGAGCGAATGAAGAAGATGGCAGGAAAGCATGGTTGGAAGCTGGAGCTCGTGGAGCTACCGGGCGGTGACAAGGAGCTGAGAGGCTATATCGACGCGGATGAGGATGAGCTGGCCAAGGACAAGGCTCAGAGGAAGCAGGAAGCGGCCGCAGGAAAACAGGAGGAAAAGAAGGTTGCCGAAGGGCAGGGCGAGGTGAAGAGTGAGAAGAGCGAAGAGAAGGATGGGAAGCAGCAGAAAAAGAGTGAGGAGAAGGCCGAGGAGAAGAAGGGGGCGGAGGGAAGCCAGGAGGAATTCTTCCAGAAGCAGGAGCTGTGATTGAGTAGACCTTGTTAGGCGTTATGGTATGGGTTATTGATAGCATGAATACACATTACACAGGTATATGTATATTGTACGCAGATTCGACTTTCATTTCTTCGATACCCATCTGTTGTTATCGTCAAAGAGCCATACACTCACTTGGTCTCTTATGTGATGACTCTCCTTCATAGACAGTCCACATTCATCCCCTGACCATTCGCGGAGCTTGTCAGATGAACTTGCTTGATCTGGACACTGGCCTTGGTCTCTGTTGCGATGAGATCCAAGCTTGGCGGTGATCTCTTTGATGGTTGAAGGTGAAGGGTTATGATGAGGGCGACTTGCTGGAGACCAGTTCGGGAGTCACGGAGAGAGGTGAAACTCATGCATATTTCACTTGATGGGTGAATGAAGCGATTTCCATGGAACCCAAGGCTCGCGTAAAGCTCTTGTTGGTTCACTCCTCTCATAGATAGAGTTATGGGCACGACACCTAAATAGAACGTGGTTTCTCATGGACTGTACTGACACGACGCTCAATCCCGCACGACGACGTACCCGAGCTGCCTGGGACATCGAGTATCCCTGACATTGTGAGGCTTGGGTTTAGGTTCTTGAGTTCTCGGTATCAGAAGACGCAGTCAGAGTGGTGAGCATAGCCATGAAGTTCTCGCTCCGTTTGTGCAAATCCCCTGCATGTCATAGAATATTGAGCCCCTTGTTGAACGTCAGATGGGCATTGTCATATATCGCAGCTCGCCCATTGTTGCACCTTGCTTGATCCAACTAGTGGATAATCCCAGCCAGTTCAGAGTAGAAGTATCAAGGCAAATTTGCTAGAGAAATGCGTTTGCCCCTGCCCATGATGGCATGGCTTTGGTGTGATCAGCATGAGGCAGACCGGTGTTGAACAGAAAGTCAAGTGCCAAGGATTGTGAACAGTGAACTGTTTGTGACAACCTGCTAGAGATATTCTCCATGTATACTGATTGTAGTATCTTGGAATGAGGAACGGAGACCACGGTCTTGAACGGAGAGAAAGGATGCATTATGTGGACGTAGGCAGTGAAGGCACCTGGGCAGCCTAGTAGCACCATGGCAACTCAGCCCTCCCTGATACATGATTGAGACTCAAATGATTGATCATGTTCAATTTGAGAAAAGCCTAAGAGGTGTGTGGCTTGCCACATCGTGCCCCCGCTCTAAACCACAACTTCACCTGGGCCTGACTGACCTTTTGCTCTTACGCCCTCCGATCTCTCAACCGGTTTGACTTCCCAATGGCTAGGCAATGATGCTTTAGCTTCCCCATACCTTCTTGTCATCCTAGCTGGAGTTTTAGACTACATTGGGAAGTATAGCTCTTGATACGTAGGTAATTGGACTCGTCATAGGGTAGGACATATCTGCACAGCGGCTCTAGGGGTGACGAGGGATCAATGACGTTTGCTCTGTCGGATACCCACCGCTGTTTTCTCAATGTTGATATCACCAGTCATTGCTCATCTCCTGAAGGCCCTTTCCTTGACGAGTTCACGCAACCTATCGTGGAGTGACAAGCTGCCACGGTATGGATGGTCGCCCATTATTTTGCAAAGTCTAAGTTGGGAGACAAATTCACCAAGAAGACAAGGTCATGGCATGAATGAGTGATAACGGTGATCAGATCTTGACACACCAGTTAGGTTTCTTGGTGCGACAGGATTGCGTAGAAAGTCACACCACAATCATGATATCAAGAATGAAGGTAAAATTCTCCCACGCTTATTGGTCGAATAGCATAGGCGATGTTGTGCAGACAGGCCTGGAAGCACGGCGATAGATCTGGAAACAGGTATTACAGCGATTTCAACTTGATGGCAACATTACTGACCAACGACTGGGCTCTTTGCACACCGATATGGGACAGCATTGAGCCCAAACGGCGGTGGCAAGACGTGGACATACAGCAAGCTTGAGGATGTCCCTTCTGGCGTGTTACCAGTTTGACTACCTTGGTCAAAGAAGCTTCTCATGTCGTTGAACAAAAGCGTTTGCCACTGGGAGCCAAGCAGGTTGCCGTCGTAATAAAGATGCTTGCAGAAGGACGGCTTCGGATATCCGCAGACAAGAAGCCGCATGATGGCGTGGCATAGCTTGTGGAATGTCAATTCAGCCTACGATCAATAGCGCCGTGTTCCTCCCATCTGCCCGTTGGACAAGGAGGCGTCTAGAATTGGGCCAAGAGGCTTGTTTATCATGGTCGGGCTTGATGCTTGACGAGAATGATGAACGCCAAGGCTTGATAGATCTGCCATGCTTAACGTTACCTTGTTCCAAGCCTTGCGAGAATCTCTTGCGTTTCTTGTTGAGATTTTTTGACAAGGGGAATTCTGCGATACCCATCCCTGTGATACTTTCCACAGCATTTCAGCTTTTTCACTTGACGGCGAAATGGTCCGAACACGGGCATCTTCGGAAGCCAGATTTTTCTTTTTCAGCTCTTTAGCCTGTGAGCAGGTGTATCCCTGACGATGCTTGGTGAACCGCGGATGCAATGCAATCGCCAGACCGCGCCGTCGGAATTGACCGCCTCCTCTAAGTGTTTGCTGCGATGCGATGCGGTGCAATTCAGGCTGCATGGAAGATATGCCGCCAAAGAGGCGGTATGCAAACCAAACCCCAGCCGCAGGCCAGATGCGTTTGGACCTGGGCCGTTCCCACTTGGTCGCATCTTGCAGAGCGCATAGTCGGGGAAAAGGTTGATCTGAATCGATTGGACCATCTGTTGGTGGTTATGTCTGCGTTCGTAGTAAGTTTGCGAGCTGGCAAAAGGTTCCTGACAGTGGCTGAAAGGTTGGGGAGCCTTTGAGGCGTAAAGGTTTCACGTGAGAGGGTGGCCAGCTGCCAGGGCGGCCAAGTCCCGACGGGAAAGGCTTTGAGACTTTGCGGGAAGGACAAGCAAGGCCGCAAGGGACCCGAGGGGCGTTTTTTGCCTTGACCCCTTCCGTCAAAGAGGCGAGGCAAGGGTGTAAAGGCTGGGCTGGGTCTATTGAAGCCTGAAGCTACTAAGGCGGACCGAAAGTGACAAGGGCGGGACTCGTTTCACCCGTCGCGTCGCAACAGAGTAAAGAAAGTCGTCAAGCGGCTGCCAGATCTTCAAGGACGTATACGAGCACATGGTCTGGCGATTCGACTCAATGGTTTGATGCGAGTGATCATGCGTGGCTTGCAAGGCCTTTGAGGGGTTTCAGTTGCGTTGCTGTTGACAACGAAGAGAAACAAGGTGATGAATGGAATGGATGACCGGGACGAGTTGAAACATCCCATGACCGACTGTCAGGTCGAGCCAACGACTTTCCAACGGCCAGCGAGGGAACCGCCGTGTCCGATAAACGGACGAGTGCTGATCTTACAAGGGCCCTCGACTCTTGCTTTTTCTTCTTCTCTCCCCAAGCCACGCTGAGAGACCGTCGTCAGAGAACAGAACGCCAAAAGCAACGGCAGAAGCAAAAAAGCGAGCTCGAGAGAGCAAAAAAGGTGACGACATGGGTATGTTTCCCCTGCCATGTCCCTGTCCGAAAAGGCGCCCCGCTCGCCGGGAGCCAGGGGGCCATGCTCCCCAGGATGACGGGAGAGTGCGTGATTGGTGGACGGGAGGGCTGTTTGCGCAGGAGGAGGTGATGGGAGGTGACGGGAGGGGGAAGTAGAGCTTGTTAGTGGAGGGGAGCCCGGGACAAGAGGAGAGTTCTAATTTTGATGTGACGGGCACGCGTTGGATGTGAGAGGACGCGATGCAATATCGACTGAGGGGTCATATTACATGGAGGAATGCATATCAGTCTCTCTATTCGATAACAATGAGCTGCAGATGCTAGGGGATATCTTGTTCTCCATAGAAACAGCCGTCAACAAACAACCAAGCACAGGCCAGATTTTGACCTGATGACCTACCGCAAGCACCTAAATCTCACTTCCCATGAAAGGAGAAGGACGACTCGCTCGTTGGACTATCGGTATCAAAATGACGACCCTCTCCTAGGTACCCAAGCAAGTCCAATTCAACTCCCGAGAGTACACAGCCCACTTCCTGAAACCCTCCCCCACTTCTCAGCCAGAGCGCGTCGCGTCAATCCATGTCGATCCTTTCAATCAATCCACGGAACGCGGCCGCGACCACGACCACGGGGCGGGCACTAACAGCAGCTACCGCGTCCCGCACAAAAATTTGCTAGTGGGTGCCTGACGGAGCTGCAGCGCTAATGCGGAGGCCCCTACCGTAGCACGATTCTCAGGTTCCAGTTCTTCCTCAAGCCCCCCTGGGTTTTATGCCAGGGATCGGTGGCATTGGAATGGATTGGCTCGCGCTCTTGGTTTGGGTTTGGCTTTGATTTTTGGCAGGACGGGAGGGAAGGGACGTACTGTCCATACAATATGTACGTATCACACATTGTCGCATCCATCCTTTCTTTTGCTTGCTCACTCTTCTCCCTCCCTACTCCCCTTTCTCTTTGTGATAATCCATCCTCCTTCTGCTTCTGCCCCAAGACAGTCACGTCCTAATTAATTTCCTGACTTTCAGATTGGCCCATTTCCTTTTCCTTCTTGGCTTGTCCTGTGCTGCGCTGCCTGTCTCGCTTGAGCGTCCTCCTCCACGTCACGTACCTTTTACTCTCCTCCTTGCGCCGCGACCTCTTTTCTCCCTCCCCACCAAACACGAGAAGACTACCCACCAGTCTCTCCCTCGCATCTTCATCCCCCGACCGGCTTTCCCGAGTCATTAGACCCTCCACCTTCTTCGACATCGCGTCTCCTTTTCTTCAAGAGATTCCTCGAGGTGCAACTTGAAACACCATCATTGCCTGACAACTTCGCTTCGCTTCGTGACCGAGACAAGAGACGTCACCTCTTCCGAGGAAACCACTGCCGACATTTGCGACACGTTTGGGTCTGTTTCGGCAATACTCGAGGAATACAATTCCTTTCTACTTCCCACATTGCCTTCATCAACCGGTCAACAGCCTTGAGACACGGACTAGCAGCATCAATTACACAATATCCTACCCATTACGCCTCCCGAGACGACACAGGCCATCCAGCACATTCCGCGATGAAGTGAACCAAGCTACTCCATCGCGATCTGGACCTTGGAGAAACGCGATCAACCTCGATATGCTACATAGACACGTATAATTGTGTGTCTGATCACCCATCCACCTCGAAACATCGATATCACATACAAAGACAACCCGTCTTGCTTGCCCGAGAAATCCAACGGCAGGCCTATTCTCGTACTCTTATACTCTTAATCACATAGTCAGCCCTTCGGCATTTCCTAATCATGGAACGACCTCCTTCGCGGTCTTCTTATGGGCGAACCGCCTCCCGATCTTCCACTAGTACCACCAACACGAGAGTCACTATGCATAGCACGAATAGCTCGACCTCTCACGCACCTCAGTCTCCTCAACTATCACACTCGCAACACTCACAGCACTCCCACCGATTCTACCATGCTGCTTGTCAACGACCTGCTAGCGCCACACCACGAACATCGGCTCGATTGACGCCGCGCCTAACGAGAGAATCTAGCAGCGAATCCACGCGCCAACCAGTTGTCTCATCTTTCCTCCAGGAGAGGCTTCAGAAGGAGCGTCAGGCCGAGATCGAAAAGTCATCGTCATGGTCACGAGCCAACACTGAAGCTAACTCTTCAGGCGAATTTGGCCAGGTCAGCCATGGCTCTCCTACTAAGCGTAGGGAGTCCGATGTGCACCGACCTCAGTCAGCCGCTGGAAGTGAGGCGTCTAAGAAGAAGGGGTTGGGGGTCAAGGACATGGAGACGGTAAGTTTTCCATTGCTTTCTGGATGAGCCTAGCTGACTAGTTTCGAGGTCATTTCTTCTCTTCACAAACAGAACTTTGATCTCAAGTTGGAGCTTTACCATCGTCGGGAACGACAGACGGCATTGGAAGATCAAGTCGAGATCCTGGAATCGGAAAAGAGAAGAGTCGACGAGATCAACGATAACCTTGTTCAAGAGATGGAGAAGCGTGACAAGGCCATTGAGGAAGCAGTTGCCATGATTGTGACGCTTGAGGCCAGGCTTGAGCAGTTTGCCCAAGAGCGAGCCATGGTTGAACAGATCGAGGCCGAAGGACAGTACATGGCGCCGGCGTACAACCCTTGCTACGAAGATCCCGTACCCAAGTCTAAGTCACCGGAACCCGTGAGACAAGGGGATGGTGCTAAGGCCATCACCCGGATGCCGAGCTTCTTGTCTGAGCGGAGCGAGAACACCGAGAACTTGCGAAACGTCTATCTTGGAGCTAGAGGCAGTGTTCTCAGCCTCCCACAAGTACCCGAAGGCGAGGGGAACTTTGAGAACGGTCCTGTGGGTAGCCCAAGTCTCAGCGTCTTGAGCGAGAGCTCCTTTGTGAGTGTGTACGGAAAGAAGGGACACGACATGAGCGTTCCCCAAGATGTGGAGGAGCCGCTGTCCCTTGATGGCGCTGATGGACTTTCGGCCAAGGTCGTTGCTAAGAGCATTCACCGGCCAAAGACATCTCTGGCCAAATCCCCTATGCCGCCAACTAACAGATCAGGTCGGTCGAACTCGCTCACCAACAACAAGCGTGGGCAGTTTGACTCTATCAACAACGTCATCATCGATCGGGGATCTCCCCTCCAGCAGATTGAGCGAGACTACTCTCAGAAGGGAGAAGGACGACCTCAGAGCCGGGACAAGGATGGCGCCAGTCTTTTCAATGGACGTGCTGCTATGTCGCCTAACCATCGACGTACCAAGGAGGAGAAGCGAGAGTCGCTTCGAAAGGTTTTGACTGATGCGCCTGGTGGTGTTCGGCTGCATGATCATGCTCTCCCACCAACGCCCGATACTATCTCGACCTCGACGCTGCGACGGTTCCAGAACTCCAATGAGACCTTGTCGAAGCATCCTACTATGAGACGAAGCCGTAGTGGTCTGTCCGATGCATCCGACGACGAAAAGGCGGATGTGCACTCCGGTGCTCGTCTTGAGCAACCTTCGCATGTTGTCAAGGCTTCAGCTAAGATCATTGAACTGAACAACAGTGCGTATCTGGAGAACCGCGGCAGATCGATCCAGCGTCCTCGTTCTGCTGATGAGACGACTGTATCTAACCGAAGAGGAAACGACTGGGACTCCGACTCTGATGACACGGACGTCGAGTCTCTCGAGTCGAGCCTTGATATTTGGATGCGCGAGAGCGCCAAACCGAATAGAAACAGAAACGGTGGACGCATCTCGCCCGATCTCTTTAGCTTCCCGTCAGGCGGAGCCAAGGGCGGCTGGGCGATGGATGCCATGTTTGGACCTGGCAACGGCTATTCTGGAGGCGTTAGCACCGGCGCTGACCCACAGAGAGTCATGGACTTGTTCGCTGTTCAGCAGGAATTGTTCTCATCGACGATTCCTCCACCGCCGCCTAACAGGCGGTCCAGCCTCAATGCCCAGACTGCAGCCAACTCCAAGGCTGCTTTTCTGTCGAAGCCATTGGTAAACGCCAAGGTCTCCAAGCCAAGTCGCCGAAGCCGTCACCAGAGGAGAAACAGCGATGATATCCAGATCAGAGCAGAGATGCAGACTCCGGTGCAGCCACTCCAGCCAGCGCCACCGGTCGGCGAACAGAAGAAGAACCATTACCCGCCAATCACGGGACAACAAGCTGTCCGCAACGGACTTACCAAGCTTTTCCGGCGATCGATTGGCGCAGGATCTTCCAACTCCACATCGGCACCGGCGCCGGCTGCGGCCCCAACTTCGGACGCGGCTCCTGTTGAGCAGACCAGCGTCGAACACCCCAACATTAATGGTGCGACGGTGGTTCCACCGTGGATGACTCGGACTGGAGTAGTGGATGATGACCGCGACAGCGCAACGCCTCCACCGATTATGCGGAACCCTCGCCACGGCCGACATGTCTCTGTTGAACTGAGCATGGCGGACGACTCTATCTTGAGTCAGGATTCGGCAGCACCGGGTACGCCGTTGACAGCGGCTCCGGGGCATGACAAGGGGACTCCCGAGTACATTGCGGACAGCCCCAGAGTGGCCTCGGCAGGGCCCAGGAGAAAGTGGTTGCCAGGATTTGGAAGGGCAGCGGGAAAGAACAAGAATTAGGAGATCTGGTGTCAGCACAGAGTCGCTTTTGCGTTGAGGATGATGTTTGCAGAGCGTCAAATTGTAAATTAACAAAATAACTTCGGATTGGTCAGGGGGGTTGCAGTCGGAATGCACCCAGGCGTTGGATTGTATCATACCCAAGGGGGGAAAACTCAATTTGCTTATGGGAGGGGACACAATGGGAGGCTAGGTCAGGGGAGACACTGGTTTAAGGTTGGGGACAGGTTTGAGGTTGGGACATATCGGACATCAATGAGGTCAATCTGACCTGGAAGCGAGCTAAGCATAAATTGGTAGCATCAATTCAACTGCTGCCAAGGCAGCGCGATTACTTGAATGGTCATGGCTTGCGGGAGAAACATGTCACAGCACAAGAGACAGGAGAAATGAGTCGAGGTGAAGTTTTATTGAGTTCCCTTTTGCGAGTTCCCATTCACATCGTTGACCAGACCAGTCCATCCATGCACCAGGCAACCCGTGCCATTGTCAACGAAAACCATGCGCGTCCCGTATGTTCGTGCCGATCGAAAACTGTGTCCGAGAAGAAGAGTCCCCATTCAAGAGGCCAAAAAGAGTGTCGAGGGGAGAGACCGTTTAGGCCCAGTCCCAGGTGGTGGTGGTGCGGCCGATGCTGAGAGCACCGATGCCCTGCTGGAAGGCAGTGGGCGAGAGATCGATGTCGTTGTAGGCGCAGCCCTCGCAGCGGTCAACGACCTTAACGGTGACCTCGCCGGCGGCGCCCTTGACCTTGATGCTCTTGCCGCAGGGCTTCTGGGCGTCGAAGAGGGCAGCAGACATGGCGACGACCAGGTCACCATCGCCGTGGGTCTTGCCACAGGCGCCAAGGCCGGGGTGGTAGTAGGTAGCTTGACCCTCAGCGCGAGGAACGACGGCCGGGGCGGCGCTGGCGAGAAGGGGGAGAGCGAGGAGAAGAGCGGAAGTGAACTTGGCGAACATGTTGACGGTTTGTTTGCGTTGATGGGGTATCTTGAAAGTTTGTCGTTTGAAGAAGAGAGTGAAAAGCTTTCCTGCTCGAGAGTTGTCGAGGTTGCTTTGTGAAGAAGAGAAGGCTTTGGTTGTGAAGGAAAGGAAGAAGCTTGAAGGCTAGCTTGCAAAGCTTGGTTGTTGGTTGAAGGAAAGTGAAGAGTTGCTGGTGTGTGATGATGAAGAAGAGAAGAAGAAGAGGAGGGCCTCGAGGAGGAGAAGCGGTCTTCTTATACCTGAGATGGACCGGAGTGACAGTGAATCATGGTCGTGGACCGGCGCCTGAGGCGAAACCGCCATGGCACTGACAGAGCGAGACCACACATCCACACACGAAGAGAGGGAAACAATAGCCTGCATGAATAAGTGGTGCTCTCTCTTGACTTGCCCCGTCTCCGCCTCGGTATACCGACCAACTGGCTAGCGTGCAGTCCTGCAGGGGGAACAACAGCGACTTGCAGAACTCGGGGGTGGGCCGGATCGGTACCGTCTGAGTCGAGATTGGTCCTGAGAATCGTGAGAGAGATGGGATGAGTCTACGGGATGGAGCGGTTTGATCCTACGGGTACGGGGAACAGGGGGTATGTTGAGGCTCACGGGAGGTCCTTGTTTCACATGGGGATTTTGTTTCAACCAGCTTTCATGGGACGACTATTGGAACTGTTTCGAACACTAGAAGAGAGAAAGAAGAAAAAAACGCAAGCGTTTGGGTGCGTGGCAAAGGTACGTCAGCAGTTTGACGGGATGTGGGTTTTTTTTTTCGTGTGACCTTTTGTTGTGGACTTGACAGCAAAGGGCGGGGGAGAGAAGAGAGAGCACAGCATGGAGGAGAGAGCGACTTCCGAGAGGTTCATCTCGGGATGGACCTTGTGTGCGTTGGATGGGCAGGGATGGGATGTGTTGTCGATCTAGGGCTGTGAAGGAGGGACGCAACGTTGCGAGTGTCTTTACATGAGGCATTGTTTCGAAAGAGGAAGTTGGATATTTCATTGAGATCCTTCAGTGTTCAATTTCATGCTCATGATTCGATCAGGCTTACGTTTGAGCAGATTCAGGTACCAGGCACGGGCGGGCAGTGGCTTTGAGAAAGGTGGTGAGCCATTTCTCTCATGATGACTGCAGGCGTCTTACTGGCGTCAGGGGAAGAAAAGGCAAAAGTGCAGGTTTTGACTGGATGAATACTACCTTGGCACGTGTACCTTTTACACCGCTGTCCAATGCGAGGACACATGGCGTGAGAAGTACATCTCGTCTGGGACTTTGGTTGAGTAAGAACATGCAGAGACCAAGAGTTTGAAGTATGAATCGTAAGCTCGAATCTAGACTTTTTCAACAGAAGCGGTCGCTCTTCTTCCTTCTCCGCTCGCAAAACCCGTAGCCCAGTCGGGTCATCGACCGATCCCCCCCCTCCCGTCTTTGTCACCCACCACCCAAACGTGTTCCAATAAGAGACAAGATTCCCCTCGCGCGGCTTTTTCGGAAAGAGCCTGCGTCGGTAGCGGCGTCGGTTCCTGGCATGACGGGACCAGGGGAGCAAATAGGCGCGCGCGAGAGTTGGTTGCGCGTACATCCAGGAAACATGAAACGCGGGCTGGTGGGCGGGCGGCTTACTGGCGGAGTGTGTCTTTCTTGTACGGCTGACCAAGAGAATTCACGTTTCGGATACTGTGTTGAGGGGAGCGTTGGTTGGTTCTTTGGGTTGGACGGGAGGGTGACTGTCGTGGTTTTTGTGTTACGTGGGCGTTCTTTGAGGGAGATGAGAGTCGGGATCTTGGAGAGGAGGGGAGAGCGGAGGGTGTTACTTCTTGACGTCTGTAACTTGAGTTGAGTTGATGCGCCATCGGAGAGATCAACTAGATAGATACCGTGTGAAGAAAAGATCATCTAGTTATCGCGACAAAGGAGTTGTTCTAGCTGACGATCTCCCGAACTGACTCTCCTACATATAGACAAGCTCATCCCCAAGCCATTCATCACTGGCGGAACACCGTCCTCGCACCGACTCACAAACCCCGTGCCGATTCCGAGATCAACATGGATCCATCACCCGTTGTGCGAGGCTTTCTCGGAATAGCAACAAGGGCCTCGAAATGACAACCCCCTTTTGTCTGCATTCTCGTGAACCCTTTTGAGTCTCGTAAAACGCCATGATCGCTCAATTTGGGACTCTTGCGCTGGGGTTTCGAGTCGTTGCTGGGAGGTTGGACGGGTATAAATTGCTGCTTTGGATCGTCTGCGTGTGAGAATGAGCGGGAAGTATTGTCAACCTCTCTTTGAGTGCGGGAGGTGATTCGCAACTGGTTGAAGGCTCAGATCTCAATCACCGACACCATGGCCTTTCTATCTCTCCTTCTAGTCCTTGCCTTTTACTCAGGTCTCGGCCTGGGGAGTCCCTTCTACGGTCCTCCAGACGCTCTCACGTCTTGCCTAGCTGCAGAATCGGTCCCCCACGCAGCAAAGAACTCGAGCCAGTGGATACAAGACACCAAACCATACAACCTTCGTCTAGCATACGTCCCCGAAGCGGTCGCGATCCCGACAACCATCAAGCACATCCAGGATGCAGTCAAGTGCGGTAGACAATATGGAGTAAGGGTCAGCGCCAAGAGCGGAGGGCACAGCTATGGATCATTCGGCTTTGGTGGTGAAGATGGCCATTTGGTCGTTGTCATGGACGCCATGGACAAGGTCACTCTAAACAAGGACATGAGTTGCACCATTCAGGCGGGTGCACGACTTGGCCACGTCGCCAACGAACTGTTCAACACACTTCGCAGAGCTCTATCCCACGGGACCTGCCCTGGGTAAGGGCGACACTTGTCCCTTTGTTACGCAACTGACAAAACGCAGTGTCGGCATCACCGGCCACGCCCTACACGGCGGTTACGGCATGTCGTCTCGAACCTACGGTCTCACACTCGACCGCCTCGTCGGAGCGACAGTGGTGATGGCCGACGGATCGATAAAATACAGCTCGGAGTGGGATACGCCCAGCTTTCACTGGGCACTCAAGGGAGCCGGGTCTTCGTTTGGCATTGTCGCTGAACTCGACTTTATGACATTTGCTGCACCTGAAGTGCTCACGTCTTTTAACATCGACCTTGACTGGAGTGAAGAGGAAGCGGTTGAGGGGATACTGGCTTTTCAGGAGTTTGGAGTCAACGCCCCGAGGGAGTTGAACATGCAGATCTTTATGGGGCCGAGAGGTCAGGCGATACAGGGCCTTTATCATGGCAGCTTGGAGGGCTTGAATGCGGCTTTGCGACCGCTTTTAGGAGAGGTTAACGCGCAGGTGTCAAAGACGAACACTATGAATTGGATTGAGAGCGTGGAACATTTCGCTGATGGTCAGCCACTTGTGCAGAGGCGTCCGTATGACAGGGTGAGACTTGAACCAACACTTTGCGATCGAGGCTGACAGTGTGATAGCACAGCACGTTCTACACGACCAGTCTTTTGACACATGCTCTCACAAGACACCAAGTCGAGTCTCTCGTTAACGCTCTTTTCACGAACGCCAAAGACCCCTCGGCGCGAAAATCGTGGTACCTCCTCCTCGACCTCTTTGGCGGCCCCAACTCGGCCATCTCGGAACAGTCCCCCTCCGACACAGCATTCCCTCACCGCGACAAGCTTCTCCTCTACCAATTCTCCGACGGCGGCTCCAACGGGTCATACCCGCCCGAAGGGTTCGATCTCCTCCGAAGGTTCAGGGAGAGCGTCACGTCAAGCATGGCGGACGGGAAGTGGGGCATGTACGCGAATTATCTGGATACGCAGTTGGATGGTGACACAGCGACGAGGTTGTATTATGGGGGCAATTTGGAGAGGTTGAGGGCGTTGAAGAGGGAGTTTGATCCTGATGATGTGTTTTGGAATCCGCAGGGTATCAGGCCGGCTTAGGGCTGAGCGTGGGGATGCGGTGGGATGGGGTCTCTTTCGGTGTCTATAGTTTGCGATTACTGTGATATGTTTATAATAGAAACTCATTATTTGACTGACTTGGATTGGTTCCTAGACACTTGCCACGCCTATCTATTATTGAGCAGCCAAGTTCTCCGTCCCGATGTAGCTGATGCCATACTCAGGTCTCCCGCCCTGGCAGCGCGCCTTCGGAACTTGACCCATTATTCAGCTCAATGGTTTAGCATGCGCCACAAACGAAACCAACAGGTCCCGTGATGTCTATGCCATTGCGAATACTGGCTGGACTTTTGCAATTGTCCGTTGCTGGAGATTACGGAGATTGGCGGCATCGCGGCTGCGCTTCCGTTTTAGGAAGTAGATCTCTGGTTGGTTGAGATACCCTGCCGCGTCAACCAAACAATGAGTCTGGTTTGGTGATGAGTGCTAACATCGATGAAAAAGCTTCAATTTATCGGGGTTAGGTAAAGTCCGTGGAAATGTTTAGCTGAGAGTCTAAGATATGTAGAAGTGAGAGAGGGGGTCTGAGGGTATATAACCGCAAGAGTCTGCGATCGAGTTGGGGGAATATGTTGAGTAAGAAGTGACCATTATCACATCTATTCCCGCCCAATACTTTTCCAGAACAACTCAAAGTATCCATATCAAAATGACCTTTTGGAACTTTGTCCGCGCGCAGTGGACGTACCTCCCCCTCGTCCCCACCGAGGCCACCGTCACCGGCGGAACCTACATCGTGACAGGCGCAAACACCGGCCTCGGCTTCGAGTGTGCCAAGACATTGGCCAAGCTTGGAGCAAAGACAATTGTCCTTGGTGTTCGATCGATCGAAAAAGGCGACGTAGCAGCTGCAGCTATTGCCAAAGAAACTGGTCGAGAAGGTGTTTGTCAGGTTTGGCATCTTGATCTCGCCTCTTTGGACTCTGTGGAGGAGTTTGCAAAGAAGCTTCAGACTTTGGATAGGATCGATGCATTGATTCAGAATGCATCTGTTGCGCTTGCTGATTTCACGCTCTCCCAAGGAGTCGAGACAACCATCACTGTCAATGTCCTTAGCACAATGTTGCTTGCCATCAGGGCCATGCCAAAACTTCAAGAATCTGCAAGGACGTTTTCGATTAACCCACACTTGGTTATCGTCTCGAGTGTGACTGGCTTTCAGTGTGAGGGGGTTTTGGAAAAGCACAGTGGTGATCTGTTTGAGGCCTTGAGTACCAAAGAAGCTGACATGGTTGGTCGGTAAGGGCTACAAAATCCAACTTGGGAGGTAACTTGGCTGATCATAAACAGCTACCCCCTGAGCAAATTGCTGCAAATATACGCCACACGCCATCTAGCATCACTCCTCCCACTATCTGAGACGGGGGTCATCATTAACATCCTGAACCCGGGCCTCTGCAAGACAGAACTCAACCGCAACGCACGTGGGTTTATGAAGTATCAGATTCTCATATTGAGGCTGTTCCTTGGGCGGACCCCTGAACAGGGTAGCCGAACTCTTTTGCACGCCGCAGTGGCGGGGACGGAGAGCCACGGGAAATATGTATCCGACTGTGAGATTAAAGAGTGAGTGATCCCTCGGTTAGATGAGAGTAGAATGCTAACTTTGTGATAGATATCTGGCCCCTGGATGGGTGTCTGGCGAAAGTGGGTTGCACATGCAGCGAAGGGTTTGGACGGATTTGCTCAAGAACTTGAATGTGAGGGGGCATCATGTAGAGTCTCTCTAGGGTGGGAAAGTGTGCTGTTGGTTTTTTCTCCGGCAAGGGTCCTCTTTACTACGTCGTAATCTATTCATTAGTTGAAAGTTTCAGTCAAGGCCAACTCCGACTACAACACCATCACACGGGCTTCAGGGGTTATGAAGATAATCTTTGAATTCTGTATCCCATACTGGACAGGCTAGAGACGTTGAGAACCCTTTACTTTTGTTACATCCTCGAGTCAACGCGGCCAGGCACTTGTGCGAGCGTCCCTTTCCCAATGGGCTGAAGCATGTCAAGGTTGAACATGGTAAACAGTGAGCCCCTATGCTTAATGTCCCCCTTGAAAACTAACAAACACATTTCCTCCTGGCTGGGTAACTCTAAGGGGCCTCTTGATTATTATTCATACCTCCTGGTCGAGCATGTTCGGACGAAGTGACGCACGAGATCAGCAACTATTTCCCCCAAGTTATGGAGAGTCATCTCCCGGGCCGCGGACCTACCGCCAGCCAGGAAACCGGGCTTCGATCTCCTAGATGTCGATCAACTCTAGTTCATGCCAAGCGCCCCCACGAGAGGACCACGTGGGGCTGCCGTTGTTGACTCAAAGACAAGCCACGATCCAGGAAGAAAAGCAATATAGATATGAGGCGTGATCTAATGGGAATGGAAGAAGAATGAAAGGCTGGGCTGGTAAACGTTGGGAGGATGGTTGAGTAGCATTGTGCCCAACGTTCTAGAGTACCATCGTGGTGTTGCATCTTGACCTGCAATCACAAAGGGGGATCAGCAGTGCTCTTCTATACCCGCTCGACCGACTTGTTTCGGCTTTGGAAAATAAAAGAACGGCTGTTTGTTAGTCGCGATGATCAAAGAATAGGGTGACTGCCGAGCAAACAAGCGGAAAAGATCGACAGGGCAGCTAGTGCGTTGAACAAGGGTATCTCGAGGCGGTCTCTTCCCCAGCCACTGTTGCATAACATGGGTTCATTTCACTGCCAAGGGGTAATGACGTCTTGGGGACTGGGGATGGTTGCACTCAATGGGGATTGACAGGAGGTTGTGTTGCAACGTTGAAGCTTTTCGAAGGAAGGGGGATATGATGATGTGCAGTCAGCGGAAAGTTCCGTTGCTGTCTGACAGAAACCGACGAGTCCGAGTTGGGAACCATTGAAGAAACATAGACGGCATCACAGATAATACCTCGGAAACTTGAATACTGGGAGAAACTCTTGCTCGAAATTCACAATCAGTAAACCATTTACCCAACCGGATTCCTCAAGACCCCATTTCTTGTCGATCGAAGCGAGTCGGGGGCAACACTAGTGAAGCCCGGAACTCTGCGCTAGAGTCGTTGGTGAGAGAGCGATCGGCAAAACCACCAAAGCGGAGCATCTCGAACTGACAATTTGAGGTCACTGCTACCCTTTCGCCATGGCCCAGTGATACTACTCTGAAAAGTGTATATAAACATCTCTTGATTCCGCCATTTACATCACTCTCTCATCATCCTCATCCAGCTTTCAACTCTTACAGCTTCGGCCCAATCACACTCTTTTACCACCCACACTCTTTTTTAAACAACCACACTCTTTTAACAACTCTTTTAATCTTTCAAAATGAAGGCTACTTTCTTCTCCGTCTTTGCTCTGGCCATCTCGGCCATTGCTAGCCCCGTTCCTCAGGTCAACGGCGCTGTTGGACAGGTCAACGGTGTTGTCAAGTCTACTACCGACGTTGTCACCAAGAAGGTTGGCGTCAAGCAGATTGTCGATGAGGCTACTTCTGCCAAGCGTGCCATTGCCGACCCTCAGATCTTGATCACTACTCTCAAGACTACTGTCCACAAGGTCAACGGCCAGACCACCGGCATCAGTATGTGACATGCACCCACCGCATGAATAGTATTAGACTAACACATAATAGACGAGATCGTTGAGAAGGTCAAGGCTGGTGCCCTCACCAAGGATGCCGCTGCCACCCAGGCCGTCCCTATTTTCGAGGCCGTCCACTTCGAGCTCACCGAGGTCGTCACCAAGCTCACCGGTGCCGCTGGCCTCAACGTCCCCGACGTCGATGTCGACACTGTCCTCAGCCTCGTCGTCGTCCTCGTCTCCGACGTTCTCACCACCGTCAAGACTCTCATCACTGAAATCGGTCTCCGACCCCAGCTCATCTCCATCCTTCACTCCGTCTTCACCATCCTCGCCAAGGTTCTTACTCTTGTCATCGGCATCGTTGGCGCCATCGTCCCTGGCCTCCTTGCTGCCCTTACTCCTCTCCTCGCTGGCCTCAGCAACGCTGTCCTTGCCCCCGTCCTCACCCCCATCACCGCTTTCCTTGCCGGCATTGCTGCCGCCTAAAAAGCTCATGTCATGAGAGCATCTTGCATGGGAGGGTGTCTGAGTTCCTGTACATTTTGGCCCATGGGCTGTTTCTGAGGAAATATTCTCTATTATTTGTCAATACAATGATATGAAACTTTGACCCAACACTTGCACCATTCCATGCCATGATTGACCGCTAGATATAGTCATCCTTCGACCAGTAAGCTTCAATGATTCGTGAGGTAGTCCCTCAGACTTTGTGCCTAATAGTCTAGCGAAGGTAATCCTTCTCAACTGAACGCATGTGGTCATCTCCCTGGAGTGCAAAGATCTCAGATACCGGAGTTATCTCCTCTTCCACTCGACCAATACCTCCGTCTTCAAGGATGTGTTTAAACGTGCGTCTCATTGACGCCACGGCTGCTCTAACAGCATGATTACCACAGATGATCAGTCCAACCTTGTCAAGTGCTGCCACCTCGGCGAATGATAGTTGCGGGTAGCTAGTTGGCACTATTACCAGGGGCACAGTCCCCGTCCAAGCTTTGCAAAACGACAGGATCTCATCTGGTGTTTTTTGCTTGCTGTGAACTAGGACCGTATCTGCCCCAGCTTCAGCGTAGGCCATAGCACGCTTTATGGCTTTTTCCTCTCCCAATCCAGCGATCAATGCCTCTGTCCGGGCAATGACAAGCACCGGGCTGACTTTTGCCGCAGCGATCTTACCCTGGAACTCTGGGATAGAAACCAGGGCGTGTCGGCCTCCAGCCCGTAGGCTGCTGTCTTTGGGAAATGCCTTGTCTTCGATGACGACGGCCGTTGCGCCCGCTGCAGCAAAGCGAGGAACGGCGTAGGCCACGTTGACCGCGTTGCCAAAGCCTGTATCAAGGTCGACAATGAGAGGGAGGTTCTGAACCTCGCCCATTGCGCGCGTCATCTCAAGGATGGTGCTCATGGGTAAGATGCTGGCGTCGGGCACAGCGTATGAAGCTGACAGTTCAAATCCACTGACCCAGACTGCCCCGAAGCCAGCTTCTTCTACCAATTTGGCGCCGAGCGGACTATGAGCGGCCATGGCAATTGCTGGCTTGGCTGTGTTTAGTCTCTCGCGGAGAATGTCGACTTTGGATTGGGTTGCTGACATGGCGATGTTGATCGAGGAAGATTGTGGCTGGTGTTGGTAGAGGTGCTGTGAGTGTACGGACATGAGTATTTATGAAAGGCGAAATGAAGGTGAATTATCGAATCAAAGAGTTGCTCAGATACCGGGCATGGATGAATCAGCTGACGTGCCTTGAATGCAGCTCGGATTATCAAGTCCGAGCAAAGCCAAGAAGGATCGCCGAGATCGGGGAGAGACGAGTGATTCACACCAAGACTTGAGATGTTTCATAATATATCTGATCATCATACGTTCTGTCTCTGTATTATCAATACTGTTCTGTCCTGCCCTCTGTACTATACCACAACTGCCGTGCATACTTGTCCAGACGTTGCGGGAGCCACAATGTGTTGTGCAAATTCTCGACGTAGTCTTCAACCGAGCGAATTTCTGGTCTATGGGTCTCTAGTGTGTCGAGGTGTATTCTGAAGAAATATTCCCTGTAGGCAGCCTGATGACTTGAAGAAAGCACAAGCAGAAACGCAAGCCATAGATCCAGTCCGGCTGCCCTCATGGTGGGCCAAACTTTCGGATCGGACACCAGATCTTGGATATCTGATAAAGGCATGGGAATGTTATCCAGGAGCTGGCCGTTGTTGCTGATGAAGAAGATGAGCACTGCTGTAAACAACGCCACTAGATGATCCGCATTTGATGCCCCATAGGATGCTTCGTACTGCCATCGTGGGAACATTTCAATGGCTAAACCGTATAAACCCTGGACACCTAGCAAGTCCCACTTGTAACTGTCAGGCTGACGAAGCCAGGCGGATGTATCCTTCAAGAGGCAGTCGACAGTTACCAAGAACTCGCGGAGCCCGTGATGAATACCGGCCTTGCACCAGCTGGAGGCTTTGACAGTCAATTCGGTAAAAAAGAATGAAGACTCTGGGTAGCTGTAGATCTGTTTCATCAACCCTCTGGGTAGTGCCATTTTCGTCTGTAGTCCGATGTTCCCTGACGTGGGACCACTGTACGGCCCAAGAATTAGCTATGCTATGAGGGTTTGACAAAAGAGAAATGAACTTGCTCTGCGAAATTTGGCTCGACCCTCTGACGCCGATCGTCGAAAGAGACCTGAGAATCACCCCGCAGAGAAACCATTTGCCTAAGGCCATCAATATGAGCCTTGAGTTGGGTATAATCCGGCTGCAGTGCTTTGTTCCCAGAGTGTGAGAGAGAAGAAAGGAACAGGGTTTCCTCAAAGCAAATGAGATTGTATACGGCCGTGAGATTCTCATTGCATGTTGCTTCATCAGAGTACTCCAGACTTCGCCGCATCGCCATTATGGCGAGAAGTCTTTGGCGTTCAGCAAATCTGACGTAGTAGGGTACATCTGGACGTGCCATGGATAGTCGAAGCGCCGTGAATGCCAAGATGGCATGCGTAGACGCGGCATGATTGAAAGAAGGCCTGATCCAGTCGTTCTTGAGTTGCTCATGCGCAATTTTGGACATGTTGGCTGCGGATACAGGGCAAAGAATCGAGTCAACTGCGATACAAGACTCAGCATTATGCTAGGCGCGGCTGCACCTGGGTGTTGGGGCTGGGGGGAGGGGGGTATGTCACGAACAGTATGTCAACAAGGTATGGATGTCTTTATCGCTGGCACTGGGGATAGAGACCCCTGGCTGCTTCGGGGATGTACTGTGTAGAGAGCTTGCAGCCCAGAAGTCCAGCAACACCTCCGATGCTTGTCTTTCCCCTGTCTTGAGGCTCCGAGGCTGGCCATCTTGGTCTGTCTGTGAGCGGAGCACTTGGCCTTTAAGCGGAACCACCGCTGTGCTTCTCGATGCCCTCTTGGCCTTTCTCTTGTCTCGGGGCTTTGCACTTTTGGTGGACCAGGAAGACCCAGCCCGTACATTGCCAGTTACAAAAGACCGGCCTTGCCGGGAGATGGCGGAGGTGGATGGATTGCTGACGCTGACAAAGTGAAAAGATCGAGGCTCGGAAGCCATCGTGGAGAGATAATTTCCCAGATGGGGAAATGCTAATGGTTCATGCAAAGGGATGTGTTTAGGCAGGCAAGTGAGATTGAGGAGAGATCAGATGAAGCCGACAGGAGGCATGGGAAACCCCGGTCGGACGGTTGATAACTCCCCGACCTTCAATAAGCTCTGGGGGTTTGGATCACTCGCTTGCCAAGGTCATGGCTTCTCTGTGGTTGGCTTGAAACCCTCCGAGCCACCACATCGGAGGCTTTCGAGTCCAGGGATCCATCAAGCCGTGGTACAATTTGTAAGCTGGAACTAAATACTAAGCCGTACTAGGAGAATGCTAATTGCGTCGAATTGTAGATGCACTATTCCCTACTGGGAAAATGCTAATGTGATTGCTTCTATGGGAGAGTATCAGACGGGGAGGGGATCGTGTGTCGCGGTGATGATGTGAAGGTGCACTGAAGAAAAATGGAGGCGTTAAGAATTCACTAATTCCATTACTTACTCCTCCAATATCTACTTAAGAGCCTCTTTTATCGTTGGTCTTTCTTCTGCAAGTTCCACCTAACCCATCTCTCACATTGCGTTTGCTGGGAGTTCCGGTTTACATGCAGAGCAGTGCGACATTAATGTTAGCCTACGTTCACTGGTAAGTGAACCATTGATGCAGAAAAGGAGCTACTGAATACTAATACCTCTTGAGATTGACAACATGGCATCTGTCATCGGCCGGCTTGTGGGAGCCTTCTACCCAACTGTGGTAGCTAAAAGTGACGATGCTATCAAACTTGGCATTCTTGGTGCTGCAAACGTTGCGTAAGGACACACCGACTTGGATCAAACCTGAGATCGAAAGCTAACAGAAACCAGCCACATGTCCCTCTTGACTCCCGCCAAGTCGCACCCCGAGATTGTTATCCAGGCTGTAGCTGCCCGTGACCGCAAGAGGGCTGAAGAGTACGCCAAAGCTAACGGTATCCCAGAGGTCAAAGATTCATATCAAGGTGTGTTTTGAAGCGATCCCTGCCCATGGCATAGTCTTATACTTTGACTAGAGATGCTTGACGACAAGAACATTGACGCCATCTACATTCCTCTCCCCACTTCGTTCCACTACGGGTGGGCTGTTCGCTGCATCAAGGCCGGCAAGCACGTACTGGTTGAGAAGCCATGCGTATCTAACGCCCACGAAGCCGAGAAACTCTTCAACCTACCCGAGCTCTCTCAGCCCAATGCTCCTGTCATCCTCGAAGCCTTTCACACCCTGTTCTACCCCTCATGGCAATACTTCCTATCATTTGTCAACTCCGAAGAGATTGAGCACATTCACTCTCAGTCGATGCTTCCGTGGTACTTTACAAACAAGGATGGCATCATCTTTGACTACAACCTCGCTGGTGGTGCGATGATCTGCATGGGCACTTACAACTTTGCTGCCATTCGTCAACTTTTTAGAGCCGAGCCAGTTGAGTGCCTGAGCTGTGACACGCAGACATTCCCAGGAGAAGGACGCGATAAGTGCGACATTGCGTTCAGAGCAAGGTTTCGCTTCCCTAAAGGGGCCATCGCCGAGACCGAGAGTACGGTTCGTGGAAGCAGCATTTGGACCCCTTCAAGTGTGACTGTCACGAACAAGGAAGTCATTGTCTCTGACAAGTCGCTCCCAAACGGACAGGAAAAGGTTCTTAAGCGAGAGTTGACACTCTATGGGTTCCTCTACGGCATCGTCTGGCACCGCATAGACATCGAAGACAGATACACCATCCGCTCCAACGGCAAGGTGATCAAGACATGGGAAGAGAAGAAGTCTCATAAGGCGTATACCTTCAAAGAGGCGGGCGGCAAGTTTGCCGACTTTCCGGGCGAGGACACTTGGATCTCGTACCGACACATGCTTGAGCAGTTTGTCAACAAAGTCAAGGGCCGTGAGACACAGACTTGGGTGTCTGGAGAGGATTCGATTGGGCACATGAGGATGATTGACATGGCTTACGAGAAGAGCGGACTTGGCATCCGGCCTACTCGGAAGTACGAGTAGACGATTTGTAACAATTTGGGTATATAACTTTCACTTCTGCTATTGTAATTGATTTCCTTTTCTGTCCTGTCTGTAGTTCACATGGGCATTGTTAATCCCTGGTGACTGGTATTGCGAGATGTCCATTTCACGAGTCTGTAAACACACCATTGGTAGTCTACCCCTATCTTCTCATAGCCGCCCTTGCTTGATGTTGATACTTGTTAGACTCTTAGATGATAAGTTTAAGGCGGTGTTAATATGTAGCAGGAGTAACGCTCAGGCGACCACCATCTGCGATAACACAGTTGCCGCTACAGTAGGCTCCCGCCCGCGAGGCCAAATATAACAACGGACCCATAATGTCTTCTGGTCTCCCGGCTCTCTCAGCCGGGATCTGATCCAAAGGAAAGGCTCCTTCGGCAGTGGGATCATCACCCTTGATCAAGCTCTCTGTAAGATCTGTCGGAAACACTGTAACTGTCAGACATGGCTCTTGAGATGTGAAAGAATACTCACAGCCTGGGCAGAGAATGTTGGCTCGAATTCGGTACGGCACTAGGTAAGTGACTAGAATCTTCATCATCAGAGTTGTGGCACCCTTGCTGGTGCCGTACGCAAAACCTGCTGTAATCTTTCTGTTGAAGCTTCCGATGCTGCTGGTTGCGATGACTTGACTCCTGCCACCCTGGTAATTGGACTTCTTGTTGCCTTCATCTAGGAGCCCGAGAAAAGCAATGGTTGTGTAAAACACGGCGGTGCAGTTGACATGGTAGGTATTTGTGAAATCCTCCATTGGGATGTCGAAGAGAGTCTCTTGGAGCTGAGCAATGCTGGCCCCTGGAGGCACGTTGCCAGAAGGACCAGAGATGCCAGAGTTGGCGACAAGCAGGTTGATATATCCAACGTCTTTCTCGATGAATGCCACAGCGGCTTTGAGGTTGTCTCGGTTCGTCACGTCGCACTGGACTGGAATGACATTGTCAAGGCCCTGAAACGTATTAGCAGGTTTGCACTTTTCGGCTAACATGGAGTAGACTTACAATGTCTTTCACTGAGCTTTCCAATACTTCCTTTCTCCTCCCGATGATGTAGACCTTCTTTGCACCGTTTTCAGCCAGGGCACGAGTCATGAAGAGTCCGAGTCCTGGGGAAGTTCAGTCTTGGCACATTCGAAAAAAATCGAGACTGTAATGACCACATTGTAGGAATGACTGAGTCAAGATATTGAGAGGGAATTTGACGCACCACTGCCTCCACCTGTCACCACGGCCACAATGCCGCTGACATCAAAGAGGTTGGTTGACGAAGTGGATTTACTCATTGCTCAAGGTAGAGCGGCTTGGGAAAAGAAAGAGGCCAGTGTTCGAGATCAACACAAGTGACGATAAAGGCAAGGACAGCTGGTATTCTTCATAATAGTATGTCTATATATCTGCATAGTGGGATCGCGGTAAACTACCTCATCAGATGGTTCCGTGGTGGAGGAGTGGGGCATGATTGTCCGGATGGTGGATTAGGAAGGCCAAGACTGGACATGCTAATCTCGGGATGAATCAAAATATCGGAGTAATTGTCCGGTTTAAATACGAGTTACCCGATGAGGGAGTGGTGACGGGTCATGGTATTGACTATGTTGTGACTGGAAGCGTCGCCTTTGGTGTAGCAGAGTATCTCGCATGTGTCGTCTTGTTTGTGGCTGAATTGCCCAGAACATGCCGAGAACAGTAAGACGTGTTGTCTTATTGCCCCCTCTGCCGGGGTAGGGGATATTTCAAGTTGTAGAGCTTGGCTGTGACCCAGAAACTTGATCAAACCTACTGCCTGTGCCCAATAGCCCTGTTCAGTTCGTACACATCCCAGTAGAATGGCTGGATGGAAGTAATGACCCCAGCCTCCAGATCAACCTTGATAACCTGGCACAGTGGGAAATACAGATCTTCACCCGTCTTCCTAACCCTCAAGTGCAGGTTTCCAAGCGAAACAATGCGTTCTGACCCCTCCCTTTCAAAGATCTCGGGATTCTGCACGTCGACGATGTCAAAGTGGTCGGCCATGCTCTTGGCCCAATCCAGGAAGCCCTGGGGTCCTTTGAAGGTTCCTGCGTAGGGAAGTCCGGATGATTGCTCGAGGTTGACGTCTGGTGATAGTGTGGCAGCCATGCCGGCAAAGTCTCGCTTTTCGGGCGGGGCAGACATGTAGATGCGTTCTGCTGCGTAGAAGGATTCGAGGATTGAGCGTGCCGTGTGTTGAGTAGACATTTTGGGTTATGCTTTGCTTATTCGTCGATTTGATGAGATGAGAAGGCTGACAACGATGGGAGTTTGGATTGTAATTGAGGACTTTAAGTAGGCAGCCTGACAAGTGTTTATAACGTTGAATACGGCTTGGCCCACATACAAAGAATTTGTCATCATCATTCCATCTCCATTTCAAATCTTCATCTGAATAGGTATCTCCAAGGGGTTATCGGGGCTACATTTCTGTGCTCCGGCGGAGTTTCCGTCACGAGTTCCTAATGCGGCAATTTCACACCGGAGTTCTCGGAGTTGACCTACAAGGCTGCAACGACATTTATCTTTTATTATTAGTCATGAGGGTAGGAATTAAGAAACGAAAAAAAAAAGAATAGACTATATCTGAGAAACCATTGCTTTTATAGTCTTTAGTATCGCTGTTTGAACAGCGACAAATGGGAAGAAACCCCCCGTTGAAGTATATCAACGGACCTACTTGTCTTATTAATACTTTAAGCCTCGAAAGTTAAGATGTCGCAGTGCGCCAGTAGATTCTTGAGAGCCCCCCTCAGATACAGCCAACATGAATGGTAGAGAAGGATGTAGGACTAAATACAAGGCAGACAGTGCAACCAGGCGAGGCGTTCTTCGACGCTGTTCATTGGCTCACTGTTGTGCAGTCATCCAACATAGCCTCTTCCAAGGCAGACAATCTGCAGGAGCTGAAAATCCCGTCAAAAGCGCTCAGCTCTGACTCCCCCCCTCTCATCTCCATTCGTGAAATATCTCATGCTCTAGACAGAACTGATCTGGAAGACATGGCTCAAGACACACGCGACAGACCTAAGAATCCTCATCTTTGCGAAAACTGCCAGATATGGGACAGTGTTGACTCTTACGCCCAATGGTGGCCTTATCCCGAAGGCTTTAAATTTCTCCAGAATGCACCGGAAAGCGTCCAGTGCATGATTTGCAAAGCGGCCACTGCAGCAATCGCCGCTCGCGTCTCGCAGATGAATATTCATCGATCCTCGCAGGTTCTCTTTCGCAACAATGGGCCGTACTTTTTGGATCACGATACAGGGGACCCATCGGGCGCCATCTCGCATCGCATCGACACATCGGATCCATCTGAGAGCATCGTTCGCCTTCTGATGGGCTTGGTAGTCAAGATAGAACCAACGGCCTCAACAGTGCCCACCACAGCTCAAGGTGAGCAGACAGAGTTCGAAATGACGCCTCAGTTTTGTCTGCGGTATGGACACAACGGTCCACATTCCTATCTGAAGAGCGTAAAGCCATGGGAAGTTCCCTTGTTTGATATTTCGCTGTTAAAACAGTGGCTTCAAGGCTGCGCAAAGATTCATGGGGTAGAGTGCAGAAGGAACACTCAAACCCAGCTTGGTGAGTAGCTTCTTCTTGGCGTGAAAACCGAAGTCTGTTGAGCCATTGGCTGACATTATGATAGATGAACTGCCTCGAGAGTTCAGAGTCATCAACTTGAACACAATGAATGTGGAAGTAGCGACATCTGCATTGACCTATGTAGCACTGAGCTATCAGTGGCCGCCGGAAAAGGACTCTGAACGTGTGCAGCTTGAGAAGGGCAATCTTGAAACTCTGGAAAAACTAGGTGGTCTCGCTAAGATTGCTTTGCCTCCCATTATCACGGACACGATGCTGCTCTGCAAGCAACTGGGCGAGGAATATCTCTGGATCGACCGGTTCTGCATCATCCAGGACGACCCAGATTCGAAGCACGGCCAGATACGCGGCATGGACAGGATCTATCGATGTGCAAACTTTACCATCATGGCAGCTCTTAGCGGACAGGAAGCATGGGGACTTCCGGGCCTCGTCGGTCGACCAAGAGTTTCATCGGTCTACAAGCCAGCTCGTGAACTCGAAGGGGAGTTGAGGGAGATTAAGCCAAGAGGGCTATCTGCTGCTGAAACTTCCACCTGGAACACCAGAGGATGGACTTTTCAAGAAAGAGTCTTGTCCACCCGCCGTCTCTATATCACTGAGCATCAAGCCCTATTCGAGTGTTGCTTGGGATGTGCAAGCGAGGACCTTGCACATTACCCACCCCACCGAAGAGCCAACATGGGCATGTCAGTAAGCAAGGACGAGGCCCCGGAGAATGAGTTCAGGGAACTTCCTGGGTTCTACAGGTGGCCTGAGTACGGCAGAGGCGTCAACTATCACATCACCGACAACACATCTGTGCAAGACTACTTTGATTGGGTGGCAAACTACACTTCGCGACAACTCTCTTTCGGCTCCGATGTCTTGAATGCCTTTTCCGGCATTGGGAACATTCTTGGTCAAGTGCTAGGATCTCGCCTCATCTTCTGTCTCCCGGAGAAGTTCTTCGTGCAGGCTCTGATGTGGACTGCCGCTGACAACATCGAGATTAGGACTGGCATGCCTGCGAATCTTCCAAGCTGGAGCTGGGCAGCCTCCCCGAGTAAGGTGGACTACGAGTGGATCACAGAAGATAAGGAAGATTGCCTTCGTGTCATCAGCCTTGTTTACTTTTACCTTCAAGATGCCAAGGAAGGTCTTCGGAGAGTCGGGGCACAGGAGTGGTGGGTGGAGGCAGAAGTGGCTATCGAGGACTTCAGAAACAGAGACGATGTACCGCCTGTCGAGAATATCAGCAAAAAGTACCTCCCAGGCCATCAGAGAACAAGCTCGACGTGGCGAGAGTGCCCTCACAATCCGTGGCAGACACTACTTCACACCACATTGGACCCAGAGGCTTGCAAAGTCGCTTCTGGGCTCCCTGGCTGTTTGGTGTTCAACACCACCGTGGTTAAAGTGATGCTGGGTCGACAGTCTTACACTAATTCCCGAGGGGAATTAATAGAACAGATGTTGATTTTGGATTCCAATGGGGGGCGGATAGGCATGATCAAGGGAGCGTTGCCTCAGAGTCAAAAGCTCACAGAGGAAAAGCAAGAGGTCATTGTCATCTGTGGCGCTTTGGCGGGCTCGTCCGCTCGCAAGATGTCGGCCCAGTACTTCCGCGATTTTGATCAGTGGCAGTTGCATGTCATGATGGTTAAGAGAAGTGGACCAAGTTCGTGTGTTGTTCGCCGGTTGGGAGTTGGCTATGTGGGTGCGCACAAGTGGAAGGGTTGTGCTCCGACGTGGGAGACGATTGTGCTTTGCTGAGGAGCTACGCTGCGTTTTTCGCGATGAATAAATGCGTGTGCGAATATGGTGGGCGGATCATGAGCTGTGGAATGATGAACTAGTCAGCTTTTTCCGGTGGGCATCTCAGAGCGATACTGTCTGGAACCTGTTGATTTAAAGCGATTGTAAGTAGTTGATCCGGTTACACTTATGAAGGCTTCTTGAGAAACCCGCTGCCAAAGCCATGGGTTACAGTTGGAATTCCATCTACATCAGTGCCATCGACCTGAAACTCCGAGCCCATCAACTGGTTCGCCACTTTTGCTCCCACGTAGGAAAGAAGGGACTCTCATCCAAAGTCTTCGGCTCCCAGTCACAAGGGATCAACCCATTCTCGATCTGAAGACGCTCATACATCTCCAGCGTGGGTTTAGCAACATGCTCCACATGCCGCGTCGCCTTATGTTCCATCAGATTCTCTTTGCCGTCGTTCAAGATCTTGAGCATCAGGGACGGTATAAACGGTTCATCTTCGAATTCTGTGATTGGCGTGAATAGAACTTTGAAATTAAAGACGACGGCGCCGGAAAGGGGAAGGCGACGTAGTGTTTGCCAGTCGGTTCGCAAAAATATGTCATCGGGCTTTAGTGACGGATTGGGTGCGCCGCGGTACTTGAGGCTGGCCTTGCTTGGATCGCCTGGTACATAGAGTGGTTGGCCTTGGGAGAGACCCCATGAACCTCTTTGTATGGGACTGGAGGTTGGCATCTTGCTGAAGAAACTGAGTGACTTTGTCAATACCAATCGTCAAGCCGAGACGTCAGGATACTCACCGATTCATACTGAAACCCATCTTTTCCTTGTATTCGGGAACTGGTCCGTGGATAACATCAAGGTCTTGATTCATCTTCCTCCCTAAGTTCCAGCCAATGGAGGAGCAAATGATGCCAGCTCTAAAGATATAACGACCCGTCTTTTCATCTCTCAGCATGATAGCAAAGTCCTCGGGCACATTGTCACGGATAATGTGGAGAGGTTCATGCTCCTTGAGGTCGTGCTTTGTCCCAAGAATATGGTTGACCAAAGTCGTGCCCACGAGTTGGAACTGATTCGGATAACGCGTGCATATGAATTGGATCACCATCTCCATCAGCTCTTTGCAGGCAAGCTCAGAGCCAGGTAAAGCCTGTATGACTTCCCTGCCATGTTTTGCGCAGACCTCTTGGCGCTGACGCATTCGCTCTCGGTATGTGCTTTCTAGTTCGATCCAGAAGTCGGGGTCCATCTTCTTAAAGGCTGTATAAAGAATTCGTCAGTTTAAGGCCACTTCGATCAGTACTAGCCATACCCATGGTTTGGTGGTACACCCATCTTAAAGGTCGGTAAGGCCGTGGGACGGCTTTATCGATATTGAAGTTTGGAAGAGGAGATGGCAGGGGAACGCCGGATAGCTTTGCATTGTCTGGGAAATCCCCCAAGGAAAAGACTTCCTTGACTGAGAAGCCGCTAAAGATGTAGCTTGAAGGGTTGGCAAGTCTGTAGTCCTTGCTCATCTCCAGGATACGCTTATTGTCGGATGTTAAATCTACCACCGCGGCATTGGGAAAGGCTGCAGCTCGCTGTGAAGGAGGGAAAACGTTCGTGTAGCCCAAACCCGAGGCACTCTTTTTCGTTGTTCCCGCCGTGAACCCATGGTGTCGTTGTTGAGAATAGTCAACATGACGCAGTTTGTCTCGTCGCAGCCGAACTTGAACGATGCCAAGAAGGACCAGGGCAACAGCTCCAAAAGCCAACAGGGCTAGGCCTGTATCAAGATGGAGGATGTCAACCTGAAAGCGCATGTTGAATATTGGCTAGATCAAAAAGAGGCTACACTTGGAGAAAACCTGGATATACAACACTCTGATTCAAGTAGGTAGATCCTTATGTGCATCGGATAATGAAGCATGATCCGATGATGAGTTGGGCTGCGGGGTGCATGTGTAGATAACACTTTGGAGTAAGCCGCTGTGTTTACGATAGGCTCGGGAGTTGAAGCCGATGCAGACCGTCGGAGCGATCTTAGCCATATCTGGTTAATTTTGGAGAGCAGAGGAATGCATTGCGATATCGCTAAGAAGATCCGAGATGTCTGAATAAAGTCGGGACGGCTCTTGAAAGAGAAAATTTGATAGGCTCGCATCACTTATCGGAACACCTTTTGTCCCTTTATTGTATGCAATGTCTCTCTTGCCGAATATTCTTTGTTGGAGTGATATCGATACATATACTGCCATACATTTCGAAGCCTTTGCCTCAGTATGAGACCCCCTTGTCGGGTTTAGCTGTAGCACTCGCAACGCTCAAGTGTCCCTTCACGACATCATCCAGAGAGGTGTGGTCAGTTGCGACACTGATCATGTCGAACCCTTGATCGGCAAAGACTTTGGCCTGCTGACCTCCTGAAGTATAGATGCCACACTTTTTGCCGTGTTTATGACTGGCTTTTAGAACCTTTGCAATTGCATCCCTCAATTGAGGTGCCATCTCGCTGCTAATAATGGGATGACCGATGTTGTTTCCTACGCATATTAGTTTCAATGAATGGCTCTGGGGGACTCGGGATGCTTACCGAGGTCAAAAGGGCCGATGAACAAGACATCAACACCGTCCACGGCCGCAATCTCGTCAACGGCCTCCAGAGCCTCCTTGGTCTCGATCTGAACAATGACTAACGTGGCATCGTTGGCCTGATGGAGATATTCGATAAAGGTTGGAGATGGGTTGAATCGCTGCTGAGCGTAGGGAGATCCGAAGCCTCGTCGACCCCGGGGTGGGAACTTGGCGGCTTTTACCACTTTCTTGACTTCTTCAACGGTTTCTATGAGAGGGATAAGGACCTGAAATCGTTAGGACGCGTGATAATGATGAGCTGTTCGTCTGCTTACGCCGTGGGCTCCACTGTCCAAGGCTCCTAGAGGCGGTCAGCTTTCTTGCTTATCATCTGAAGAGGAGCACTTACTCTTAATCATCCATCCTTCCATGCCTGGGGGTCTGACAATCGGAGATACGCCTGCGTCAGCGATGGCTGGAACTGCCTCGTGCATTGCCCCGTCTGCAGTCCTCGTTAGAAACCCCAGAAGCGGGAAGGACGAGGAAGTTCATACCATCAATATCTCCATGCTCACAATCGACTAGAACCCAGTCAACTCCAGTCCTTGCCAATACTCGAGAAACATTGGCTCCTCGTATCATCTGCCATGCTCCAAAAGACTGCCGTCCCTTGCTCAGGGCGGTCCAAAGTCGGTTTGCAGCCTGCATTGTTGACATTTTAAGATAAACACAATAGTTAAAAGAACTGAGATGGATGTAATCTTTTATATTTCGTGCAGGACGTGACTCATGGGGATTTAAGTAAGCACAAGCGGCCGGAGTTAGCATGACTCTCTCCGAGATGCGGAGCTTGGCACTTGAAGATCAAGCTACTTATGTTGTTTTTTTACGCCCTATGCAGGTGATAGCGTCACGGCCGGCCATCAGATCGGAAGCCTAGTCCGCTCCGTAGAGAACTCACTGCCGGCTATTCAGGAACTTGACCTATCGGATGAAATGCGCTTCAGTTGGAGAAGGGGTAGTCAAGTCCTCGAGCGCTTTCGCCATCACCATTCTCTTTAGGCTGATTACCTTGAGGTCAGCAAATCCGCATTGGCTGCGCATCATTTCTCGGAATCTGGCCTACTCCAAATTCCAGCTGACGCCGAACCCCAGCTTACTCCGAAATGCGCGTACAGTTGCGCGTCAACCAAAGCAGTGATAGGGCCATCATTGCATATTTGCTTAAAGAGTGAGCCCTATATCATCCCCAGCGATGCTTATTGCGCTGGTCACCAAGAGCTGGCAGTTATCAATGGACAGCTCATCTGCATGTCTAATCTCTCTACGAGGTCGCAACTCAACTCAGATAGATACTTCCACACTATTAATGGCTCCGGTAATGACATCGCTCATTATCGGCACAAATCCTTCAATCAGACAGAGCGGATCAAGGTCGCAGAGGAAGAGCAACCTCAAAAGATAACGAAATGTATACACGGCGGAGGAAATTTCTAAGATTTTATAAGGCGGCATTGCACAATGTAGCTAAGAAATGGGAGCCTGAGGCAGTCGAGATTCTGCCCAAGGACGGTTGGCAGGGCCCACTGAAGAGTCTCGGGGCGGGTTAAAATTGCAGTGAAACAAAGTCGCCGGTCAACCTGACAATAGCTTCAAACACCTAATGTAACCCATCAGAATGGGTCCTCGGATGGACTTTCCGCGTGGTGAGCAGCCAGAGCCATGATACTGTATCTTACGGATCCAAGCATTCTGATATTGACGAATTGGATTGAACGCGATCATCGAGACATAGGATTAATAAACCTCTGATTTGGTGGTGGCTGGTGGGATGTACATCAGAGAAAAGGGTAACTGGTGTTAGGCTAGCGATCCTCTTTTAACATCAACAACAAACAATGGATATTGGCGAGAGGATCAAGGTGTTTCATCGTGCATTTAAAGTAGAAGAATGGATGATATAAATTGGCTGGCGAGGCTTTGTCAGCGGGAGACTTGGAATTTGCTCCAGTTGAGGTTGTTTAGCCGTTATTACCAGGCAAAGTCTGACGGAAGAATTGCTTACGCCAAACTCTCTTTCTAATAATAGTTAGTCGGGCTCTGAACTCAGAGTTTGGATGGTGGCTTGGCGTCTTCATCATCACGTCTGCCTGCCTATGTTGTCATACCTGTGTTACTCTAGATACTCGCTCTTGAAGTTGCTATCTGGCTGTTTATGAGAAAAATCGACATTTTTGAGCATGTTCAGCGATCATGTCAAATCCGGATGGATCCGAACCTGCATACCCGGCCGAGAGATCCAGGGACTTGGTGCCCAACCCCAGGATCGCCTTGTGTTCTGGACCATGGATAAGACTATTCTAGAAACGTTTTAGACGCAAAGGCCCTCTTACGACGGTGTCGGACGGTGTAATTTTAAACCAAGTGCCGAGACAGGGGTGACGCAATTGGGCTCAATTTCACGGGCGACCGCGGAAAACGGTGATGACACTACTTTTCTGGTGACGACCTACCCAACAAGCACCTTTCAACACCACAAGGATATGCACCGGCAGTCACAATGTCGAGCTCCTCAGAGCTGCAGCGAGACCGAGAGGTTCAGGGCTATCTCCAGAGCTGGCAGGTAGCTCAGGGCTCGTCGCTCAAGGTCGCCCGCAACCTCGACAACATCGTGGCCTCGCCCCTCCCGCCGGGTGAGTTGCCAGGCCACAGTCCTCAGGCCTCGTCCGACAAGGCCCTCAGCGCCTTCGCTCAGCTGGCTGTTCTTCGAATGAATGCGCAGAACGCTCTTATATCGCTTATCGATGCCGATAACCAGATTGTCCTCGCAGAGGCGACGCGCAACCTGCGTCTGGGGGATTTGGACGGAGGAGCGAAGAATGACTTGTTTCGTACGTAGACTCTCCCCAGGATGGGCTGGCAGTTGTCTTTTGAGTTCTGCGAGTGATTCCGGCCCTTCCGCCTCATAGCAAGGCCCTGCAGTTACCAGCAGAGCAATATGCTGACCGGAATCCTATCAGTCGGAACCTCCATCTTGTCGCGCGGCCTGGGACCCTGTGAGCACTGTCTAACGGAGACCTGCACCGCCCGCGACCCCGACGGCGAGACGTACACGACTGCCGGCATGATTGTCCCCGATTGTCGACTCGATCCCCGCTTCCAATCGCGACCGTTTGTGCAGGCCGAAGGTGGTCTCAGATTCTACGCCGGAGTACCAATATTTTCAAGAAAAGGACACAAAATTGGCACCTACGCCGTGTGCAGTGACGAACCTCGCGATGGAGTATCGATCGATGATTTGCAATTTATACAGAATGTTGCTCAAGCTGTTATGGAGCACTTGGAATGGGCGCGCGACCGTGTCGATCGGTTCAAAGGAGAGCGGATTGTGCGTGGATTGGCCTGTTTTATCGAGGGCTGCTCTGGCGATGACCCGACCTGCGCCAAGGACGATCAAGCGACGGGATCTGTAGTTCGACCACCAGCGATATCCATCACGTCACCGAGACGGCCGCTTCTGAGGAGGATTTCTTCCACCAAGATTGATGCTGGATGTGCCTCGCCTGGAGGCCAGCAGAAACGAGACCGGCTTACAAGAATGTTTTTCAGGGCTGCGGACACGCTAAGGAGCTCGACGCTAGCTGATGGCGTTGTTCTCTTTGGTGCGACAGCTTCCAATGCCAGACAGAGGTGTAGTGGCAAGCCAAATGGCATTCTGTCAGACGAGGATGATCAATCTCCGCATATCACCTCTGGCTCTGACGGATTTGGCATCGATAGCTCTGATTCCGATACATCGCCAGCTGCCAGACCATGCAAGATCCTCTCGTACTCGCTTGCTGACGAGAAGGTACACGCTGAGATTGAGAAGGGTCCGGCTCTCTCTCTTGGCACTCTGGAAAAGTACTTTTCCCTGTTCCCCAAGGGAAAGACCTTTTCTTTTACCGACGAGGGCCTTGGAATCTCTTCGGACGATGATAGCGCAAGTGATCGAGAGCCGACGGCCGGCTCCGAAAACCCAGGCGAAAGAGGGAAACGACGAAGGGGGGCAAAAATGGACCACAAAGAGCTTCTCAAGAAGATACCTGGTGCGAAATCGGTCGTCTTCCTGCCTCTGTTCGACCACGTGGAAGACAAACTCGCTGGAGGCTGTTTTCTGTGGACTTCAGTCACTGGGCAGATGATGAATCTCGACCAGGATCTCTCATACCTTCGTGCTTTTGGCAACAGCGTTATGAGCGAGGTTGGAAGAATCAACACCCAGAAAAATGAGGCTGCAAAGACGACGTTTATTGCAAGCATGAGCCACGAGCTGCGAAGCCCACTCCACGGAATACTGGGCGCTGCCGAGTTTCTCAAAGATACCATCACGGATTCTTACCAAGCTGGTCTTGTCAACTCGGTCTTGACGTGCGGAAAGACCCTGCTGGACACATTGAACCATGTTTTGGATTACAGCAAGATCAACACTCTTGGCCGTTCACAGATGAGAAGAGGCAAGCACAGCAGACTCATCAGTCTTTCCTCCGGCTCGCTGGAGAGCTTGAACATGTCGGCTGCTGTGGACCTTTCTGTCTTGGTCGAGGAAGTGGTGAATGCCATTGCGACTGGCCACACTTTCAAGAAGATTCCGGGTATTTACTCACCGAGTGCAGAGGAACCCTCACTAGCTGATTCCCAAACTCTCAAGCATCTTCAACCTTCAGATGACAATAGCAGCCCGGTTTCCGTCTTGCTAGATATTTGTCCACGGACATCTTGGATGGTCAGCACTCAACCGGGTGCCCTCCGCAGAGTCATCATGAATCTGTTTGGCAATGCCCTAAAGTACACGTCTTCTGGATTCATTCTCGTCTCTCTTCGAGGCCAGGAGACGACAGACAAGTCCAAAATCGACGTTGTGATAAAAGTGATGGATACCGGTAAAGGCATGTCGGAAGAATTCCAGCAGAACCGTCTCTTCGTCCCATTCAGTCAGGAAGACTCATTCCAGCCCGGTACTGGACTGGGATTAAGCATCGTCAAGCAAATCGTCGACTCACTCAAGGGAACTCTCGAAGTGAAATCCCAGCAAAACAAGGGCACTGAAGTTGATGTTCGTCTTCGGCTCGTTCCGGCTCCTCCAAATTCATCACGAAACCAGGACGAGACGGTGCGTGGCATCGTTGACAAAACGAGAGGGCGAAGGTTGGTTCTCCTGGGCAGCGGTGAACACAATCTGTCTCCCTCCATGGCGCTACAAATCCGGATGCGAAACGAGACTCTCATCGAGACTTGCACCAGCTGGTTCGAAATGGAGGTTGTGAGAGAAGAGGATGCATATGTCGATGCCTCGAAAGCCGATATTTACCTGTTCTGCGAACCACCTTCCATCCAAACCTTGAAGGACCGCTTCCAGAGTCCAAACGGCATCCCCTATCAGAACAGAAAGACGCCAATCGTCATTGTCTGCGCAGGGGAAGAGGAAGCAGCTCAAATAGCGCGGACACAAACCAAGGCTTTGGCTGAACTATCCAAAATCATTGAAGTTGTCCCACAACCGTAAGTTGCCCTATGCAAATGATTAGAGTTGTAACTTACCTATCTTTAGATGTGGTCCACGCAAGTTAGCTCAAGTCTTCAAGCGTTGCTTGCAGAGAATTGAGGAGATTGCTGAGAGTGAAAGTTCACAACACGGTCTGCTCACACCACCTGAACAGTCACCAACAAGTGACAAAGTTGAGACAGTGGAAGCATTGCCAGCGGAATCACCCCCAGACGAAGAAGCAGCCCTTACTCCAGTACCCTCAGAAACCACCCTGCCATTGCCCTCTCCAACCCCTCTGGATCCAGAAACGCCTTTGTTGGCAGAAGATGGCGGTCAACTAGAGGAAACCGACCAGAAACAAGAGACAGAGTCAACCACGACACATGTCTTGCTCGTCGACGACAACAAAATCAACCTCCAACTCCTAGTAATGTTTATGAAGAAATGCAAATTCACCTACGAAGAAGCCGAAAACGGCCAAGAAGCACTCGACAAGTTTACCCAGCGAAACCTAAACTCGAAAAAACGCTTCGACTACATCCTCATGGACATTAGCATGCCCGTGATGAACGGTATAGAAGCCACAAAGAGGATACGGCAGGTGGAGCGAGAGAATCAGATACAGCCGACCACAGTCCTTGCTTTGACGGGGTTGGCTAGTGCTGATGCTAGGAGGGATGTTTTGTCTGCTGGTGTGGATGTTTTTCTGCCGAAGCCGGTGAGGTTTGCCGAGTTGAAGAAGTTGCTTACGGAAGGGTAGGAAAATTCAGGGGTTGGTGGCTTGGTTCTTTGGTGTATAGATATTGGAGTTGGATATTGGTATAGATTTCGGTTGGCGTGGTTGGGTTTGAATATCTCGGTCTTTTTGTCTTAAGCTTAGGCTTCTTGTCTGGAATAGATACTCTCCAACTCGCAGTAGTTCTCTCTAGGCCCAAAGAGTGGCTGGATTTCCCACTTTTCATACGCCATTGGTGGGCGAATTGACATGAGCGCGTTCACATGGGTTCGAAAGGGGCGGTCAGCATGGCTTTGTTTAATTGATGTTGGTGGAGGGAACTTGTTGACCGGAGTCCAGCCTCCTCTAGACCTAAGCTATAGACTTTTCTACGGTATAACCCACGTTCTATATTGTATGGTCTATCCACTCTAAAGAAACAGGCTGACGCAGTGAACATGTAGATGACAGCACCTGAGGCAATGGTGCTCAAGCAAGGATCTCAAGAAGGTTCAAAACATATCCCTGCCTTACAGTTTGGCATCCGCAGACGGGAGTGCCGGGTACAGAATTCCGTCCTGGTATGCTGTTGCCACATGCTTGCCTTCAGGGCTCCAGATGAGTGTAGACATAGCTGCCCTCCCTGCTTCGTACCGTGGCCAGGAATGCTCCAATATCCACCATCCATGTCCACGAAACATGGCATCTGCAGCGTTCACATGGACGTAAAACGAGTAGCTCAAGGTTGCTGCTCGCCCAAGGCCATATCCGTAGCCAAGTTGATTACCAAACATTATAAGTCCGTTTCGATCAGCTGCAAAAGCATGGCAGACAACATGAGCATCAATGTCATCTTCCGGTAAAGGAGAAAGAGGCCGATATAGGATTAGTTGTTTCTGCTCGCCACTTCCCCTGGTGGAGTTGTACTGCGTCATATCCACCTTGTGCATATCCAAGATTGGAAATGTCCCATGCCCAACGTCAGAGAATGCTCGACTGAAGACGTCTATGTCAATTTGTGGGCACGGCTCCCATTCTGTAGGAAGTTTTGAGGTGAGGATGGCATGGTAGCGTTCGCTTGGCGGGATACCCTGGGCTACTTCTGTTGTTGACGAGGGTCGACGAAAAGTGACAATGCTGGTTAAGCATGGGGCAGAAAGGGGCTTTTGACTGTCCTTGACGGAGAATGGGCCAGCCGGCTCAGCAGAGGGCTCAGCGGGCTGTCGGACATTAACAAGAAGAGTCGCGAATGACCGTCCGTGTTGGGTTTCAGACACCTCAAAGACGAAGGGGCGGTCGACAAGTCCGGGGCTTGTAAAGACAGCATGGATGGACTGTAGTAAGGCGAGTAAGCATGGAAACTCTCGGGAAGGTATCTAGGGCCCTTCCTCACATGTATCCCAAATGCACGATCTTTGTCTGAATTGGAATCGGCTCTTGATTCAATTGCACGAGCTGCTGCAAGAGGAGCTTGTGCATAAACCACTCCCCCAAAGGCAACTTTGGTGCCAGGTGGCCGAGGGATGCCACTGGCCTCCCATGGTATCGCATCACCTGTCGCCCAGGGTGGTTGACGATTCATGAAGCGAAGCATGACGCTCCCGGTACCAGACTCTCGGTTTGGGAGCCTCGTAAGTTCCATGGCTTGCTGAAAAGACAGCCGAGGGCATTTTTCTAGGGAGGCCATAGTGGGCGATGGAATGATGGTCAAGGGTGAGAGTGGACAGAGGTATTTGATCTGGTGCTTGTGAGAATAAATCACATTTCTATTTAGGCTTGTCTTGGGTGTGGATAGGCAACCTGACAAGCCTCGGCAACTCTTGTTAGTGCCGAACCCGCCGAGACCCCATCAGCCCTTGGTAATTCTAGGGACTGTCACACTCGTGTGGTAGAATGCCTGGATGAAAGCACTGGCTTGGCCCTTGACTTTATGAAGAAGAAGGCTCTTTCCTATCAAAAAGAATGAAAATCAAGCATATTAAATAGTCATATCCCACATATGTCACGTTCCAATCGACGCGCTCACTTGGGCAACACTCGGCTTCAACTCCATCTCGCGCAAAAGATTCTGCATAGAGCGCTTCTCAATACTATGTCCAAACTCTTCAAGCAGGTCCTTCATCTTGGTACTCGGATTCTCATTCGTGACAACGTCGTAGATGCGATCGCGCTGCTCCTCAGTGAGCTTCCTTGGCGCGCCCGCCCGTGGGAGGCTCGTGTTGTTCGGGCCGCGTTTAGCTGCGCGTAGACACGTCGTTTTTATCGTTGAGAGAGGTATTTGGGGTACAAGTGTGGATTTGTTTGTAGGTGCTGCCTGCTTGTTTTAAATCGCAAATGAGAGTCCGTTGGGCTGGTGATAGCTCTTTGCCGCGAGCCATGGTGACGCGCTGTGGTGGTCGAAAACTTGTTGCCCACCAAAAACTCTTCGGAATGATTCCGAATCCGCAGGTACAACACCTCACTCCAACCTTCAAGATAATATGGAAATAATGAACAAACTCTGTAATAATTCGCACCTAAAGTTTTGGTACACTGAGCTTGACGCATTTCACCTGCGTCCAATCATTCAACGCATCCTGTCCCATCTCCCTACCAAACCCGCTCTGCTTAACACCTCCAAATGGAGTATTCGCATGAATGCTTCCCCACGTGTTAATAGTGACGATGCCAACCTCGACCTGCTCTGATACACGGACAGCCCTCGCAATATCATTTGTAAAGATGGATGCCGCGAGTCCATAATCTGTTCCGTTTGCCAGGGCAATAACTTCCTCCTCCGTCTTGAACTTGGCGATGCTTGCAACTGGACCAAATACCTCTTGCTTGATGATGGTGGCATCGGGTGAGACATCCACAAAGGCCGTGTTGGGAATATAGTGTCCCTTGCCCGACAATTCCTTTTCGCCGCCGTGGAGAAGTTTCGTTCCCTCTTCCTTGGCCTTGGTGATGAATCCCAAGATGCGGTTCTTCTGCGCTTCGCTGATGACGGGTCCCTTGACCGTCTCTGCGAGGAGGGGATCTCCAGCCACTGCATCCTTAGTCCGCTTTGAGAACTCGGCGATGAACTTGTCGTAAATCTCCTCTTGTACGTAAATTCGGCTTCCAGCGACGCAGATTTGTCCATTGTGAACCGTGATTCCAGCTCCAGCCCACATGAGAGCGTTTTCAAAATCAGCGTCTTTGAAGATGATGGCAGGACCCTTTCCACCCAACTCGAGACTGACTCTCTTGAGGTTCGAACGCGCTGCACTGGCGAGAATTCCTCGTCCAACGCCTTCGCTGCCGGTAAATGAGATCTTTCTCACGTCGGCGTGATCAGCCAGTGCCTGACCGGCAACACTTCCAACACCGCAAAGGATGTTGATGACACCGGGAGGAAATCCAGCCTCGGTGACGAGCTGTGCCAGCTTCTGTCCGTAGAGAGGGGCAAGCTCTGGAGTCTTGATGACGAGGGTGTTTCCGGCCGCGATGGCTGGGCCAAGCTTCCAAAAGGTAATCATCCTGGTACGGTTAGCCTTCAATCACGAAATACCAACCGGGCTAACTCACAGAGGAGAGTTCCATGGCACAATAGCAGCGCAGACTCCAATAGGCTCACGACGCGTATAAGACAGTGACTGATCGTTCTCAATCGCCTGGCCGTCAAGCTTATCCGCCCAGCCGGCATAATACCGACAACACTCGACAGCCTGAGTAACACTCAGTCCCATGGACATGGTGTAGAGCATACCGGCATCAACAGCCTCAATTGACGCAAACTCCTCGGCATTCTGCTCAATGAGGTCACCTAGCTTGTTGAGAAGGGCTCTGCGCTTTGCTGGGCCTGTCAAACGCCATGTGTTCTTGAAGGCGGCCTTGGAAGAGGCCACGGCGCGGTCGACATCAGCAGCCTGGGCTGCTGAGAGGTTGGCGATGGTGTCGCCGGTGGAAGGATTTTCAATAGCGATTGTCTTGTTTTCAGCAGCGGGCGAGAACTTGTTGTCAATGAAGAGGCCAGTGGGGACTATTAAAGGTCAGCTTTCATGCACATGCCAAGTGCTGGTGTGAGCGTACGGGTGATCTTCCGGCCACCAGCGCCGGTGATGGTAGTTTCAGCCATATCGAAAGTAAATAAAAGTAAACTAGATAAGACGGATATTAGAATTGAGTATCCGATGGAGGGTCCGCTGTGAGTTTATATATTTCAACTCGGAAGTTGGCCGGAAAGATTCTAACGTGAGTCGGAACCCGGTTCGTACTACGTGGTACACCTCCTTAGTTCAATCCTTTGGTAGTATTATGACGTTAACCTTGTCTAATTTAATGCGCAAAATACAGATACGTTCCAAATGTCAGCTTACCGTCAAAGCTCACAGAGGTACTAGCTACCTCAATCCACAACGATAACCACGTCAAAGGAGGCTCAAGAGCGGCTCATACCACGATCACCCCCACGGACATGACCTTATCTCATGCGCATAAGAACAAAATCAATAATAGGGTGCTTATCTCCGAGGTTCAGGAGAAAGAGGGGTCGGTTTGGGTGGGGTTCTTGACTTCAAACGAGGTCAAAGTGTTGAAGTCGTTCCGGGTCGGAAATATCGGAATCGTCGCCTAGCGGCTCATCCCGTCTGAGTCACCAGCAGCCCCAGCTAGCTTCCTTAAAAGTAGAAAGAATTTGCGATGTCTCGCTCTACTAAGATCTTCAGCTTGATAATCTATTATTGCTAATACATTATCGAGCCTCAATGCTGGCCCCAGTTCCTAATTCTGCCTGAAAACCCTGTCGTTGCTTATGACTTTAGTACACCCACAATATACGTCAACCATCCTTCTAGCTAACTCAAAAAGCGCACATTGTAATTCATAGGATCACATAACATCCACTTTATGATTCTACTCGGCTGTAGTGTCATATAATGTAATCAACTTGGCCATGGTGTCAGCAGTGACCTGGACAGACAATATATGCAACACTAAAGATGCCCAGTACCTCGGAGTGGGCATCTCACGTCTTGCAACATAGATCGAGATCGAGTTCCTGCAGGCGCAGTTCCCAGGATTAGGGGGCCAATGGTTACAGCAAGCACAGGTCTGATCAACCACCTGATCTTACGTGACACTCTTACACGTTCACCTTTCACTGTAGGAACCCTGGCCTGCTTACCCCGAGACCAGAGGCGCTCAAGGCTGAAAAGGGCAGCCTGAGAGAGTGGAGACATTCGCCGGACTGGGAGAATAGAGAGCATTCCTGGAAGAATTTGCAAACGTAAAAAAGATCATGCTTCGTGATGCTGTGTTATGGAAGCTGTGTTGGTCACTTACCCATAAGGGATAGCGGCTTAAGGAAAAAGTTGCCTAGTTGGTGTGTTATGCCGCCGGCTGAGGTGTTTGTTGCCGAAAACAGAAGGGTTTGGCTATGTTATCTGCACGAGGTTTTCCCCTTGCAGATAAATTTTCCTTCTCTTCCCTCAATCTTGCGGCTCACTTAACCAATGAAGGACCGGGCTATAACTATAATAAAGAACAGATTGTCAACACATCATAGCATCATGTCCCGATGCTAAAACAGTGGCCTTTGTTTTTGTGAACCTTCTGCTGCTGGCAGAAGAGTCATAACTAGCCGCATAGTCATGAAAGGTTAAGCCTCTCATGGGTCATTTTAACTACTCCAACCTCCGTGCGAAGAAACAAAAGAATTATCCCTTTCTAACTTCTCAAGACCGCAGTCTTTGAGCAAAATGTCTGCCAACACAACACCTACGAGAACTACAATCCATCGGTCGTATGACCCTAGTTTTAATATGAAATCTGCCAATTGCTTTAAGTAAGGCATGGGGGCATAGAGAAGAGGGCGCCCATATGACTTGTATTCCAGGTAACTTGGTAGTAGCATGAACTAATGCGGGGGTTGCTGTGTAATTAAACTCGAGAAAATGGATGGAACGGTAAAGAATAAAAGGCTAGGGGAATGGCTTCTATTTCATGTTCAAGAGAGGCGACTAAATAAAGTATCCATGTGGTCGTCCTCGGGCTTTCAGGCCCGCTCGACCCCGAGCCTCTGGGATAGCATCCTAAGTTAACACATTCAGACTGGACGGTGGGTTTCTACACCCGTACCAAAGTTTGCTTGGTCAAATGCAGGCCATAGTCTCATTATGACATGGCACTTTTCAACCCTTCTACAGTACATTGAGTGCCCTTATCAATACTCCTATAATGCAACTGCCCGACTTCAGTGTACAACTGTCGCAGTGCTGTTTCCAAGGGGGTGAGCTCTGCTGAGTCCGATCAGCTCTTTCCTAGTCGCTTCCTTCCAGACTCATAGTGGCCTGTTTCTGATCTCAATCAAAGACCGGACTCATGATTCAATGTTCCAGAGACTTCAGACCTGCTTTGGTGGTGGCATAGGTCCTCTTGGAACCGCCAGCATGAGACAGGCAATCACTGATATCCGGCCACCACTGGTGCGCCTTGGAGACGTCAGCTACCTTGCCATTCCTCACGTCGGCGTCAGTCTTCGCTCCCCAAGGCCCCCGTGATCACCTCTGACATTTCACTCAACTCCAGCTCGAGCTTCAAAGCTGCGGACCCAAGGCCCTGCCTTGCACTGCACCTGACTTGCTTCCTGGCGAGCACAAGCCTGTGATCGTCGTCCCTGTTGATCAGGAATCTTCTCAGAAAACACTTCTCGACTGGATCGACTCGTTTCATCCTCCCAAGGACGACCTGTTCTCGCAGAGTTTCTTAACAGATACAGTTATAGTGCAGGGCAATGCTCAAAGATTTTCAACGCGTTCGAGACACATGGCTAACTCTCAGTCCAAATCCTGTCACTGGCTCTTGGGCACCAAGTCAAGTTCTACTGGTGTCGAACCCGGTGCGCAATATTCCCAGTGACCCCTATTTCCTAGGCCCGGGCCTTCAACTTTATCAAGCATGGCGGCTGTACCCAGACACACAAGGCAGCTTTGTCACGTCCCTTTTCCCTTCCTGGGAAGGGTCACATGAGTTCTACCCCCTTGATGTCCGCTTGGGTGGGATTTGGCCCGCAGTCGCCGTGCCAAGTCGACTGTACAGCAAGAGAACCCCATCAAAGCCCCTTGCTGGACTGCGGTTCAGCATTAAAGACAATTTCAGACTGTCGGATATAATGACAACGCAATCCAATCGTGCCTGGTGCGAGTTGTACGATGGAAACCTGAGAACGAAACTGCCGCCTACGTCAAGACGTTCATCGATCTTGGTGCCGTTTTTGTAGGTAAAACAATCATGTGCTCTTTTGCCTCTTCAGAGGAAGCAACGGACCAATGGATCGACTTCCACGCTCCGTTCAACCCTCGAGGTGATGGCTACCAGAGCCCGTCTGGAAGTACCACAGGGGGGGCAACAGGCCTTGCCGCATACGATTGGCTGGACTATTCCATTGGAACAGACAGTAGGCGACTTCTCCCTGAATTTACAACCCATAACTGACCTTGCCTTTAGCTATTGGAAGCATCCGATGGCCTGCAGCGTGGTGTGGACTTTTCGGTCTCCGTATGACGTGGAAACAAGGCTCGCTGGAGGGTGTGTACGCAGCTTGCAGGTCTGCATTTGTAGCCTTCCCCCGCCACTTCGAGCATATTACTTACTCCTTGCAAGGTTCATGGATACAATCGGATTGCTTTCCAGAAGCATTGATGGGATGCAGTCACTCGTGAAGGGGACGATATCCAGCGCTGGAGCAAAGGATGACGACAAACTCGTTCGTGCCCTACCTACGGCTATCGACGGGTGTGACAGCTGCAGCTAACAATGCATTAGTTGCCCACGGAAATACTTTACCCGCAAGACTTTTTCCCAATGGCTGATTCAGAGCAACAAGCGTTGGTTGATCGCTTTGTCGGTGACTTGGAAGCCTATTTAGGCATCAAGGCGACAAAGATGAGCATCGCCGATCGATGGCGCCAATGTCCTCCAGATGAAGCGAATGGAAAGTCTATAGAGGAGTTCCTAGAGAAGGTTCTAACTAGCCTGCTTCATGACACTCTCCGCTACAACAAAACAACTAGCATAACTTAGGTTGCTTACAACCCGTTTTACTACGACGGATACCACGAGTTCGACGACTTCCGGAAGGAGTACGAGGACAAGTTTGGTAAACCAGTCTACGTGGGCCCTTACATGCGGTGGAAATGGTTTGTTTATTCTTGAATGCCCTAGACAAGGACGCTTGCTTACTCTCTACAGGGACCGAGGCTCTGAAGTGACTGAAGAGATGAAGGGCAAATCTCTGAACGACGTTGGGGTTTATCGCCGCTGGTTTCAAGCAAACATCCTTCGCGCTACTCAGAGTGGTGGTACATCGGCCATCATACTCATTCCTTGCGGCAATAGTGTGCCCAAGTATCGTGACGATCCAAACAAGTAGGTCCCTCGCCCTCATTCTGTTTCCGGGTGAGGAGGCTAAGTTCTGCACAGTTCCCCAGGGCCGGTCGGTGCGTTCACCTGGAACTACATCGCTCCTGTCCAAGGCCTACCTACCACAGCTGGTTAGCCCGAGTGAGTCCCATCCGATATACACTCTTATTGTGTAGCCAGGCTAATTCGTGGGGTGTTTCACAAGTTGGACACATTCCTTATGAATCTAGAGTGAGCAGGCGTGTCGAGCAACTTCCGGTTGTGGGCACAATCATCGGCGCTCCAGGTCAGTCCTGAAAGTGTATCTGTTTGAGGGAGAAAACTGACGCGGTTCACCTAGGCAGCGACTTGTTGCTTGTCGACGTAGTGAAGAATGCTCTTGAGCGAGCTGGTCGACCAACAAGAGTTCTCACAGGGCGCAACATGTTTGCGGATCCTAAGCTCTAGCTGGGAAGTGGAGTGAACCCTCTCGGTTTAGGACTCCTTGTATGGCATGAAAAGACCCCGTTTTGCAAACGGGTTATCTTTTAGCAAGCGACGTTCGCAGACTCTACTCCTATTCATTCCTCAACCTCTGGTCGCATGAGACTCTTAGTTCTACAAGGCGGCGTAGCTTTAGCACCCAAGATTGTAGCTTCACGTGACTTCACAATGAAGGTTTTCTGTAATCTAAGTGGCTGGTGTTTGTCTGTTGTCCGGGTCCGGGTTTGGGTCGCGAGGCCATCTTGTCAAGTAGCCTGGTGCCTCCAACCCCTTGCTTTCCATAACTCTCTATAAGTAGCTTCTTAAACTCCAAAAACCGTACCAGCTTCAGGAGAAGCACGTCCACACCCGCAGATCAACCCAGTCAGAACGTAGCCTCCCGCAGCAGTTAAATGTTCTTTGTATCGATGTCGACTGAGCTCTTAGCACCCAGGTGGTCGTCATGTCTACTGTCTGGGTGGTAGAGCCTCCAGAATCTGTCCGGCGCAGTCTCCAAACCCAATGAGGCCATCCTCATTCGTACCTGACCACCCTCGAATGATAACAGTATCGCCATCCTCGAGGAACTTGCGTTCTTCACCATCTGTGCCAATTCGCAGAGGTGACTTGCCTCCACGGGTCTGCTCAAGGAAACTACCTTGTGTGCCATCCTCAGTGCCGGATATAGTGCCGGACGCGAGAAAGTCGCCAGGTCGTAGGTTGCACCCTGTGATGGTGTGGTGTGCAATCATCTGAGGCCACGACCAAAGGAGGTTTGTGGATGATGTTCGAGTAATGACTGCTTCAGTGCCTTTAGGAGCTGTTTGTGTGATCAGACTCGTGTTCTTCCATAGTTGGAGGTATGACTTACTCTTGAGAGTCACTTCGAGGTGAATATCAACAACATTATCCTCTCGCTTCTCGCGGAGATATTCCGCAACTTCAACATCATTGGACAGACCCTTTGACTTGAAAGGATCCAACGCGTCTGCAAGGACGACCCAAGGGCTGATGGTGGTTCCCAGGTTCTTCGAGTTGAAAGGTCCAAGAGGAACGTACTCCCAAGCTTGCACATCGCGGGCACTCCAGTCATTGACAAGAACATAGCCAAAGATGTAGTTCTCTGCCTCATTGACTGGGATAGGTTCACCAAGGGTATTTCCTTGGCAGATAAACATGCCGAGCTCCAGCTCAATGTCTAACCGAGAAGAAGGTCGGAACACGGGTGTCTTGTCTCCAGGAGCTGCGAGGACTTGACCCCAGGGTCGACGTAGTGGCGTTCCTGAGACTACTACAGAGCTAGCTCGGCCATGGTAGCCGACAGGGAGATGGTTGTAGTTCGGATTCAAGGCATTGGCAGCCCCTCGAAAGAGAACGCCAACGTTGAAGGCATGGTTTCGGCCAGCGTAAAAGTCGGTATAATCGCCAATTGCCATGGGGAGGTGCATCTGAGCTTCAGAAAGCACGACTATGGCGCTCTGTTTCAAAGACTCATTGTCCTTGAGGACGCCGGGGAACGGTGTATCAGCCTCAAAGACCTGTCTCAGATACTGCCTGACTGTTCGATGCACAGGCCTGCCGAGTGCTGCAAATGAGTTGAGAGTGGGCTCCCTAAAAACGGAGATTTTGTCTTTGGGAAAGTCCTGAAGCTTGTCAAAGCCTCCTTTTTCGGCGAAAAGTGTGAGGTCGAGGGCATTATCACCGATGGCGACAGCTGGACGAGGGGATGGGTTGGTCTTGGTGGAGATGATACCAAATGGGAGATTAGCGAGGGAGAAGTGTGAGCCTCGGGGGATTGTGAGCCACGACATTTTGAAGCCTTTTCTGAACATTGATTCCCTAGAAAATAAGCATTGCAGGAGCAAGTCTTGTATATAAATCTATCCTGATTGTTAATCACAAAATCGAGAGCCATCGCCGGCAGTTGGAGGTCGGAATCGGCTTTGATCGGGGCTGCAATGATTCCGCGATTTCCGCCCGAGAATATGCGCCTTCTACCGAACTTGAGAGTTCCGCGTCAACAATAGAACATGAATCCTCTTTTTGTATTTGTAATGCTTGCTATTATCCAAGAGACGTCTTTCACTTGGTTTACATGTATCAATGCCAAAGTAAAATGTCTCATTTCGCTTCATCGAACCCTCTCGACTTGATCCAGTGCTTTGCTCACAGTCTTGGCTCCCTGCAGCATCCATCCGCTGACTGTGAACCTAGGTCCTTATCCGAAGGCACGTCAATAGCAGGGTTCTTTGTGAAAAAGTCCGAAGGCGTAAGAGAAACCTGAAGAATCTCGACGGGCCTACGTAAATTTTTGTCAGTACTTATCAAATATCTCAATAACCTCAACTGGAAACTCACATTACTGGCCAATCCTCAACACGCGGGTTATGCGTGAGACCGAAGCAGCTCCAGAGGACAACATCCTCATTGAGGACATTATCGTTTCGCGCTGCGGCATCGGTGACGCCTCCTGTCTCATTCTTGCCCAAGTGGGTATACCGTCCGGCTGCGTATAGCTCTTCATCCTTGTACTTAGTGACCCAAAGGTGATGTTGTGTAAAGAGGGCTCGCTTTGCCTGCACGCTGCGGGGGTCTGCGAGAAGCTTCTGCGTAGCTGGGGTAACCAGCTTATAGCCTACAGGCCTGCCAGATATTGGGTTGATCTTTTCCGTATTCTGGACCTTAAAAACGCGATTATTGAGAGGTTCGACATCGAAGCCGCCGGACTTGGCGATAGGTGTCTTGCGAACTTCGTATAGGTTGCCGTAGGGGTTGGTTTTCGGATCCATGGCCACAGGCAAGCTCTCCTCTTGCACCACAGTGTTGTTGCTCCCATCAATGGCCGGATCAATGCGTACGCAAAAGACGTGCTGGTGATTCTGAGCCAAAACGCCAGGGTTGACCACGTTTCCCCAGGGTGCCGTCTTCCCAAGGTCCAAGTTGACCACCGAGACGATTCCTGTCGCTCTGGCCTCGACAACGATGCCGGCTGCTTGATCGAGCTTAAAGTTGAAGACGTACTCGTAGTTGGCGAGCGTGATGATGAACTGAACGACGAGCTCACGACGACGCGTGACTACGGCTCGGCCGGTGCGCCAGTTGGTGTGCTTCCAGTTGATGCCGTTGTCTTGTTCGTGGAGGCAGATGACGTTCTTGGTGGCAGTTGCGTTGCCTTCGTTGTCGACGAGCACACCGTCGAAATACTACTTAAGTTAGCTTGTATGGTAATTAGCGATACATAAACTGACCTTGATAACGCCGAGACAGTCACATCCAAGAGTCAGATTGTTGACCGCGTTGCCCAGACCTCCATCACCGAAATCGAAAGCCTGCTTCCGATGATATGGGGTCCGAGGGTCAGCGTATGGGACGGTCTATGAAGTTAGTGACGTTAACGCATGATCCTGGCTCCTCACCGTGTTGAGACGTACCATTTCACTGACGGCCAGACGATACAACACACTTCGACCCTCGTACCGAAGATCGTGAAGAACAGCACCCTCTCGAGGGTTAAACGTGACCCGAAACTGCCACTTTTGCCAGCGCACGAGGTTGTCGTCAACCCTGAAGCTGGGCCCATACGGCTGCACAATGGTAAGAGGCTTGAGATCTTGTCTCGTACCGTCGGGAAGAAGTTCGGGGACGTATTCTGCAGTGTCGCAGTGATCGATGATGCCTCCAAAGTTGGTCCGACCAGTTAGAGGGTCATCTCCTCCACCAGTAGCGGGCATGTCGATACGGATGATTTCTCCTTTGTTGTAGTTAATGATTGGAATAATGGGTAGAGGATAAGCGTAGAAGTTGGAATCTGGGTTACCGCTCCTCTTATCCTGGGCAAAGAGGAGGGCTTGGAAGACGCGTTCATCGTCATCGCCTGGATCCGGGGCACCGTATGGCCAGGGCTCGACGACGACTTCAAAGCTGTCTGGGAGGCGTAGCTCGTCGATCTTTTCTTTGACGGCTGGTGAGGTCTCAACGCACTTGATTACCTTGTCAAACTCCCACCTACAATGGTCATCAACGATTTGGTTTCTTCCTTGTGTAGGGAATGCTTACATGGCCAGACTGGGCTTGCTCTTGGGATCAATGACCTTTTGGTCGACAATCTCGGCCTTGGTCAAGTCGACAATTGTTTCATGATACTGCGGGATTCGTGTGTTGCTAATGACATCGTACCAAGCCTGTGCCAGTCTTGGCGGACGTGGCGACTCAGCGGTAAGCTTCCCAGAGTGTTCAAGCTCTAGATAGGCCTCGACATCGACTTTCGGGGGCTCGAGAAGAAAGATGACTCGAAAATTCAGGACGGTGCCTGGATGAGAGCGACGAACCACAATGCGGGCTGTTGTGGTTTCGCTGATGCTCAGCTGCGAGAGGGGATGCGGGGTGGACATGGTGGATCACGAACTTGGAGGTGATAAGGATCAGAGATGATGAGCGGGGTGAATGGTTCGTTAAATAGGGAGATGAGATGAGATTGGCTATCAGTGAGTAATACGGAGAAAAAGAAAGGCCTGCCGCAAAAGCCTTGGCTGAAGGATGGAGGCTTGCATCAATAAGAATGAATAGTAGACCAGTCACACCTATCACAAGATGTGATATGCACACACGGCACAGCTCGGCGCTAACCTCGGCAACTAGAATGTGCCGATCCGATCGCCGGTGGTCTTTGGCGAATGCAACCTTGGGCAGGTTAAAGAGAGTAGTTTACCTCGACTTCAGCCCAGTGTAGTGTGCTACAGGTCTTGTTCGAGTCTGTAACAGTGGCTTTTTCAGTTATATTGTGTGCTGTTTTTAGCTGTCATACGTTCTTCATGTCGCTGAATCAGTGCGAGGTAGGGAGATTAGACCAAGATGAAATGTCTTGTTAATGACCACCTGAAGCCATATCAGGCTCTGATTGACTCTTGAAGGCGTTGGCAGCATCTATTTTTGGAGCCGTTGAAGAAGTGGCTGGCGTTGTCAAATGTTTAAGGTACATCTTGAGGTACAACATGAGGTGGCCCGTGCTGAAGCTGACGTCAAATTCCCCACGAGGGACAACGCACAACATGGAGCTCAGCTCAGCTCATTCTGGCTGCCTCACAAACACCAACAACGGGAGCTATCTACCCTTGCCCTGTTAAGGTTTACCCTACCTAAACTACATCCTCTTACAGCTCTATTCCCTCTACAACCGCAATCATGTCTTCCCACGGCGTCCCAGAAGTCCTTATGAAAAAGGTGGACGAGTACGTCGACTCCCTTGGCCCCCAGATCCAGCCCCGCATCACCCAAGAGCTTGAGATATTTCAGCAAAAGACCATCGATAGCCTCGAGGACCAGGTCGTCGACGCCTTCCGCTCACTCTTTAACAAGGACGGCAAGCGCTCCGAGGGAAACTCGAGGGACCTGCGCGAAGATGCGCCCGACTCGTACGGCGGACAGTCGTTGCCTTTTGCCGACGAGATTGCCAAGCTGACCCGCAGCTTCACCAAGATTACTGACGAGGCTGGCGATGATTTGAGGGATATTTTTGACATTACTGAGGGCGCCTCTCGTGGTGGTCAGGGTGAGACGCGTTCTCGTGGAGGAGGAGGTGACAACGACTTCTCATCAGCTCGAGGTTTCCTCTCGGCCGCCATCAATGTCGTTCAAGACAAACTCGACGACAATGGCAGAGGATCAGGAGGACCCAAGTTTGAGCTGGACGGCCTCCTTGGCATTCTCAGCGACACTGTAAAGGATGCCGCCCGCAACCCAGAAGAGAAGGCCCGCATGATCAGTCCCGAGATCAAGGAGCATGTCGGCGAGAAGCTTCGAGAACAACACGCCCCCATCGCCGAGCAATTCACCCGTATCGCTTTGGAACACATCAAGAAGTGGCTGCGCGGCAACACGAGCACGCGGGATCTCGGTGATGGTGTCAAGGGCGAGATTGAGGACCAGGTCAAGGATCTCGTCAAGGGACTAGGGGGTCTGTTTGGAAGCAAGAAGCATTCCGACGAGGGGGCCTCAAGAGGTTTCGGTGATAGAGACCGTGATCGCGATGGTGATGACAAAGAAGGTGGCAGTGGCTTCTCCAAGGTCATCAGCGACAAGCTCAGCACTGGTCTCGCCAGAGTCCACAGAGAAGTCCGTCTCGAGTTCCGCAAGATCCTCGGTGGCAACCCCTTCGACTCGCAGCTCGACCGCGACGCCCAACCCAACGCTGACCGTGGTTTCGGTGATGACATCAAGTCCAAGCTGGTCAACAAAATCCGTGGTTTGGTGCGCAAAGTGCAGGAGACTCTGCGGGAGAGCATTCTGGGTGTCGTCAATGGAGGACATCGCAAGTTTGAGCGCGAGAGTTGGGTTTTCGTGCAGAAGATGGTGGAGCAAAAGGTGCAGAAGTACCTGCCCAACGTCAAGATCTCGGTGCCGGATGACATTGGTAACGAGGGTGTCAGTGTGGGTGCCCCGACGTCAGGCGCGCACCTTGGTGGTGCCAATAACCCTGTGCCCTCTTCACAGGGAGGCCGTCCTCCTTCTCAGGAGCAGCATGGAGGACAGGGACATGGATATAATCCTCCACAGCATCAACAGCAGCAGGACTACCGACCTGATTATCACCAGCAATCCCAGGAGTATCGACCTCCGCAGCATCAGCAGTCCCAGGAGTACCAACCCCCACAGCATCAGGGATACCAGCAGCAAGAATATCGACCAGATCAGTACCAGCAACATCAGCAGTACAACCCTCAGCAGTACCAGCAGAGTCAGAACCAGGGCCACCAGAATCAGGACTACCAGAACCAAGGTTACCAGCAGAACCAGGGTTATCATCAGGGCGGGGGATATGGACAAAACCCTCAGTACTGAAGGACTGAGCAATGACCGCGATGTCTAACACCGGCTATGGGACTCGGCCAATGGTATCAAGCTACTGCCTGAAGTTTCAAGTTCAGAGCCACTATCCAGAAAAGAGACTGATAGGTAGACATGAAAATGATGATGATTGATGATGTGCGACATAACCGCCGCAATGTTTAGTGTTCTGGGCATCCAGGGTGTTGGGCCAACCCATAATCTTCAAAGATAACAACACATTTTGGTTCATTCTTTAGTCTATATCTATTCTCCAAATCATCCTCCTCGGGCCAGTGGCAAAGCTAAAGCTTGACGCGTGGCTTAAATTGGGTAAATGTAAAAGGGGTTCTCCAAGTCAGTCAGATCCAGCAGCGCAATCTCAACCTTTTTGCGAATCACATTTCCACTCTCATCCAGCTGCTCAACCTCTCCAAACTCGTGTGCCAACCTCTCCTCCTCGGTCAGACTAGCCGCCCAAGCCTTGCGCTGGGCATTCCTCTTCTTCAAGATGAACTGGATGATATACAGGATCACGGGTGTGCCGACCCAGCTGACGACGATCTGTGCAACCCAGGCGCCATAGTAGCGCGGTGCGTCCTTAGGAACCCAGATCTGAGGAGAAATGAGGTTTGCTACACTGTAGCCGAGCATGAACATGACGTTACGGGTGAGCTTCTTGGTGTAGCCGGCTGCGGACGAGGTAGCCCAGCCGAGAGCGATGATGTAGGTGTTTCCGTAGGTATGGCCAGCGAGAAGAAGACAGGCCAGCATGCCTAGCTTCTCATCCCAGTCAATGGCTACCATGCCAATACCACCGGCGATGGCTGGGATACACCAGACAAGTCCATGGAGAGCGAGGTTTGACGGCCACCACTTGAGAGCCCAAGTACCAGCAAGGCACACGAGAATACCGAAACCACCACCTGCAGCGGCGACCAGAGTCGAGCCCAAGCTTGTCACGCCGAGAGCTTTTGTGATGAGGTTCTGCTGTCCGTAGGTCAAGTTGTTGGACATCATGAGCGTAAATGCCTGCAGACAGAAAAGCCACGAGACAGGATCTCGGAGCGTCTCTCGGAATTGTGCCTTTTTGAATTGCTTCTGCTCGATGGAGCTCTGACTCGACTCGTGCACTCGCTTGATAGTGTGGACCTTTTCCTCAAGGTTGAGGAACCTCGCTTCAGCCGGGTTGTTTGGGTACCAGAACCAGACCGCCACCGAGAGCAGGACTGAGAGGCTGCCTGTGATGATCATGAAGAGCTTCCAGGGGAGCACGCTGCTGTGGGTCCAGAGGAGGCCGTATGAGATAAAGGCGGCGCAGACTGGTGCAGCTGCTGCAGTCGCCCAGAGGAAGGGCTGGAGGAATGACTGTTCGTGACGGTTGAAGAACATGCCGATGGTCATCTCCATGGCGGGGACGACGACGGATTCACTGGCCCCAAGTGCCAAGCGGAGGACGACAAGACCAGCGTATTTTGTGGCTACGCAGTGCAGCAGGACGGTGGCTCCCCACATGAAGATGAGACCAGCAACGAACTTTCCCAGGGGGAGACGCTGCATGGCGTAGTGGCCGGGCCATTGTGCAGCAAGATAACCTGAGAGTGATGAGTTGGTGTTGGATAAGAGTGGTTCAGGGTTTACATACCAACATAGAAAAAGGTACCAAGGTTATTGTACTGAGCCTTGTTGATACCAGTCTCCTCAAACAATCCCAAAATAGCAGCATAGCCAAGAGTCGATTTGTCAATCTATCTCGCATTAGCCAAGACCCGATAGTCAAACTCAAATCCCGACTTACAAAGAGCAACAAGTTGATAGCTGACAGCAACCCCATGACATACCAGTACAACTTGCGTCGTAGCTTCTTCTCCTTTTCAGGAGTCAAGGGTCCGAACTCGTCTCCATGTTCTTCGACGATGCGGAGAGTCGCATCGGCAAACTTTTCAGAGACGACGGCTGTTTCGCCGGATTGCTCTTGGCTGCTGACCTTGGATAGGTCCTTGGACTCGTCCACGCCCATTTTAAAAGTGTATTCAAGGGAAAACGAGGTATGAAGTGTGTTGGATGAAGAAGAGCCTCATCGCTGCGAAACGTCTTGGCTTTATTACAGATGTTCAACATGGATGTGAGCCCACGATCACACCAGAATAGCTCCATAGTTTCGCACGCAACAAACGGTTCTACTCGCCTCCCGCGAGTTATTTCCACTCTCGAACTGCTCTATGTGATATGGGCTCCTCATCGCGACAGCGAGTGGACCTCTTGCGTGATCGGGCCCATGCAACAAGCACCCGCTTATCTCTCAAGGGGTTTGGGCCCTTTAGAGTTTCGCAGGGTTTAGCTGCCGTACAAGCCGCGGGCTCTGGCCGGTCTCGAACTTTTTTAATTGGGCTACGCGAAATCTCTCGTATGCAAGCCCTTCCCGTCGCGTGTTTGAGGCTCCCAACCGGCCGGTTTTACCGGGTTTGTGGAGTCTGCAGGTTCGGACTTCGGCCGACTGTTCTTCTCGAACGGGGTGTGTCCACTATACAGACATACCACTGAAGCTTATGGGTAAATTGACCAATGGGTTGATGTACCAGCTTAGCGATGGACTCGGTGCGACGTAAGATGAGACCATGGGATTATTGCTCAAGGGCTGATGCCGGGCCGGGGAGTGTGAGAGTGGATTTGATCAGTGACGGTTTGGTTCGGTTACATCCCGTAGGATCACGCTTAGGGGATTCGTTCTCTCGCCGCTGAATGACGTTATGAATTGGAAGGGTTTGGACTGGTCACCGGCATGGCACGGCACGATCGCCAAGTGCTTGGTGTCAACCTGAAAGATGCAGCCTTGGGTCCTTGGCGAACACCTATCTTAAAAAGGCCAAGACCTGTCAACGGTTTTTTGAGATGTGCATATCTTATCTTGAAACTTCAGCGCCTAAAAGTCCGTCTCAGTAAGATGCCTGGTACAAGCCATAGCTCCCCAGACAGCCGTGCAAGGAGTCGTATGACTCTTAGGTCTCCCTGGCCTCGGCCGCCGGACATCAATGAGCGACTGGCCCCAGAGTAGTTCTTCGGCTCTAAATACCCCCACGGAATGCTTCTAGACCTGGCCTTTCTCCATTATTCAAGCCTTGTCATCTAATCACTACCCTGGCCAACTCGTCATCAGCGTCGGTCACGACCGTCAAAGCTTTGACCTTATTTCAGGCACAAGACCATTGGCAAATAATCAGCGTCTGGAGTTGATGACCCAGATCTTCGAGCATAGCCAAGGTTTCATTCTATGTGAGCTGAAGAGGTTGAACGCGTTGAGGTCACCTTAAACGTGTATCATTAATTGCATCTCCCGTCCCTGGTCTAGTAACACGGAGTAAAAGCCAGTTCTGTGGAACTGTATAAGTCTCTCTAAACGTTTTACCTCACCACACTCACGAGATCCAACTTCTGTTCGTACAGACCGACCTAGGCATGATTACAAAACGTGTTGCCGTCCGTATCAAGCCTCTATTACTCTAACATTTGTTAGAGTATAGAGCAATTCTTAGATCCGAAAATGATTTCATCTAAAAGGATACCCAATTTTTTAAACCCCAGCAGTATTGAGACGAGCTTATAGCTGAGGGACGTGATGTGTGTTGCCCAAGGGTAGTCACGTGTTTGTCCTTCAAACGACGTTTAAGGCCTTCTAGTAATGCAGTGCAGAGCTGCCTTGCAGAAATATGAGCACATACCTGCTCACCGCTCATGATACTATTTAACAAACTTGCAACTCCTGTTGTCTGCCAAACTTGGATCTCCTCAAGCGCGCCAGTCCTGATCTTCAGGCCTACCTCAATCCCAGAAATGGCCGAACCGCTGGCTGTGGTTGGAGTAGTGGCCAGCCTGGTGCAGCTCACCGACGCCTCGATCCGAACCTGTCTTTGTCTATATGGCTTCTTTTTGGGCCTGCGTAATTCGCAACCCGAGTTCCATCGCCACGCAACTGGTTTGAGATCTTATTAATGGTTCTCTGATAGCCGTCACTAAGAAAGCTGTAGTAATTCGGGATGTCCACGATGCAATTCAATCGATCCGCGGAACAGTTGTCAGCCAGAACTTGAGCGAAGCCGAAAAGAAAGGTCTTGTCAGTCATCTCAATAGCATGGACCAAGAACTGTCGACTCTTGAGAAAGAAACAGCGGCCAAAGATCCAGCCAAGTTAAAGGCGAGGATTATCCTGGCTTTGAAGTCAGCCGAGACAGAGCGAGCACTACAGAGGCTTGAGAACCACAAAACAACCCTTCTACTCTATCTGCAGGCATTAAGCTTGTAAGATTCTCCTTACCTTAATCCATGGTCATATTCGTCTAACTGGTGTGGTAGTAATCGCGCTGAGAAGATTCTTTGTTCCCAGAATTCAGCAGAGGCTCGCCTGCAATCTCTCATAGAGCAGCAGGATAGACACGAAAGCGCCATACGAAGTGATATTGAAAATGGCATAGAAGATCTCAGTGAGAAAATGGGAATCCTGGACTCTGCCGTTGGTATCTCCCAAGAATGCTTAAGGGAGGGCTTCTTCACCATATCTCGTGAGATACAGGTTTCTGGGGAACATCTGAGAAGCATATTTCGCCAAGAACTGCAGCGTCAACTTCAGCCGCTTGTTGAAGAGGCCATGACAAGATCTGAAATGCGGAGGGCAGCTACTCCTAGGCAGCTCTGCCTAGATGTGGGCGCGGCGACAACTTCAGTTACGACGGTCAGAGTGATTCGGGGAAGAGATGTACCGGGATTGCTGCTCTCTAGGATTGACAGGACTGACATAGTTCATTTTTTTGGTTGGGTAGCCGTAGGGTACGTTGGCACCATGGCGGCGGCGATGAAGTAAATGATCCATAAATACGTCGTTGAGGTGCTCTGCAGTAGCAAGCGTAACGGCACCGCTGTCCGGGTTGCAGGAAGTCAAGTATCCTCGTAACCTCCACAACTATGTATACATCAAAGGATATGTGAAAATTACAACCGTGCTTTCTGAATAGGGATGCGAGATGTACAAATAGAAAAATACCTGACGACAGTTGAGCAGCTCCGCAATCACGCATTTGCGCATGTTCAGGCTTAATGCTATATATTGACAGGGGAGAACCCTGGCGGAGGATCCATAACTGCACCTACGATGCTCATCGGCATGAGGAAGGATGGGAGCCAAGGTGGAAGGATCACTCTCGGCTATCTCGATGCTAAAGAGAGGCCTTGGCGAGCTCTCATGACGCATTTGCATGATCTCGTTTACAGACGTGTATATCATGGGGACAATTTCATATTGAATATAGAAAAGATGAGCTTCACACTCTGACACAACTCACACCACCCTCAACACCATTCACCTTCATGCACCTCTCAACCACGACTCGCGTCTTCCTCTAAGCCCACAATTTCAAAGCCACATTTGTATCAATCTTGGTCATCATTCATCTCTTCGTTGCATCTGCGTCTTAGTCAACATCAATAAGCACCTTCAGGGCACCATGCTTGGCGGCTTCGCCAAAGGTCTCGTAGGCCTTTTCCATCTCACTGAGCTTGAAACCTATGGACCTCGTTAATAAGTATTTCTGTGAAAGTTGTAGGGATTCTTACGGTGGGTGATGAGCTGCGAGGGCTGAAGCTTGCCGGACTGGACCAGCTTGAGCAGCATGGGGGTGGTAACAGTGTCGACCAGTCTGGTAGTGATGGCTAATTCAAATCACGTTAGAATCCGATTGCACATTCATACGGTCTGAAGAGCTCAACTCACAAATGTTCTTATCCCAGAGATTCTGGAGGTGAAGATCGACCTTGGTGCCGTGAACACCCACATTGGCCAAGACACCACCAGCCGCAAGGAGGTTTTGGCAGAGATCGAAAGTTGCTGGGATACCGACAGCCTCAATCACAGAGTCGCATCCCTTTCCATCAGTCAGAGCCTTGACCTGAGCCACGGCGTCTCCCTTGGAGTTGTTGATGGTTTCAGTAGCGCCAAACTTTTTGGCCACTTCGAGTCTTCCAGCGTCTGTGTCAATGGCAATGATCTTGGACGGGGAATACATCTGGGCCGTGATGATAGCTGCCAGACCAATTGGCCCAGATCCAACAACGGCAACTGTGCTGCCTGGCTGGACTTTGCTGTTGAGAACACCACATTCGAGACCGGTGGGGAAAATGTCGCTGAGCATCACCAGCGAGGACTCATCTGCGCCCTCGGGAATGGGGTGGAGACTGGAGTCGGCGTGAGGAACGCGGACGTACTCGGCTTGAGTGCCGTCAATGGTGTTGCCAAGAATCCAGCCGCCAGAGACGCAATGGCTGTACATGCCCTTGCGGCAGTATTCGCAGGTCGCGCAGGCCGAGATGCAAGAGATAAGAACCTTGTCACCCTTCTTGAAGCGTCCCACGGCCGATCCAGTCGACTCAATGATGCCAACTCCTTCATGGCCTAGAATGCGGCCAGGTGTGCAGGTAGCAACATCACCCTTGCGAATGTGAAGATCAGTGCCGCAGATGGTCGTCTTGAGGACTTTGATGACAGCATCAGTGGATGACTTGATCTCAGGCTTGGGCTTGTCCTGCAGAGACACGGCATTGCTTCCATTGTAGATGAGAGCCTTCATGGTGGACAGATATCTCAAAGTGAACGGGCTGGACTGAAGTCGTCGTAGTGGAGTGATTCTGGTGGCACCGGATAGCGCGGGAATGGATGATCTGATCAGGATAGACCTGGAAACTCTTGCAACAGTCGCCATGGTTGGGAGAGGAGACAATGACTTTATAGCAACGCAATGCGGGGAGAGGGGGGCGGTAATAGCTTGTAAACACGAGGGAGCTGAGTCAATTGCAGCGCAATTCCTGCATGCGAGAAGATGCTTTCTCAGCAAAAAGTCAAAATTTCTTGTCTTGTCGTCGACGGTTGGGTGGGCTCCGGCACATGTCGGATCATGACATGATTACGGTCAGGAGCAGCGTAACATGACACGCCTCACCGCCAATGAGGCGCCTGAACGGTTTGCGGGGTGCAGTCAATGGTGAGACTTTTTTCGCCTTCGGGTTTGCTCCTCCGGGGCGGGGGAGGATGTTAGATGACAAGGGTGGTTCGATTTGAGGCTGCGAATTCAGACTTGTTTGGCTTGATGAGGTTTGGGATTGTTGGCTCCTTTGCGGGGAGCGTTGGATCGTTCATGAACTAGAGGCTTATGGCGTAGCAGTTTTGAACTTCTACTAGGATCTTGAATCGTTGCAATGCTCTGCCGGCCGCAAGATGCAGCTCTGCTAGAGTACAATGCAAGCGAGCAGTTTGAGCAAGGCTGCGGAGCAAATCCCGTACCTGCATGTAGCTATTTGCGGAGCTGGTGCCGCAAGAAATTGCCCGTGGAAATCAGCGGAGCCTTATCCGTTGACTGCCGGTAGCATTGCGGAGGTCGGATCGACTTCCCCGCGTTGCACTATGCTTCGTCCCTTGACCTTGTTCTTGAACTAGCTTGGGGCTAAGTATACATAGAAAGGACGTCTTAACCAGATAGGCATGTTTAAGCCCTTTATTTGATATAGTGACTTCTTTTCTCGAAGAGGCGGTGTCGAGAGGTTGGGTTGCATGTAGCTCTCCTTTAATCAAACACATTCCAGTCCAAACTCAAATCACTGTAACTTGAATTGAGGGACAGGATTAGGAGCATGAATGAGGGTACTTTTGGACAATCCTTGACCAGGATATATTCATGTGTCCGTAGTATATACATATGTGCATGCAAAAGGTCCATCGAGGGCCGCCGAGATATGGCTGCTCCTACCTGGCCAGGGATATTAAGTCGCAATCAAGACAGGTCCAGTGGCTGAGGCAACCATACTGTGATCAATTCCTATTCAGGTTATGATCTTCTCGACCTTGACTAAGATTCCCCCCTCTGTTGGCATCCCTTTGCTGTCCAACAGATGCACAAACCGATACCCATTTCCCAGCCTATCCAGTCGGATACACGCCCACCCTGCCAATTCATCCCACTTAAAACCCTCATCCATGACCTGAAAACGCACCCAAGACAACTCTTCCAAGACCTCATTGACGTGTGGGAAGCTAAGGTGGTCTTCTTGGAAGTCTATGTCACATCCTTTGTGTGATATCGTGAAATCTGTGTACTTCTCGTTGCGCTCATATGACTCGCTTTCATCGCCGTGTTTGTCGCTAGGCCCTTCGACGTGAAGCTCTACACTGACGTATGGTTTGAACTTTTGCAGGGATGTGCAATCTTCCGGAAGGGGAATGTTTTGGCCAGAGTAAAAGGTGATGGAGAGTTTGACTTCTTTTGTGTTAACTGTGTTTGCTCCCGGTTTGTCCTGGAGGTACGGGCGATATCCTGAGAATTGGTGAGACAAAGAAGCGCAAAAATTGGTATGTTACGTACCCGGAGGCTTCAACAACCATCCTTGCGTGTCGGCAAACATGCCATTGTTGATCATCATTCCTGTATCCCACGTCTGCCAGTTCAGAGCCACCATCTGGATGCCCTTTCTCCAGAAGCTTGACGGATCCATATTGGAGGAATCAATACGGGCACCGCTTGGATACGTCCTCATAAAATGGTCTCTATTGTGGCTGAAAAGCTCGCAGGCGTGTGTATCCAGCACGTCTTGCACTTTTGTCTCCGATAATGAGAAAACGTGCATCGGATGCGATGCTTCTGGGGCGTCAAGAGCCTTGAAAGACACGCCACGTTTGTAAATACCCATGTTGCTCAGCTCTTGGGTCATTTTGTGGGAAGCGATTGGCTTGTCCCCCTCCTCATCGTCACTACTGGAAGAAGAGACAGGCCTCTCGGGCGGTGCGTACTTGACTTTGATGCGCAACTTGTTACGCAAGGAATCTGGAGTTGGTAGCTCGGTGGGGTCCCCATCAGGTTCTTCGAGAAGTAGGCCATCCCAAATCTCCCGCACGATACGAACCATAGCAAGTTGTTGCTCAGCACAGCAGTGAACTTCTAGAGACACAATAACGGGGAGGTCGTTGGTGGCGAAGGCGTTGTCCCGCATAGCGACGCAAACGTCACGGAAGGAGACTTCCCTGGTGAGAGTGTATCCATGCAGAACTCGGGGCTCAATAGCCAACACTTTGTCCATCTTGGATAGAGAACTGCGGCTGTTAGAAGTCCTGGAAGGAGCTGATGTCGTGTTCCGTAGCTCAAATCCCTGTCCTTTGGCCTCATCTTCGTGCTTGTCTTGAAATGAGGCCTTCATCTTGTCGAAAAGGCGCTCAACCCTAGTCTTTGACCTTTGAGTTCCGTCGACGCTCCTGTCCGAGTTACTTCTTGCAACGGATGCTCTACCGTCCCAAACATCAATCTCGACACAACGACATCCACGACGCAATGCGTCTATGTAAGGTTGCGTGGAAGAATCGCTTGATAGTTGGTTGCCGGTCAGGTAGGTGTTGTGGCTTAAGTTGATAAAGTAACTTACCAAAGGCCATGTCAAGTCCTCTTCCTTGGGTGGGTTGGTGATGTTGCAGTTGGGCGATGCCATCCATACCAGGAAGCCTTTTTCATCGAGATGATCTCTTGCTGCCAGCTCGATAGAACCAGGCGTTACGGCCTGTCGTTGAGAATATTGCAAGAACTCTCGAATCATCTCGTTGCTCCAGCTGTGTTGTCCTTGCCCAAGACCTTGACGGAACACGTGGGACAAGTAGTGTAGAGTAATGGCGTTGAAATGAGACACAGACGAAGTAGCACAGCTACCGTCAGCCTTCGATTCTTTGGCAAAGAGGACCATACTGGGCAAGTCGATATGGAAAACAGAAGTAATATGACAACGAAGTCTCAATGAACTTATATTAACTGAAGGCTACTGTAAAGATGAAACATGAGAGCCGTTCTGTTCCACTGTTTCTTGGCCCGGTCAGCGCCGAGTCAAAGCCTCCACCATGCGATGATGCCAAGGTAGGGAGGCCTCGAGTGGCAGTCAGATTGCATGTTCTCTCGAAAGTAATGCCTAGATATCGATAGACTACTTTAGCCAAGACCCCGGTGCTATGACAGCTTGGCTGCCGGAGTTCCGAAGTTTGTAATTGGGGCGTGAATTAGTCCGGCTTATGGATTCGGCGAGTCTGGGGACGAGTATTGCTACGTTGTTGGATTGTCTATTCTCTCAAATCGATCTTCCTAAACAACCTATTTCTATCTTCTTAGAGAATACCTAAATATTCTTACCTTTATTGGAGGGAGAAGTGAGTTCACAACGTCTATGAATCTCTAGCAATGGTGGGAACAATGGTATAAAGGACAGAACCAGAAGAGGAAAAAAAGCCTTCTTAGTGGTTTGGGTCAAGACCAAGATTCTGATTGGCCCATCCGTATAAACAGGGACCTCCCTCACCATCCACATTTTCTGATATTTATCACCCACCCATTGGCTGATCTAGATATACGGATGGACTACTTAGAAACCTCAAAGCCCTGCATTTCCAACCTCCTTCACATGCACGACAAGAAAAGTTCCGGAAACATGACTGTTACCACGCCCGTCAAGCCCAAGTTCAAGCGGGCTTTCAGTCACAAGGTCCGCACTGGCTGCATCACCTGGCATGTTCCTTCACCGTCTCTCCGTCTTGAGCTGAACTAACGTCGTGTAGCAAGTGAGTACTCCATGAAAATAACATTATATCCGGTCTATAGACTCACGCGGTACACAGGATCCGGCGTGTCAAGTGTGACGAAGAAAAACCCATCTGTCGTCGCTGCATCAACGAAAAGTTCAAGTGCGACGGCTACGCAATGCCACCAAGACGAAAGAACGCCAAGGCCAAGGCCAAGGCAGAGTCAGTAGCAGCTCGACAGTCTGAGCTTCCCCTGACCATCAGCGAAGCAATGTTCTCGACGAACTGGGAGAAATTATACTTCCATCATTTCCTGCACTGGACGGCGAAACAACTGTTAAGCTCCCCCGATTCGTCCAACTTTTGGCTTCGCTATGCTCTCCCGCTAGCTCATCACTGTGAGGCCGTCAGATATAGTATGGTGGCCGTTGGCGCGTCCCATCGACTTTCCATGGCCCGGTCTGTCGCGCACCTGAAACCTTTCGAGCTCGAACGCATCGCCATTCATCAGTATAACAAAGCTATTTCAGTAATCATGCCGTCCATGTCTGTGGATTCCGTTTACAACAGGCATTGCATATTGATATGCTGTCTCTTATTCGTCTCCGTCGAGGGTCTCATGGGCCGATACGATGACTTGCTTCGACACCTGCGATCCGGCAATCAGCTACTGACCTCGTCTCTCAAAGATTCTACACCCGATGAATATGCCGTGAACGAGAAGCTCGTTGAGGTGTTTTCGCGCCTCAGCACCGAAACATCCAATTTTTGCCAAAAGAACGTTGCCTCAGGAGTATCACAATGGTATCAAACCAACGCAAACCCGAACATCACACCTACTCAGCCCTTCCGAGACCTGGACGAAGCCTCATACGAACTGCAGAGGCTCAGTGTTCGCCGAATCGACAACGCTTGGTATAGTCGAGTTGAATGCGAAGACGATGATACAGACGAAGTCGAAAGCGCGAAGAGACTAGCTATGATACACGAGAACTTTTCTGCGTGGAATTCTCGCTTTGAAGCCATGCCGTGCGTCAACCAAACCAGTCTTCTGGATGAAAGCAGTTCGCAGCTGCGCAATCTACGGCTAGCACAGCAGTTCTGGAAGTTGACCAGCGCCGTCCTGGTCCCAGACGAGTCCATCTCAGGGCCCATCTCAGATCCTACGTTCTTCTACGACTTCATGGCAGCAGCCACAAGTGCAGCCGGGCCGCTAATTGCAATGAATCAGCCTACATTTTCTTTAGATGGAGACCTAATCTCAGGCCTGAACTTTGTAGCTGCGTCGGCGATCCACCCTTCGGTCGCTGGTGTCAAGATTCAGGCGTTGGACTTGTTGCGCAGACTGGATCGGAGGGAGGGAGTCTGGGATAGCGGAGATATAGTCAGGCTGTATGAGTTGATGGCAGCTGCTGATGAGGAGGACTGAGCCCCGGCCTCGTTCAGACGGCTACAGCGGGCAATTTAGAGGCCTCATTTCGGTGTTTTAGCAGAACTCTTGGTTTCATGATGTTGGTCATGCTGGACGGGTTCATATCCTCGAGAAGAGGTTCAAATGACCTGGTAAATCTTCGAGGCTGTGCTATTTAATTTCGTCATTCTCTGTTTCTTGGTTTTCTCATTATAAAGGAAACCAATCACCGATTTAGCATTCGTTCGACATAATAATGATAATATACCATACACATCCAAGTCGACCAATTAGGGGCATGGGGATAGGGGTCGTTGTTGCGAGCCGAGGCTCACGGTAATAAGTGGAGCCCACTCCTCACCTCCTCAGAGACCCATCTCCTTGCTTCGCATGTGAACAACAAATCCAGCTAGTATTGTATGAATTTGAGAAACTATGAGCAAACTCTACTCCAGCAAGGTCAACATGGCCGCCGTGGGCAGTTCACAGAGAAAAATCTTTTGCACTGATCCCGCCCAGTCCAGAGGTTCTTCGAGGGTTCACTTCAGAATCTAGATGCAATATCGCTGTTACTCGGCATGTTTATTAGGTACCTAGAACAGGACAAATGAACACTAGCAAGTATATTCTGGCTCTGACAGCAGGGTGCTGCCAATTAACCCTTCGGTTGGTTTACAACCCCTCCTGTATCAAGTCTCCGAGGAATGCTTAGTAGCTGCCAAGGTAACCGAGGCACGGACAACTAAGGTACACACGAGCCTCGGCAGGCTTTAGTACGAGTATATAGTCGAGACCTTATCTCCCCAGAGATATATGCTCCTTTATATCCTATCTTTTCCTTTTCTGTCACTCTACTCCATGCTTTCTATCCAGCATTGAACAATCTGCGATAAAGTCTGATAGGCACACAATAATCCACAGCCATTCTTATTTATCCACCACCAGATATAATCAAAATGCGTCTCAAGTACACAGAAGACCCTCCAACCTTCTCCGACCCTGCGGACCAAGCATTTCTACAGAAATTACAAGCACAAGTTGGCAAGCGCGGCCTTGGGCCTCTTTTCCGCACCTTGCTCATCTCTCCAACTTTTGCCCGTGGCTTTTTGGCTTTCTTCACTGCTCTCCGATCCCAGTCGACGCTACCTGCAGATGTGGTCGAGTTGGCCATGTCTCGCGTTGGGGTCTTGACTGGCGCCGCTGTCGAGTGGAATGCGCATGCACCCATGCTCAAGAAGGCGGGGGTTACAGATGAGGGGATTGAGACGGTCCGGACAGCGGCTCCGGGACATAAGGGCTCTGATGGAGAGGGTGGGTTGAGCGCCCGACTGTGGGATCTTATGCGCTATGTCGATGCAGTAACAAAGGACGTCAATGTCAGCGATGAAGTTTTTGAGGCCATGAGAAAGCATCTGAAAGATGACAGGCAGGTCTTTGAGTTCAGTAAGTCTTCCTCTTCCTGGCTGTTGGAGTAAGCGAGACAATTTGTTTCATATAGATCATGTAATATTGCATGCAGAAGGGTTCGTGGCAGGATATGCAGGCTCATAGTGGACGCGTTCGCTAACGACATAACTTACAGCTATGATCATCAGCGGCTACAACGCCTCCTCTCGCTTCTTTGTTGCCCTAGATGTGGCAGAAATGAAGGACGCTAAAATAAGCAAAGCCAAGCTGTAAAATGCTATTATATTTCGATTATTGCTGTTTGAATATACAGTGCCAAAGTAGGCGTGGTTCGATATTAGATTCTAGATCTACCTTGAGTTTTACTCAAAGAGAAAGAGAACTAACGCCAGGGGCCGGAATTATAGCATCATTTGAGCAGCAAATTCGAAATTGTCTGCTCGCTCTATCTAACAACGCTGTTTGACGGGTTTGACCTTGTTTCCTGGTGAGAGACGGTCGTCGGAAGGCGCCCAGGAACCGACAGTCTTAACTCACATCGAGAGATTAGATCAAGCAGTCTTAAATTTTCTTCCGCAATATGGCTTTGAGCGAATTTTCCCATGTCATATCGAGCATAATCTAGCCTTACTGGCAGTGGATATAGCTCTGCCCTCTTGCTGTTGGCGAACCACCACAGGTATCTTAGCTAACAATGTCATGTAACTTCTCTGTATCCTTTGCATTGCACGACTTTATTAAATCCTCATTTACTTGCTATTGTCTACTCATAACTCTCCCAAGGTAGCAAGTTCTCATATTGCCCTCTAATAAAGTAGCTAAGCCAAAGACGTGGACTCCTTGGCGGGGGTATCAAGTTGAAATCGAGGCCGTTACAATTATATACATTTCCCCTTCATTCATCTCCCACATAATAGATCTGGCATTGATTCCAGATCATTGGGTCCTGTGACCCCATTTGCAGCCTGGCACATACGTCCTGTTATCCGTACGGCATATCAAGGCCTGCAGAGTGCTGCCCAGTGAAGGAACCGTCATTCCCACAGGATTTCCAGGTTCTTCATACCAAGATGCCGGTTCTTCAAAAGTTTGGCATCCCGGCGCTGGGTGCAACATCGCGTCCCAGGAATTTCGACGCGTCGTATTCGACTGTTCAGAGTGGCGGTGGCAGATAGTCGTGCGGATTCGGAAATCGACCCTAACCCTTATCCAATCCACTTCCGGCTTCCACTGCCTCAGCCGTAATGGCTCTTCAGTCATGGTGGTGTGATGTATTCTTAGCATCGTCTGCCACTTCACGTCTCTTTCCTTCTAAACGGAGACGCCACCGGCCAGTAACTTTGGCGAGCCATACTCGGTTGGGATGTCGCGGCAGTGACGTCGGTAGGGTGGTGATGAGCATGGGAGACATGCTCCGTCTGATCAAGGGGATGAACCGAAGATGAGGAACCAGAAGGTACAAGTCCTCGGGAAGAAATAGTGCTGTCTACACGAGACAGAGGTTCCTTCGCATCTGTCAGGGTCTCAACATCAGCAAGAAAAAGCATGGACTCGCAAACATACAGTAAGGATCCGACATGTGAAACAAGTTGAATGGAGAAGTCCTTGGCTGGCCACGATTGTTTGTCCTTGACGACACATTATTGGCGGCTTCTGGAACTGGATGCAACTGGATGTCGTCATCAATGGCAGCGATACCTCCGGAATCAGCATTCATATGCATGCAATTGCAGTCTTTGTGCTGCACGAGCAGCAGCAGCTTGTTCAGCACGACAAACTCCATCTTCAACTTGATGCTGTAGACCACGGGCTTGTATGTCGTCTGGATCTGGAAGTGGCTGAGGTACTGGGTAATGAGCAGGCTTATGTCGAGAAGGATGACGAGAATGTTGACGATTATGAGGTTCCTGATGATTTTGCGCTCCAGGGCTTTTTTGATGACAAAAATGGGCTTGAGGCCCCGTGCGGTTTCCCAGATATAAAAACCTGAGATGATGGATTCCTGGAGGAAGAAGCCTGCGAGTTGGATGCGCTCGTAGATATTAAAGGCGGCCAGGTAGCGGTGAGAATCCTTGGTGTTGCTGCCGAGGAATAAAACGGTGACGGGTACGTGAAGAATAAAGAAATTGGTAATAATCATGCCGAGAACCCAGCGCGTCTTTGTCTTGTCGTCGACGATGAGGTGAAGTCGCGAGTAGAGAACGACAGATTGGCCCGTGACCATGCCATACCATCCGATACAGGTCAAGACGCAGAGCGGGAAATTGGGGCCGAGGCTGTAGTAGCGCAGCAGGACTACTATGGAGTGCAGGGCGATGCCCAGGGTGGCGGTGAGCATGCTCCAGAAGTAGAGGCCCTCGTGGCGTTTGAAGCGGTTCAGCAAGGAGATGAGGATCTCGACGCAGTTGTAGCAGGCCACGGCGAAGAAGCCCGCGATGACCATGTTGATGGCCAGCGGCGCCGTGATGGGACCCGTCTCTCCTGTGGCAGCCATGGCGAGTAGGTCGCTGCCGCGGCGACGAGGCCGATCATGATACTGTCAACGTGAAAGGGAAAGGGAGGAGGAGAGGACGTGAACTAAAGCTTGTTTCTGGTGGAGAAGAAGAAATTGGGGCAGGTTTATTTACGAGAGACCGAGAATCCCTGTGATCGCCGCCCTTGCTACTCTGCTTTGCGGCTGCAGCGTCAATGATCGATAGCTTGGCCCTCCTGGGCACCTGGGGTCATTCTCAGCTGGAGCCATTGGCCAGAGCTGGAACCCCCTGCATGCAGAGCTGGCCTCTAGGGGAAAGCTAAAGGTCGGTAATGCCGGGGATAGGATATGATTCAGGTTAGACGTTTGGGTCAAGCCACACGGAGCAGCAGCAGCAGCAGCGACAAAGGGCGCATTCTATCTTGTCGAATTTCCTGCATCGGCTTCAGCGATCAGAAGTGACAGATGGGAACCCAGGTGAATACGGTGGGCATGGCACACGAGGGGCATCGAGATTGGCTGCGTCATCTCGGCATCGCCTGGGCTTGACGGACCCGCGGATCCCGGGGAGACCAACCCGGGCGGGACTACAGGGAGTCTTGGTGTTTAGTTAGGGGTCTCTTTTCTTGTGTCTTTGGCCAATGACGTGAGCACGTCTCTTCAAGGGCCAATGGTCACCCCAGGAATTTGCCGTTTTCAAAAGCACGCTCTTTATCTGCCCTTGTTACGCTCGAACCCCTTCGCGACGCACGCCTGAACCCAAGAGGCAGGTTCACTACCTGAATTTGTCACCAACAGAAAGCTTATCCCATTAAACGGCCGCATTCCATCGTCGATTCAAAATCCCGTTTATGTCAACGTCCAACTCGGTCTCGGTGTGCTTATCGGTGCTACGAGTCATGCCCGCATAAGCCCGTGGCTTATGAAGCCATACGACGGATGAAACCGTATTTGCAAAATACCACACCGCGAGCATAAGTCACATCATCAAAAACAGGCATGGACTTGGCCCCTTTGAGCGTTGCGTTGATGAGACACTAGTACAGGGCGTGGTCTGACTTTGGCGATCAATGTCAGGTTTTGGTCGGTGCTTCGTAGGGCGACTCTCTACCTGATACGATCGTTCGGCCGTTCGCCCGAAGAAAAACGTGGCCTGGGAATGCCACATGTCTTGCTACTGTTGATACTGACATTGACAGTGTCGATCTCAAGCATCGTTGACGCCGGACTCTCAGATCAGGCCGCTGGTCCACACGGATCTTTTCACGTAAGCCAACCACACGACAAAGCTCTAACCTTCCAAATCTACAGTAGTCTTGCTCCAGTCTTCAAGCTTGCGAGAGGTGACACACTTTCTGCGGCTCCGCCACGCGCAAAACAAGCCCGTCTCAAGCCATCGATTGGCGTCTCAAGTTCCGCAGTCCACACATCGATGGGCAACGCCGTCGAAGCGGTCAAAATAGTCTAAAAAACCTTATGGCAACGAGGGGAAAGCTACGAGAGTGGAGGCTGGGAGAGATTGGGGTTAGATGCCGCTGCCAGCTTCGATCTTGGGGACGGAAGGGCTACTGCCGAACCGAGCGGGAGAACAGGGGGGAAAGGAGGAGGATGGATGGCGGCTTGTTATGGTTTTGCGAAATGGTGGAAAAGAAAAGGGGATTCGTTATATGACATCATTTTGATAGGATGCCAGCTCTTGTGCATTCGGAGACTCATTCCGGATGGCAGCCCCTGTTTACCGCTACTGGCCCATCCCATTACTAGTACCAGCCCCTGCATCTTGGCAGCACATTCATAAACGCGTATTTATCACCTCCTGCGCGATAACGTTCTTCCTTTTCCCTGGAATGATCAAAGGCTTGGGTCTAGGGTGGGTTGACTTGATGCGTCCACACTCCTGTCAGACACAGCTTCTCATACATCTTGAGATGAAAACTTGAACTGAACATGTTCAAGACAGAGTCATGTTTGGACCAGAGACACCACGATCCCTGTACATGACAAACCCAGTGCTCACTTTGTCATTTGAGAATTGCTTGTCAACTCGAAGCGTCTACAAGACTCGACATCAATTGACCCGTCTTACGGTTGCGAAACCCCGTATTTACTCTGTTATGAACGCACATCGACTTGAACACCGCCTCGAAGCAGCTGCAATCCCTCAGTAAAGAGGCGCAGCACCCCTAGCCACCAGGCAGACATGATTATTAACCCGAAAATGAGGCTGCGCATCGTCTTATGACTGGCAAAAGGCATGAACCCCCTCAATATGGTAATCATATAGCGTCGTCGTTCTCGTTTAACCTCCGCAATCTCCACTTTCCTTCGCATTCGCATGACAGGTCTTAGCATTGCATTCCCGATTGGGTAATTATGTTGCGAGCCTCGCACTTTGATCCTATTACAGCGCACACAACTCTTTTCATTCACTTAAAGGCCCTGGGGGAGAGGGATTTTACTCTCTGGGGATCGAGAAAGTCCGTAGGAGATGGGAAATGACCTGAGGGAAAGGATGGGTAGAATCATTGACAGAGCCACGATTTTCGTCGTAGACATGAGGCGAGTTTGTAAATATTAAGAAGGAAAAATGTGTATATATACGCTTCCTGATATCTACTTCTTTTCTCCATTATCATCTCCCATCCTCACATCAACTCCGACAGCCTTTCCTCCTCTCTCCACAATGAAGTTCTCTCACTCCCTTCTGCTTACTGCCCTAGGCGTCTCATCCTGCGCCGCGGCCGAGGACCTTCGGGATGAACACCCAGTTCTCCTGCTCAGTGAAGACGAATCCTTCCACTTCGAGCTGCTCGTACCTCTCGAGCAAGCCATCGGTGGAGGCTCCGACATCAACCCGGTGCTCCTGGCCGCAAAGAACATCACCCCCGGAGACCTCGATAGCTTCAGCGAGGTCTTTTACCAGCTCGCCAACGAGACAAAAGCCCAGGCCGAAGACCCTGAGTTTGCATATGACCCCATCAATGTGAGAGATGCTTGGTTTTCCGCTGCGACGTATTTCCGTCGGGCAGACTTTTATCTGCATTCTGACTGGGAGGATCCCCTCATCAACTCTCTTTGGGAAGAGCAGACCGCTGCCTTTAACAAGGGCATGGCTTCCCTCCCGCACCCCGGTAAACGCATTCGTGTCAAAGCCGATAACTTTACCGTCGAGGCTATCTGGTATACCGAGTCCGAGCACTCTCTGCGACCGACCATAATCATGGGCAATGGCTATGATGGAGCTCAAGAGGATTTGTACCACATTGTCGTCACTGGAGCCCTCGCCCGTGGATGGAACGTTCTTACCTACGAAGGCCCGGGACACCCATCTGTTCGCCGAAACCAAAACCTCGGATTCATCCCCGACTGGGAACGTGTCGTCACTCCCCTTGTAGACTATCTACTCAACGAAAAGGCCGCCGCCGTCGACTCGGAGAAGCTCGCTCTGTTCGGCTACTCATTCGGAGGATACCACGCCGCCCGCGCTGCCGCCTTCGAGCCCCGAATCAAGGCCGTCCTCTGCAACGGTGGAGTCTGGGACACATATGAGTCTTTTAGCTCCGGCCTCACCCCCGAGATGAAAGAACTCCTCGAGTCCGGCAACAAGGAAGAATTCGACAAGATCGCAGAAAAACTGCGAAAGGACCCCTCCACCCCCACGACATTCCGCTGGGGCATGAACCAGGGTCTGTGGTCCTTCAACGTCAGGTCACCCTACGACTTTATGCAGCTTACCAAGCAGCACACCCTCAAGGATGTCGTTCACCGCATCAAGGCCCCCGTGTGGATTGCTGACGCTGAGTTTGAGGGTTTCTTCAGGGGACAATCTGCCAAGGTTAAGAAGGCACTTGGTGAACAGGCTGACTTGCATGTTTTCCGGGGAGCTGCGGGATATCACTGCCAGACTGGTGCGGGACAGGAGATGATGAGGGTCATGTTTGCTTGGCTGCACAAGACTCTCGGTGTGTAAGAAGGGATGAGTCTTGTGGGGAAACTTTACTTTCTTCTGGCGTCTTACTCATCATGAGACGAGTTTGCTTTCACCGGATGGTTTAATCTGGCCTCATATTTGACATGACTTATTAGAGAACGTGTAGTTGAATTGATCCTGTTAGCAAGACATGTCTTCCCTTGTGCTTTTCCATACCTATGCCTCATATCGCAAATACGCCCACAGCGAATATGTGCCCGCAGTAAATGCAGAAGAAGGGAAAAGTCTAGTGGTAGATCTTTCGACCGCCCGGACATAAGCTTGGGATGTGGCAGGTTGGTAGATGGGACCAAGCGCCGGCCAGATCGTGGGTATCTAGCATCTTTTTAGGCGTCTCTGACTACGAGGGACGTGGGAGATCTGCCCGTTTCCTTGCTCATACTTTATGGCCCCCTATTAAGATTTACACGTCTGGACGATAAAGCTTTGTCTTTCGTTCTGAGTATGGTTTGCCTTCCAAGAAGGCCGCGATGCGATGAGTGGTGTTAAAGCTGGGAGGACTAATCATTGACGGGTAGTTGTTTTATCTTGCCTCATTGTGGAATAATGGCTATCCAAAATAATTCATTAATTGCACTTTTAGTTCCGCGACTTCATTTCCATGATTCTCTTGTCCACTTATCTTAAGAAGTGTGCATCCTCCTTAGTGTTGACTTTCTGCCCCAGGGGGTTGTATTGAGGCGGAGCCCACCTAGGAAGATTCATCGAATAATCGAGGAGATGGGGAAATGGTCGAAAATAGCTCTTCATTTTCCCCTCCTGGTCTTCTTTGTCGGGCGACTGCAAAAGGTTTAGTTGTGACATGGCTCACGCTGAGATAAGAATGGGTAAAGACCTTCTTGGGTGAGCTCGTGCTGGATTTGCTTGGGCTCTTTGGCTTGGCCTTTTCTATGCCCCAAATCTCTTCCAACAAGTCGGCAAGGTCATTGGGTGTTATCTCGATAGGCTTCTTGGGCCAATCATATTTAGGGCTGGTCGGGTCTGGCGAGTCCATTTCTGATTGTTCTGGAGCCTTAGTCGCTGTTGGACAGAGTGGTGGCGTGAACTTGTGTTCGATTGAGGTCCAGCAGTTGATGTTGCCAGCAAGGGACAAGGCAGCTGAAAGAGCGCAGACACCCCCTTGATATAAGTTAATGCGGGGGATTCAGCCCCCCTCCTCCTTTTCAACAAGTTGAGGATTGCTGGGAAACTGCGGAACATTTTGTTGAGGTTCCGTGGGAATGTACCGAGCTGTCACCGCGTGGTTGATATGGCTTTCGGGCCTAACTCGGGCTCTTGATATTTGAACTCACCACCCTTTTCTCCCGACTCAAGACTTGCAAGAAGCATTACTTTGCCATATTATATGTCTAGGGCCATGAGGCTAACAAGGAACATATCCAGATTGACAGCCGGGATATCGTGTCGCGAGAAACCATTACTCGGCTCTGACAGACTGACACGCTTGAGATCCGAGCCGGGACAACTCACAGCATGGACCGACGTGGGGTGTATTCGGCAGTGGTCAAGGGTCAAACAAGAAAGGGACCGACAGTTAGACCGTATGGGCGACGTATCCCCTTCCCGAGACCCAGATTGCTGTGCATCTCGGAGAGATGGATTAGGAGGCCGATAGTGTGATCGGTCTTTTGCAGCAGCCATGGCAACCAGACGTATAACTTGAGTGCCATAATCTTCCGAGACAATGAACTGGCTTTTTGGTCTGATTTTCAAGGATGTGATAATCAACAGGTCAAGATCTCTGTATGATAGTCTCCATTGGATAACCCTTGCTCAGATTCCGTTCATCGTCGGGCATTTCTTGAGCATTCTCCTGGTGGAGATGCCGATGCTCCCATGGCTGTTGTGAAGAACCAGGGCGGCAACGTGGTACAGGAAATCAAGACTACTTGACAAACGAATGCCATGTGACGATGGGACCAGTAAAGCTTGAACCCAGGTCGGGAAAGCTCACGCGAGATACTTCCGCCCTTCTCTAGGCTTTCTAGTATCTGCATGGGAGCATATCCCTTCAAAGCAATATCTTGCCCTCCCTCATCTATGGGGGAAACTCGCGACGCGAGGCTCGGGTGACGAGCCTGGACGCCGAAGGCCTGACACTTTGACACCAGAATGTGTACCCGCTTCATGGTCCGGTCAACCCGCAGTAACCTCGATGAGGCGGAATCCAAAAGCTCCGCGGGCCCGAGGGTAGGATACACGCCGAAACCTGGTCCGGGAGAGATAGGCTGCAATAGGCCAGGTAAACCTGGGAACGGAGTGAGTTGCGGCGACAGGGAGCGCGGTTCGTTATTGTCGCCCGCGAGAGAGTCGCTGTCCTTGTAATTGACAAGGGTATAACATAATAGACCGCCAATTACACTTGCTTTGAGAGCTGGGGTCGGTATGGACCGTGACCTGAGATGTCCATGTTTAGCCGTGCTGATCAGTAACAACAGTGTGTATAAGATGAGGCCAGCTTGGTTTGCCATCCGGCATTTCCTCTTCTTTTCCAAAACCAGCATTGAATTCAAAACTCTTCAGGCCATGTTTTCTATCGTCCTGACTGCCGTCGCTGCGGCGGCACTTGCACTGTCGGAATCTCTTCCCTCTACAACACTTGCTCAGCTTGAAGTCGGCACATTCCTCGAAAACATAGCAGTACGCTCAAATGGGGATCTCCTCGTGACCAAGCTGTGGCCTTCGGCTGCCATATATACAATCCGAGCTCCATGGGAACGGCATAATACACTCGAAGAAATCATGTCAGTCCCTTCGATCCAAAGCATTTATGGCCTTGTCCAAGTCCCACCCAGCCGCCAAGATGTCGAGACATTCGTTTTTGTCGGTGGTAATTCTACAACCCCAGGAGAGACCGTGACTGGTTCGTTTGGCGCGTGGACCGTCGAGTTTAAATCGCCTGGAGACGAAGTCAAGGTCAGAAAAATCAGCGACATGAGACCTCAGAGCAAATTCCTCAATGGTGTCACAGCCATTCCTGGCCTATCTGACGTGGTTCTTGTGGCTGACTCTGCCAACGGCCTTGTCGGTCGTCTTGAACTGACCACCGGCACCTTTGATACCTCGACGTTTCGTTTCCCCCTTGAGATGGACCCGGTTGAGGACGCGAGACTGCCCATCGGCGTCAACGGCATTCAAATCCGCAACGAATATCTCTACTGGACAAATTCATTCCAAGCCTGTATCTACCGTATTACAATAACTCCTACTGGATTCCCTGCTAAGCATGCAAGACCGGAGCTTATTGCCAATCTATCCAAAGGCGTCAACTTTCTCGACGATTTCACCTTTGACGTCAACGGCAACATCTATGCGTCCACCAACCTTGATAACTCGATTGTCTTTATCGACGTCCAGTCCAAAGAGTGGGAGACGGTTGTGGGAGGAATTGGGGAGATGACTGTGGCCGGCTCTACATCTGTTGCGTTCGGTCGAGGGCGGAAAGATAAGGAGATTCTATATGTGAGCACGTCTGGAGCAATCGCGACGCCCGTCAATGGGACCGAGATTGAAGGCGCCAAGGTTGTCGCTATTGATACTAGGTTTCGAGAAATGTGACAGGGTTCGTCCTGTTGACTTGGATCTTGAAAAGCACAACTAGCGACCTTGATAATAGGATGAGACCAGCGAGCAGCTGATTTGCCTCGCAACTTGAGAGCTGCATGGCCAAGTTTCAGATAGGACTCGGAAACAGTCGTACGGCTCGCTAAACAACAGGGATGAATACGGTGGCACCTTAGACGCAAGTCGCAAAAATGCAGCTGAACAATGCATAAGCAGTCAGGCTTCCACAGCCGCATTCCCCCTCAATCTTGGACTTCAATGAGGCATAAATACCCCCCTCAGCCTTCTGTACTCCAAGTTCCCGTTCCCATTTGAATTTCTCCTTCATTTTGGCTCCTTAGGGGACTGCGGTAATGGACGTGTCTGATGATCTCTGCGATACTTGCCGGGCTGTCGACGTTGCCAAGTATCTCTCCCATAATGGCCCCATCAGCACGCCCATGGGATATTTCCAGGAAATCCTGAAGAACGAGCATTGCACGTTATGCAAGCTCATTATCAAAACACTGAGTGTCCACGCCAAGAGCTATTGGCGCCCGGGAAAGTACCCCAGCGAGATGTGCTATCTCGGTAGGCTCAACCGCGGTCCGTTCCCAGCAGAAATCGAAGTATGGTTCCATGCAACATCCAAGACTCTTCCAGACGGAATCTGGGGACACTCCACAGTTCTCGGCAGGATAAAGCGTGTTGACAGTGTTGAGCCGCGGGTCTTTGAGCGACTCAACTACTCGCTGATCAGGAGCTGGATGCATGATTGTGCAGCTCAACATGGACCAAAATGCAATCCGCCCGGTCCTAGCAGAGACTCTCTACCTCTACTACTACTCGATGTCAAGCGAATGCGGCTCTTTAAAGGCGCCCGACACTGTCGGTACTTGGCTCTTAGTTATGTCTGGGGCCAAGTGAAACAATTCCAAACGGTCAAGAGCAACTTCCAGCAGCTCCAACAGGACGGTGCATTGTTACGAGTGCGTGATCAGCTACCCCGGCTGATAAACGATTCCATTGCCTTTGTGGCGGATCTTGGCGAGACCTATCTGTGGGTTGATGCATTATGCATTGTGCAAGACGATCCCGAAGACAAGAAGCACTATGTTCCGCGGATGGATAGAATCTACGGCGAGGCCCTGATAACCATCGTCGCCCTGTCCGCACATGACGCTAACTGTGCACTCCCTGGTGTCGTCGCCGGATCCCGCACACCGTCGCCGTCACCTACGAAGCTGGGAACCCTGTTATTGGTCCCTGAACCCCGAAGCCTTGGTGCTGCGATTGAGTCGTCTACATGGCGAAGCCGAGGTTGGACATTCCAGGAAGGAATGCTCTCTAAGAAGCGCTTATATTTCTCCGACTGCCAAGTTTACTGGCACTGCTCTGGGTCTTATTGTTTGGAAGATGGAGAAGCACATACAGGAGGACAGCTTTCGAATTGGAACATACAACCGTTAGGACGGGACGTCAGCAACGACCCCAGAACGAGGTTCAACGTCTACGAATCACTGGTCAAACAGTACAGTCGACGGACACTGACATATGCGTCGGATTCTCTGAATGCATTCGTTGGCATCCTGTCCGCAATCGAGGACTCGTTTGGATGGCGATTTGTGAGCGCTCTACCAGAAAACCTTTTCGATTTTGCTCTCCTGTGGTCACCAATGTGGCAAGGCCGACTGCGACCAAGGGAGCCACTAGGTTCGGCTTGCAACTCACCGACCTGGTGCTGGACGGCCTGGGAAGATAACATTTACTGGGATCCTTGGCGGCTTGACTCTTACGTCGGAAAGCGTGTGAGGCTCAAGTCAAAAGTGAAGGATTTCATCATCATAGACAGGCTTGGGGTGCGCAAGATCGTCCGAGAGAATCCTAGTCTCGGAGAAGATCTCCCTAGTTCTTTGCCAGACCTGTCTGAGGCATCACAACTTGCGGAGCTGAACGAAAACTCTAATTGTGCACTGGTCTTTGAAGCTCCTGGCCTGAGGGCTGATATGTACACAATCTCATCACCCCGTCCAGAATTGTCCACATTACCTCGCCCCTTCTCAGACTCCTTCACCAACACGTTACGCGGCCAACTTTGGATCTATGACACAGCAGGGCATCATTGTGGGACACTCAGGGGGATTGATTCATGGAAACCTTGCTCAAATTCCGTTTATGAGTTTGTCCTACTATCGCGCGGTGACCAAGACAAGATTATTCAAGCAGATGTTGAAATCTATCGCGACCACCTACCCCCGGAGTACCCCTCTGCTGATGAATACTACGAAGAGATCTTTGACATAAGTATTTACCAGCATAGCAGTTTCTGGGCTCTGAATATCATGCTAGTGGAGCGAAAGGGAGATTTGTCACAGCGGCTGGCTGTTGGACAACTGCATGTCGATGCTTGGGACTCAACCAGCCAGAAGACGAAGAGGTTCTTTCTTGTTTAGGGGTCAACTTGAGGATTTCTAAAGTGGCTCACCAACTGATGATGGTGTAGTACAGTACCAACTTACGAGGGCTCATTAGACAAACGTTTGCTCTTAAGCTATGAATCACACCTTATGATAGGGACCATCCTAATAGACAAGGCCTTAAGTGGGAATCAGATTGTATCAGACTCCTTCAACTCAAGGACCAGCACCTCTGGCCCCTTTGGAATAATCAACGGACCCGTAATCCCCAGAACCCGCTGCCTTGAGTCTCCATATCCCTGCTTGTACTTCTCAATCCAAGGAAACGTCGTCTTTTCAAAAGCACCATGCGTCTTCTCGCTCTTGTCCCAATACAACCTCCTCAGCCAGAGATGCAGGTTCGGGTAATGGTCTCTGATGGTCCCCAAATTGCACATAAAGATGGGGTTGTACGCAACGTCGAACCGGACAATGGTTGGGAAGAGTCGGATATCGGCCTCGGTGATGTTGTCTCCCAGAAGAAATGGTCTATCGTCGAGGATCTTTTCAAGACGGTCCAGAGACTGGAATACTTTGACCACATTCTCCTCATATGCGCTCTGCGAAAAAGCGAATCCACACTTGTAAACGCCGTTGTTGACAGTGTGATAGATCCATTCATTGATCTCGTCGATTTCCTTCCGAAGGTTCTCAGGATAGAAGCCGCCCCCAGGTCGATTAACCTCTCGGTCCTCCTCTGGAAGGAGATGGTCGAATTCTGTGTAGAGCATGCGGATGATCTCGCTCGATTCGTTGCTAACCATGGTGTGCGTCTTCTTGTCCCAGAGCACTGGCACCGTGTATCGCCCCACGTAGTTCGGGTTGGCTTTCAGGTACAGTTCCTTGATGGTACTGAAACCGTAGAGAGGATCCTTGGGAAGAACACCATACTTGACGGACTCGGGAGCGTCGGTAAAGAACCAGCCGTCTTTGCCCATGTGGAGTGAGTTTATGTAGAGATCAACAATATCTTCCAGTCGCTTGAGGCTTCGCACAATCATGGTACGATGGGACTGCTCAACTGTGAGCTAGTGACATGAGAGGGGGGATAGAGACTTACCCATGGGCATCCTGGACTAAGATAGAGGGCATATCGGCCCTTTTCCGCAGGGAATCTCGAGCCCGGCTCGTTTGAAATAAAATTCCGAAAGGCGCTTTCAGTTCGTTCAAAACCTCCACCCGCGCCAGGCTTATACTTGATGTGATCTTCCTGTTTGTCATCGTTAGCTTGGTCAGAAACACCAGCTCCAGCACCACATACCGAGTCGGCCATGGCGTACTATGGTATTACGGAACCGACTAGAGATGTAAAATATTCGGATAGGCTTTTTGGGGGGCTATTGTGTAAAGATATGATCCAGTCGCAAAGAAAGAGGGCCTCCGCAACTTTATTGATCTACTAGGATAACCGCGCGGCTGTCCGGAGGGGAAGAGTCACGTCATTGTCATCTTTGATCAATTGTCAGCAATCTGACAAATGTCAGCCCTAAGATCGATCGGATTAAATCATCATTACTTCAGCAAAGGTCCGGGGTGGGTTAACCGCGCGGCAACTCGGAGCGATCTTCTGGCTCAGTTCCCATCAAGGTCCGGGCTACAACTATAATAAAGAACAGATTGTCAACACATCATAACATCATGACCCAATGTTAACACAGTAGCCTCTCTGTGTTTATTCATTATTTAGATGTCTGCGCTGGAAGCAGGTCTGATTGCATCATCTGCCAGCGACGGTCGAGCTCCTCCCTGTCAACTTTGTTAGTTACTTTTCCACATGCAATGATTGGGGGCTCTATGCAAATGAGCTGCGGAGGCAAGATTGGTACTTACGTCGTCTGACGCCGCAGCTTGACTCCCCTCTCCCTACAAAAGAATAAGAACCGCCGCATAGTTCGATCGCGCTTGAAAGATGCCATCACATCGCCACGAGGCGCTCCTACCGACTCGTCCATCGTAACACTGACCTTGCGCATGACGATGTGGACGCGGAGCGCCTCAAGGTTCCATACCAGTTCCTCAATCTCGCCGAGGTTAACATGGAAGTTAATGTGAGCCTCAAGCAAACCCCGCAAGACAGGGCTGACATCCTTAATGACTTGGTGCTGGAAGCAGCTGGTTTGCTGAAGCCAGGTCCAATACTGGGTAACTGCCGCCGAGCTCGTGAATAATCGGGTTTTGACCTGGTAGAGGCGCCATTCATGCTTAGAGATTTTAGCACCACTTTGCGAGTCGGTGTCAGACCAGTGATCAGAATGGAATTCGTCGTGAAGCGGTCCGGAAGGCTTGAGAAGACTATCCAGTCTGGAGTCAATCTACTTGATTGTTACTTCATAAACGCTGGAAATAACTTGGGTGGTTCAGCCACTTACCATGGGCAAAATATCTGTGTACCCTCTTTCTGTTGCCTGTCGTCGGCATTCTTCTAATTCAACTCTCGTAAATCCCGGCTTTGAGGAGTAGAGCATTGATCTTGCAACTGAGGCCAAGTTCATTTTCAGGGCATTCAGAATGTCCCTGCTTTCAAGTTCAATGTTCCCCGTGGCTAAGAGCAATTCGATGATACGAGCCATGCTAGCATCGGAAGGAGGAGTTTGGGCATGGATCATGCTCTCAATAAGGGATCGGTCCGCAATCTTGTTGAATCCGTGTTCCAGAAAGTACTTGACTGAGGACACATCACCTTTGGAGCAAGCCATTCGCAGAACGTTTGTATGATCGCGATTCAAAAGACGATCATGAAGCTTTCCAGATTCCAGAAATAGCCTGCAGATCCTGTCGTCACTTTGCCGACAAGCAAGGTCAAATGCCGTGCTAAGTTCAAGGTCGATTCCGTTGAGCTGAATGTCATTCTGGGCGAGGAGTAGTCTTGTCGTTTCCAACTGACTTTTCCTGACGCTCGCATGTAGTGCGGTCCCTGTTTCTCGTCTCAGCTCATAATTGACATCCGCACCCCTGTCAAGCAGCAGTTTGCAGACTTGAACATGGCCGTGCCGTGCTGCAAGATACAAAGGTGTAAATAAATAGTTCCCACCTGGGACGGAATTGGCGGGCTCTCCTGCATTTAAGAAAGCTGTGACAGCTTCGATGTCCCCGGATTTCGCGGCATCGCGTATGTTTCGGTAAGATTTCTGCCGCCTTTTTGGAAACTGAATGGATTTGCTGTTGTTCGAATGCCACTGCTTTCGATGGATATCTAAGCTCGTTTGGGAATCGAAACCAATGCCAGAGGTGTGGCATCCATCTTCATTGCAGATAAATGGCAGCTCGTGGCGATTGATGTGTCTCTGGCATTCCTTGAGGTTTTCCAAACCACCTTTGAACAAGTCACACCAAGGCTTAGAGCATTTTAATGTCGTGAGGGGGCCGTGGAGGAACTCGAATGACTCCCTTGCTTCTGTGGAGGAGGCGTCCTGTTGAAGATGCTCAATCTGTTGGCGAATCATAGTCGTACGATATTCAATGTTGAAACACTCATTCCTGTCGCGTGCGTGTTCTGGAAGGCCCTTGAAAGCTTCCATCAGCTTCGCGACAGTGTTTTCTCCATGACGCCAGTCCATTTCGCTTAGCTGAGCGTAAGACTCAAGGAAGCGAGCCAGTGCAGCTGTCACTTGGTCTCGTTGAGTTGGATCTAATGTGTCGTACGCTTGCAGACACATCTGGCTGTGATCATACCAGAATTGTACAGAGTAATCTTGCAGAGCATAGTACCCTTTGATCGCCCAGGATGATATATCCTTTGAATCGATACCAATCTTGAAGGGATCGGATGTAAGATATCGGAGACAAAAGGTTGAGACATTGACGGCTTCCGGGAAGAACAGAGTCGCGTGCTCCTCCAGCAGATACCTATAGCAAGACTGTCAGTATATTTCCAATAGTTGCAAAATTTACATACATCCGAGCTGACTCGTGCACAATACGAACCAGGTCCTCAGAGCCTGTAGAGTCTCGAGAGCAACGGTGAACATCCACCAACGCGCCACATACATCCTTGCCAGTGCGTAGGAGGCGATCATCGTAGTCCACGTTCCCACTAGTCGAGTCAATGCAAAAGAAGGCCTGTATTTCTCTCCAATGCAAGATCCTTCTCGCATGGATTACCAACCCAAGCAGCTTGATTGCGTCTTCACGTTTCGCTTTTGGCGCTTGGTCAATGACACGGGCGAAAACTCTCTGGTAGCTGGGGCAAGAAAACGATTAGTTCATAGTTCTTGTCTTCCTTTAACTCCCGTGTTCGTGTGTTCAGACGGACTTACGCCTTTTCTATCCCTCGGGGAAAGGTATCTGCCTGAATTTCACGCTTCAGGCCCGAAAGCCGAGTCTGGCCAAGTAGGTTTTCCAATACCACTCGTGCATATAGAAACATACCTTGGGTCATATTCAGCATGTTATAATGGAGAATCTCCGGGGGGCATTGACTTACCCTTCGCTTCGTTTGTCACAAGTGAGAATATTCGCTCTTTGATGTTCTGAGCCTCTTCTCCATCCGGAGAAGACTTGAAGAACGTCGCTGCGATTTCCTTGCAGCGTAATTCGCAATACCTTCGTATGTCCTCATTGTGTGCAGATGTTTCCAAGGAAATCGACGGCTGCTGAACCAGCTTTGCATCCAACACACCATCGCGCTGACCAGAGAGAATAATTCGTAGATCAGATCCCGAATTTCTCAACTTGTCATCGATCAGCGAGAGAGACCAATTGAGAATATTCTTGATCTCTTCGTTGGCGCACTCATCCAATCCATCGAGAACAAGGTATAAATTGGTGTAGCTCTCGATGGCCGTCTCGACGAGCTTTTCAAGTTGAGCAGTGGTTCTTAGGTTGACGCCCTCAAGTAACGACACCTCGTCGAAAAGGTGGTCAGAAAGGGCTGGGTTCTGGCTTAGAAGCTGCTCCAGAACCGCTCGTAGCATGGCGTTGTGCGTCTCATTTTGTCGATGCTTGAAGTAGAAATAGCCGACAAAGCTCTGCCCATTGGGAGCAACCCTTTCGTGAAGAAGTCTTTCAATCACAGTAGACATGAGGATGGTCTTTCCTGTGACAGGGTTAGCATATTCCATACCTACGAACAGTAGCACATAGTCATACCAGCGCCGGGCATGCCATTGATGTACAAGATCTTGGAGCTAGAGGATCCGCCATGTAACCATGCCTGAAAGGTAGGGTCGTCAAAAATCCATAGGCCTGACGTGCTACCATTTCTGCGCTCTGCTGACATTTCTTGATCGAGTTGGTAGTTGGGACTTTGCAGTTTCTCTTGAATCTCGCGCATTCGACGTCGACGGTTTTCGCGGTCATTCATGGTTGCTTGGGCATTCTGCTCTCGTTGAACGTTGGCGATGTCTTCACGAAGATTCTGAATTGCATGGAGTGTTGCTGATCCTTTTTCCGATTCAAGCATTTCCCTCTTCCTTGCCAGGCTTTGCATGATAGGACCGAATTTGGTCTCGAACGTCTTCCACGTAACAGTGAACAAGGTTTTCCATCCTATTACCCGTGAGTAAAGTATAGTCATAAGCAGGGGGGCAAAGGTTAGTCTCACTTGGTCGTCTGAAAACTGCGATGGCCTCGCTGTGGAAATTCAACACATCTGAGTAGTAGTCCTCAAGTACCTTGGCTAGCGGCGGATGCCTCTCAAACGTATCTTTGTAGTGGAGTAGGCCTGGAATGGCGTCTCCAATCCGAGAGTATGCGTCGAGCAGCTTATCGAAAATGGAGAAGAATGATTTTGTGATATAAACGCAAAGTAAGCATCCAATTTTCTATCGTCGACGAAGTGCTCACGGTGAGAAGAAACTTGACCGGGCCCTTCTGAATATTAGCCATGATCTATGTAAAAGGTAGACGATGGTATTACCCAGATGAAGCAAACAAGCTCGCTTGCATTCAAGAAGACTTCAATGACACTCCCGAGTTGCTCCATCGCCTCAACGAAGGCTTGGAGCCTACCCATTGCTCGAAGAGGGCCTTCTCTGGCATCTTTATCCTGGATATCTTGGATGGTTCGATGAACATCCCTCAAGGTACAGGCTGAAAATTCTTGTTGTAGTGATGGATCGATGGTTGCCTTGAACCTCGTCAGGGCTCTGCTGAAGCTTTCTGGATCTGGGCCTGCCATGCTGGCCAGAGTGATTCTTTTTCAATCCAGTTGAGGCTGATCACTGGATCTCAGATTTTCAGACAACAAAGATGATGGATGAAAGAGGATGGATGAACGATTTTCTCTCCGTCAGGCTGAGGAGAAATCTCTGTTTTTTGGTGGAAAAAGCCCGTCAGCCCAACAAGCCACAAATAAGGCAGACTGAGGGGGCGTGTTTTGCAGTGAAGGTGGCAGTTCTCAAATTTGATTTGCAGATGGCAATATGCACCACCACAAAGATGAGACAGGCATAATTTATGCTGCATGGGCTGCTGGTTGGGCGTTCTCGGTGCGACAATTCTCCCAATGAGGCGCAAGCCTGAGGCCGCCAACTCAGCCTGATGAAAATCCTTGACGTCTCTGTCCGTACAGTGAATTTCCCCTCGCAACATACACCACAGTCCATCTTATCGATGCTACACTATGAACTCGAAGCGGCCCCTTTTGGTCACAGACGAGCCTATTTTTGATGGCCCTTCACAGCACTCATTCTCTCTTGCCGATGCCCATCTCGATCAGTCGACGCAGAAAATATGTTATGGTGCGGTACGTGTGTCACAATGAGCGTCAATGGCCTTCAGCTTCTAACGCGGGACCCAGCTGGAAGGCGGAATGGCTCAGACTTTGCGCCGTAGGACAGCGATAGGGAACTTGCAGATATCCAGCAGCTCATCATTATACTCCTTCTCAATCAAACCCAGCGGCGAGTATTTTGTTCTCATGACAAATAATCACACTGAGTTTGCGGTCTTAGATATGGCAACTATCAACAAACTGGCAGCGTTGGAGGATATGGCCCTCATCCATTTTGAAGCACTGGCCGAGCGCAGCCAGTTTTCGAAGCGTCAGAAACAAGAACGCAACGCGGCGTCGAAAGTTTTCCCAGTTTCGATCAATGTTTTTGGTCCAAAATCGGCTGCGCCTGAGGTGGCCGCCCGACTCACAAGGCTATCGGGCTATCTCCAACATCCAAGAGCGCTGCCTCCGACCGTGGAATACCATAACGCACAGTTCTTTCGTTTTCCTGGAAGCATCGCTAGCGAATCAAATATGAATGACTTCGTCGGGTTCGGAAGTGCCTTATCCCTGGAGCGAAAGACCAAGATATCTGCTGAGATTCAGAACGCGCTCGACTCGATATCCAATGTGACCGCGGAAGGCGATTACGAATCTCCTCCAGGTCTATTGTCTAAGCTGACAAAGTCAGTATGTTTGGTGCATTATGATGCAGTAACGGCTAATTCTGGGCAGATACCAGGAGGATGGTGTTCGATTTATTCAACAACGAGAAACTCAATCTGTGAGCCTGTGCTTACAGAACGAAATGCATTTGGCAACTTCCAAGAGGTATGCCTATACCCAGATATCCGCAGGAAAGTCTTTCTAATAGCAAGACCATAGCCAGAATGAGAGCAACCCTCGATCCTACGGAGGCATTATCGCTGACGCAATGGGCCTTGGGAAGACCCTCACTCTTCTGACTGCGATTCTGCATTCTCTGCCGACAGCAGAAGTTGACGCGAACTTCAATCATGAAAATTCATCTACATCCAAAGAAAGAAAGAAACGTACAAAGGCTACATTAGTGGTTGTACCATCTGCTCGTCCGTCCCAAAGCACCTCCTGTTTTCCATCACTGACTGGCATTAGAACTACTAGACAGTTGGATTTCAGAAATTCAGAGGTAAGGTAGCCGGCAGAATCATGACAAAACTCTACTAATGCGGGATAGACATTTTTCTCCTGGCTCGCTGAGTTACCTTGTCTTTCATGGACCATGTCGACCGCGCGATGTTATATCCCTTGCGTCAGCCGACATTGTCTTTACCACGTATGCGACGATCGTCGCGGACAATGTCGGCGAAGGAATCCTTCCCTCCTTGGAATGGTTCCGCATAGCGTTAGATGAAGGTACACGATTAGTCCCCTCTTTAAAGGCCCTCTTTTCCGTCATGGATAGACGATGCCGTCGTTTTGTTTCTATTGTTGTGAAAGCAAATGCTAATTACTGGTTCAGCACACTGGATCAGAAACTCAAGTTCAAAGCAATTTCGCGCCGTTTCGAGTCTCTCTGCAAGTCGACGATGGTGCCTCACTGGAACTCCGATTCAGAATAGGCTAGAAGAACTTGCCTCACTCGCAGCATTTCTCCAGCTTTCACCGTTCGCGAGCAAAGCCGAGTTTCAGAAGCACATTCTCACACCGCTTTGCGAAGGAGGTCCCGACTTTTCGAAACCATTCAGGAGGTGGATTCAGGCGTACTGTTTGAGAAGAACTGAGAAGCATCTCAATCTTCCCCCATCTTCTGAGCACACTCTACGTTTGACCCCCTCGGCTGAGGAACAATCCCTCTTCCAAGATATCCGTGACCAGACAAGACGAGAAATTGATGATCAAATCAGCAAGGCCAACTGCTCAAGGAAGCACAACATCCTATTCACGGCTTTGTTAAGAATGCGCATGTTTTGTAACCGCGGAACACTCGCATTATCTACGTCAGGATCACTAGCACCCGTGGGACGTATCATCGGGTGTGAACGATGTTCGTCTGTTTCCGAAGATGATGCGATTTTGTTTGAATCAGTGGCTTTTTGCCCAGACTGTGGTCGACCACTCCAGTTGTCGAGTCCTATTTCTGAGGGGGCGCTCAGTCCGAGGGGAGACTTGAAGATGCGTCCTGATCTAACTTTTCAAGGCAGATCACTTAGGCCTCATTCAACGAAACTGTCCGCAGTGGTTGAAAACATTGCAAGATCTAGCGTTGAGACAAAGCAGTCAGTTGACCCCCTGGTGTGTGTTGAACTTGCTAATTAACGACTCTCCCAGCATTGTGTTTTCGTACTGGACATCTACCTTAGACGACATGAGACGACTTTTCGAGGCTGCCAAAATTGACCATGTCCTTATAGACGGCCGTACAAACTATTCAGAGAGATCGAGGCGCTTGAAGGCATTCAAGGAGGATTCGCGAATAACTGTCCTTGTGATGTCTATCGAAACAGGCGCCGTGGGGTATGAGGCTTCTCTAAACGATCTAATGCTGTCGGACTTGAGCTAACTTTTCCCAGATTGAACCTTACCGTTGCAAACGTTGTTCATATTGTCGAGCCCCAATGGAACCCTTCTGTAGAGGCACAGGCAGTCGCTCGGGCTTTGCGAATGGGTCAGCAAAAAGCGGTCACCATTTACCGGTACATAATGAAGGGCACTGTAGAGGAGGTGAGTATCTCTGTGTGATGTTGTTCTACATGCTTTCAGATCGCAAGTCATTAACGAAAAGTAGCGCATCATCGAACTGCAAGAAAGAAAGAAGAAGTTGGCCATTTTCGCGTTTGGTACAGAAGATGGTAGCAATATAGATGAGAAGCTAGAGGTAGGCACTCGCAGTTCGCGGATTCCTGATGCAAAACTAACATAACATAGGATCTCAATTTCATATTGAACACAGATCCCATGGAGGAGTAGTTCATGTAGTTGTGGTCTCACGGGGTGATTTAACCGCGCGGCAACTCGGAGGGTTTGGAAGCATCCAGTTGCCCCAAAGTATATATCTTCACTTACAACCAGACTTGTCTTTTCAGAGGTCTGTTCTCAGAGCCACGGTTCAAGGTGAATGTAGCTGCGGTTATTGTTCAGTTGCCAAGGTTCCAAGACCTAAAAACTCATTCATGTGTCAAGCGACTATGCATCCACTGGAAAGCGTCAATTCATAACGAGGTATGCCTCGAACAAATAATACCCTATTTGCCCACCGCGAACTGTGCGAGGAGCCGAAGTTTGCCCATGTGGCTGAGTTATGCTGGTATCCGTGGTGAGTTGTCCGATGGCCCGATGGGCCTAGTGCTCACGAATCACTAGCCTGGTTATATCGCAATGGTTTCCCGATGCAGTATAAGACCCTGAAGTCATGGATCGTCTAAGAATAGACCAGACAGGCCACAGGCAAGGATGTCAGCTTACATGCAGATGGGGATGGAAAGAGCCCTGTAAGTTCCACGTGACATGTTCGAGGCAGCAACTGTAGTCATAGTCATGTCATGGACAGTTGTGAATCCATCACGCCCAATCGTCTTCCAATATCTCTGCATTTGCGCCTGGCTATGGTTTCTAATACATTTTGCCTCTTTCCCAATCTCCCCAAAGAGATCCAGGACCTGATTTGGAATGCCGCTGTGCGCCCTATTCCAGGCACGCGGCATGTGCACCGGTTCATGGTCTTGGGGTCTCAGGAGCCAGACCACAGTTTCTCAGGCCATCTTCTAGATTTTACACGGTTTGGCATCACTTCTACGGAAGATTGCAACTTGAATGATCAAAAAGAGGATGAGGTGGATTCATCTGGTGAACAGAGCGGCTTGACCGAAGAAGAGAAGGAAGATGTTGTCTCACATGAGGTGGCTCCGTCCAAGACACTGGTTCCTGGTTGCTGTTACCTCGCCATACCACATGACGCCTTGGACGGTGGTCCTAACGACTCTGTCTACGCTCTAGATAGTGGCCTTTGGACGGCCTGCAAGGCCTCGCGGGCCGCCATGGAAAAGTACTTCACGAAGAACGAGTGGTGGTCAGAGGCTGAATGCGAAAATGCCCCAAAGCGGCTCGCGACCTGCGGCGACTACAACCAAGAGAGGGGTGTTACTCACACGGCGTCGTACAAGAACAGCGACGGTGAGTACACACACATCACGATAGATCACGACAGTGATCTTTTCTGTCTGGACTCCCGGTACTTGGGCTCTCTCGACTGGCTCCAAAACCTCCGATCCTCTGTCCGACACTCCACTCCCGATTTCCCAGCTTGCATGGAAGAGTCCGAGGATGGGGATTTGGTGCCAAACCCCAGCTTCCTGGGACCCAACATCGCCATCGACTATGACCCCTATATGTTCGATCAATGGCTCCCAGCCAGCACGCACCTTAGACGACCAGACGTGAAGTGGAACGCCATGGGTCTGAGCCACATGATGGAGCTATTCCACCACCAGGCAAAGAGAACGCTGTGGTTCATTGACTACAGACTTCGATCCATTGATTCACATTACGCAAGCCGTGAGATCTTGTCTGGAGAGTCTGTGCTGCGTTCATCTGACGGTCAGGAGCGAGCAATCTTTCGCTCCAACGAACTGGTGCTCATCGAGGTGAAGCCGGATGACAGGGATAAGTGGTACATGGACACATCGAGCTACGAGTCACGAGGCGCCAGGTACACAGCATTCGACTTCTTTAGGCTGTTGGCCAGGTCTGGATATGGGAACTTGGAGATAGATGGGTTTCGTCGACTGCGAGTTCTGGCGTGTCAGGCTGCGCCGGGCAAGACCCTTCGGCCAAGGCTGTCGGACGCGGTTGTATGCCCAAGAGATTCGTCGTGCAAGGTTTGCGGTCAGGCAGATTCATGGTGCTTAGTCGTAAATAAGTCGGCGGAGGCAAAGGCAGCTGGATAGCAGACGAAGAAAGCATCGCTGTGTGATTTGTTTGAGGGGGATTAGTCAGTTAGAAAACAGCTTCATACAAGGATCCTTGATCCAAAGAATGTGGCATAAATCTCAATCTCAATCTCAATCCTTCTTGACCAAATTCACCGCCTCAATTGCCGACCCAACCGATGACAGGCAGGATTAAATGGCACGACTCCCAAGACGTTGGGTCAGGTACCAACAAGAACAAGAAGGATTCGCCATCTCGTCCCTGCAATTAACCTCGCCCAGCCCTATAGCGAGGCCCCGTTCCTTCGCTGTCGCGGTTCGCGAGGTCGCTCGGCCCTCGCTCTGCCCCGCGACTCGTCGGCAGAGCGTCGATCGACCCCACAGGGCTCTGCAGGCCAGTGTCGCATCAGATACACCAAGGAAGCGGGCAGGGAAGAGGCTGACGTTGCTTTCGTAGATGAGGGAGCGAATTGTAACTCATGGTTACAATCAATTGTGCATATAAACCTCAAGATGTCTCCAGTTTAGCAGTAGGTCAATCAGCTCATCCTCATCAACTCTCACATTCACACTTGCACTCAAACACATTCCAATACCTTCATCATGGTCCAATTCTCTTTCAAGTCCTCCTGGGCTCTCCTTCCTCTCCTCGCTTCCCAAACCCTGGGGTGCGGCCCCATCGAAAGAGCCGACAATGACACCTCAGAATACCCCAAGAACAACCTCGGCAGTGATGCCGCCTCTGATCCCGCCACCATTGGTTACAACATCAACCACCTCTGCCTCAATGTCAGAAATCTGACTGCAAGCATGGACTTTTACTCTCGCGTCTTTGGCCTCCGCGAGCTCTTCCACCTCGAAGTCACAGAGAGCTACACCATCGCCTACATGGGTTACAGCCACGGCGGCAAGAACGGAACAGGCTACCAGACGGCATTGGAGCTCAACCGGGAGAAGAACAACGCCCAGGGCCTCCTCGAGCTTATATACATTAACGTGCCAGACAACTACCTCCCCTCATCCGGCGAGTCCCCTAACACCTTTGGCCACGTCGGCATGATCGTCCCCGACATTGAAGCCGCCCAGGCACGTCTCGACACCTTCCCCGATGTCCGAGTCCTCAAGCGCACAGGAGAGGCACTCTCCTTTGGTACTGAGATCGGCAATGCTACCAGCCTTTCCCCAGCTGTCGTGGCACAGCTCAAACCTGTGGAGCAGGCTGCTCTGATCAAGACCCTGAGCCAGTTGAACTCGGCTCTCATCTACGTGACTGACCCCGATGGAAACCTGGTTGAACTTCAGCCCCAGGGCTAGTGGCTTCGCGTTGGAAGCTCTTGGTATGGTGTTGACTATTTACATTCTGTACATGTTTAAGACTTTGAGGGGCACATGATTGTTTGTGTCTAATGTATTTTACTTCTTTGGACGGACATATTTGTTAGAATTTTGATGAATTGTTATGCTTCGAGTTTTAACGAGTTATTTCGATGATCTACGTGTAGTTCTTGAAAATATCATCTTATCAACAGGTCAAAGTCGTGTCCCTGATACTCTTCTCTTTCTCTAAAAACACTCCAAGTCACAATAGATATGAAGCAGCAACAAGGCCCATCTTACTCCGTGGACATCCATTTCCACCTTCCTCCACTGGCTAAACTCTCAAGCAATCGATTCGGCTTGAGTTTTACCCTGTAGCCAATACTTCGAAAGCCAGTCTTCCAGAAAGGGTCACAGATGAGGAATGAGATTGACACATCTGAAGAACACCAAGTCTCTGAATGCAAGAAAAGCGGATTTTGACGTGCCGTGCGCGTCCAAATGAAAGGATTTACAATTGAGGATGAAGGATTTGTGTTTCGGCCAAGCTAGCCGACTCCTTTGGGGTCCCTTCATCTGTTAGTAGCCCATGCGTACTCCTTCTGCATGAAGGAGCTGCGTCCGTGCCTGGGATTTTGTGATAAAATATGCCAAGCTCATGGTTCTTGCAGAGCAGTGAGTTGTCGTCTTTCGGCGTCGCACCTCATCCAAAGGTGTAAGCCAAGGTTCAGCCAAGCGGTCCTCTTTGACACCCTCGACGTCGTTGTCAAAGCTCATATTCAGTAACAGATAGAAGGCTCATGGCCCCCAGTTTGTCATTGTGTCGCTTTGGGGCTTTTTGGAAGAATTGGCACGTCCCTTGTAGACGCCATCGAAAAGCTCACGTACTGTCTCGTCGTAGGAGGGAGTCCCATACCATGACCTCCACGGGCCTCTCCCCGTGCACGTCAGACGACGAAGAAACCAATTCGCCATCTACGTTTCATTAATTCTTAGGTCAGTGACAGTATCAACACAATGCAAAATAAGGCGCCCAATGTGCACCTTCCAGGTCCAGCGCCGAGCTTGGGGCCGGGCATCCTGACGAGTTCCAAAAGTGTCGTGCTTTACCAACCCATCTTGCAGACTTGAGTTCTTTGTCACTCGCTATTATAAACCACGAACAGTCCATGATTTTTACCCGAGTGCGTCTGTATCTTTACACAACGAGCTCCTGGCTCCCGCTGGTTCTCGATCCTCAACGAAGACTGAAGCCCACTGTTCAACCCAGCGAGAAGGCATACCCGCCAGCACCACCATCCTGAAGCAGCACACCGACCTGGGGCGGGCGTCCAGAAGAGGTGCGGAAGCGTGGTGAAACATAGTCGTCCGCTGAGTGCTGCCGGTCCATGTCAACAGCTAGTTGTAACGAAAGTAAACTCAGTTTGTTGTGAGCCCATCTTTGTGTGCGAGAGATGTGCGAGTAAGGTAACCAGAGATTCGATGGAACCCAGCTGGCTTAACTCGACCGCAAGAAATTCATCACACTTTGTTGCAGTCCAAGATGTTTAGAAGGCCGTTCCTTGACCTTTTTCTGCGTTCCATATCAGTCTTTGATCAACTCCCATAGCTTCTTTCCAGGTGCGTCATGGAGGATTCCAATCCATGGAAACGATCGAAATGCAACCTTGACCTCTTCCCACGTCCTAATATTTAACTCTCCTGCCATCTCTCGTATCTGCTGGACAGGAAGCTGGTCGTAGTTGTCTTCAGGCAGCAACATGGCATAAACAAACACGATCCAGAACCACAGAGCGCGGTAGTCATCACCTCTCTCCAGCAAGACCTTGCTGTCAATACGCTCTCGAAGCAGTTTTTGCAAGAGCCCACAGTTGAGACCTCGCAGGAAACTCGTCGGCCATGTTATATTAGCCAAGAAGGTCAAGAGGCCCAGATGCCACATATCATCGAGCGGATCAAGGGGTCTCTTTTCACCCAGCGGTGCAAAGTCTATCAGACGCTGCCACAGCCAGATCAGGACGTCCTGATACTGTAGGCCCACCATCTTTGCTTTTCCAGGCTGACGGCACAACGCCAACATCTCTCGCGTCATGTGCCGTAGTGGCTCGCACATCTGATTCAGAGGATACCTAAGGATCCTCGCTGCTGTAGGTCCGGGTGTTGCTGCAGTGAGTCCTCCAACTCCATACCGTGTGCGAGCACCCAGGGAGATGGCAAGCTCAATATCAGTGCGAAGTACCTTGTGCAAAAGTGCACGATTAGACTCGCTAATTTCTGATAGTCCACCGCGGAGATCGACGAGGCGTTGAAGGCCGTCCAGATGCATGGAGCACTTGGGTGGATCTCGGATGAGTTTGGAATGGATGGCAAGGGAGATGATGATGGCGATAGTTGAATCTTGTGGAGGCGTAGGTTGCATGAGCTTGGGGTTAATGAGACGAAGAGTTTGTGAGAAATGGCGTGTGGCTTCGAGAGGTTCGCAGTCTGGTTTGCGGAAGAGGTTGAGGTAGGTTGCCACCATAGCGAGCAAGCAGTGAAGGACTATGAAAATTCTACCATTAGCAAGCGAATTCGGGTGACGAGACTGAGGGAAACGTACAGGCTTGGTCAGAAACCATGTATTTAAACCATGGTGATCCGACTTGTTCTGTTCGAGAACAAAAGAATGAGGGATAGATAGCATCGCAGACTGCTGTGTGAACTACTCTATAGATCAGTCGTTGCTCAGCCAAAGAGCGAGGCGCTTGGTGCTTACACTGATACACCATGTATCTCATCGACGGAGTAAACTGGATAGGAAAAGCAAAATATGTATACTCTTCCCCAGCGAACGGGCTCGACGGCGAGCCGAGGACATCATGAGGCACAATCTCTGGAAAGATCAACGTGCTTCCATCACTATCGACGGGTACATCTCGCTCCCGTCTAGCAACGACAAGTTCCTCAAGCTTCTCTTTCTTCTGGACACCCTCAAAGATCTTGGGCTCTTGCGCCGCAGCATGCTTACGTCCACGACCTTGGATAGTCCGCCCCAGGTTCTTGCCCTTCATGACATGACGGCGGATGGCCTTGCGGGAGCCTGGATCGCTTGCTGCATGACTATCGACAAAGTGGAACTTCATGACCACGTGAGTTCGGTTACAGAGGATGGAGAGATGAGGGACGTGGTATGATGTTGATGTTCAAGAAGGATGACGAGGCGCGGCGGTGAGATTGTGGCGAATCGCGTTTAAAGTCCGTAAACGCCGATACTGTGGAACGGACTGAGTGAGAGCCATCATGATGATCAATCATCGCCAACATGATGATAAAGTTGAAAATAATTATATAGAGATGAAAGATAGTATGAATAGTGATAATGGAACAACCGAGTTTGATGATGAGAGTATGTGAAGTCGATCGATAGACGAGTTCAGCATCGGCAGCGACGACAAGGACACGAAGGACTTGAGTTGAAATCCAGTCTTGATCGGTTTCCTAGATTAATTCAGTGAATGAAAGACTGTTTCTCTCATATCTGTCAGTCAACTTTCTTCCACGGAATAAAGCCTCAAGTTATTAGGGACATTGTTGCATATTGATTCTTGGTCGTCATGGCCGACATGGACAACCCGACAAGACAACAATGCCAACAACAACAATCAAACCCTCCAAAACGCGACAGAAAACGAGAATCCCTTGACCATGTCGACTTGATGAAAGAGGAGGAAAGCTCTCAAACCTGGAGCAATCTGAGAATTCCCTCAGCCGGCCCCTGAGCCATATCCTCGGCCCAAGATAGACGCTATTCCGAGGACTACCACGGTAATCACCCAGCCTTAGCCGCCAACTTGGCCCCCGGTAAAATCTCACAGAGGCCTCTCCAGCCGGATATCCATGTCCCCCAACTTGCCTGCTCGCGATGCCTGATTCTCCTAGGTTATCAAAATGACACACCGACACTGGTCGATAGGATGATCACTTGGAATCAGACAAGATTTTCCAACAAAGGCAAAACCCGCTTCTCCATAGCGTCGCCACCGGCGTTCATGAAGCCGGTGTGTGTGGACGGCCTCAGCGCAACGCGATGGAGGCAAATGTAACCGCTATTGGGTTTTTGGCGTTCTTGCATCGGCATCGCCAAGTGTCTAGAGCCTGACGAGACCAGAGGGCCAGACCTGCATCCCCCATGTCCGTAGCAGATGGTGTGGAGGCTTCTCTTCGAGATGATTTGACTATTGGGGAGGGGGCTTACTGCGTCTCGACGAGGTTCCTTGGTTTGTTGGCTGCCTCTAGGAGGGGATCGTCCCATTGTGGCCCTCCTGTAGCAGAGGCGCAACCCCCTCTCGCTTGTGCCGCTATCCGCTTGATGCCGCTCAGTCCGGGGATGAGTTTGGGGCAGCAGATAGTCTGCATCTCGACACTTGTCGAGTTAGATCCAGACTGTTTCCCCCCCGGACTCGCCCTTGACGCTTCCCCGACCTCTAGTCGGTGCACCCCAACATCCAACCAAGCCGCCGCATGGGGCGCATATCGATGATGCAGCAGGCCCTGTGAATGGCTGAGACGGTCCGGAAGTTGAATTTCTCGTTGGGATGATGTGTATCGGAGCTTCACCGAGGAGGGGATCGTCATAGGCGGCGTAGCCCAGAGTCAGGAGTATCAAGACAAAGGATGAACCGAAACTGGACCGAAAATGCCTGTGGGAATGCTCCATGTCTCCGTCTATATCAACCATGATTGGGGAATTACAACCGAACATAGCCAAGGTCCGACAGAGCATGTCTACGAGACAGGGCTGGAAGAGTAGCCGCGGGACATGACTTAAGATTTAGACGTCTGCCACTAAAAATGCCAGCGAGATAATAACTCAGGGAGAGCACAGAAGCACAGGACACCAGCCTAGGAACGGGTGGCAACCCTCCCAGGTTGTGAGAGGCTGACGGCCATGTGCGAGCTGAAAACCATGCCTTGTCTTGGGGGGCCTGGTCTGGGTTGAGGGAGTCAACTAGCGAGAGGAGAAAAGACTAACGGGGTCTCTCTAGGGGTTTGGGGGTGGCTTTGAGCTAACGAGTGAGGAGAGAAAAAGGAGGGGGAGATGAGAAAAAGGCGGAGAGGGTGATGGTGTGCAGGGAATCTTTGGTTGACCGCAGTTTGCGCCCAGAGGAGAAAAGAAAGAGGGGGAAGTTCGAGACGCAATCCAATCTCTCAACAACCCAGGGCGCTCCAAACTAAACCGACTTGGGGGAAATTTCCCGGCGACAAACGAGGTTGTCCTCCGCAAAATCTAGATTTCACTTCTTTGATCACCCGCCTTGTCAAAGGTTGTCTCAGGCCATAGGCAGCACCGGCTCCTTCGGATCAGAGCCAAGACCAAGGTGCTGGGAACGACTCCAATTTCAGTAATACATTGGCAGGGTTGGATATCATCAAGGTTGAACAAATGGTTCGATTCAAGACATCGCTTCGGCACCGAGAAAGAGAAAAAAGAAACGAGAACGGCGAACGACAGCATCCACACACACGGACATTCGTGTTCGCCCATCCATATGCAAAGTACACATGCCAGAAACGTGGACATGGACTTGCGCGCACGCGAGGAATGATGCATCCTTGTAAGATATTGATGGTGTGTAGGCTTATCTCAACAACGAGTGTTGATGCGCCCTGAGCTAAGCAGGCAGATCGTAGACGCATCGCGGGCCATGCCTTGGCCACGTTGCTTATGTGCAAAGAGTCAAACTTGCAATGCATCAACGCGCATTGGGACAGAACATCCAACTCCAAAAGGTGGTGGTGGTGGTGGCGGCGCCATCCATCTGCCCGAGGCTGCCTAGCTGCATGCAAAAGAGAAGGAATAAAGAAGGATGGAAGCCCACAAGCGTGTAATCATGGATGGTGGTTGAGTGTGTGTGTCCGAAACATGACGGGATATTGCCAAGACGGCATGCGGATGAGAAGACGGTTGTTGAGTCTGTGCGTGTGGCATGGGCGGAATTTACCATGAACGGACACACGACGGAACCCGAGCTTTGAGGCCGACATCTACAATGTAGGGTAGCAGTGCATCTCGAGTCAACAAGAGATTTTGCAGGTTGGCAATAATGGAGGGGGGCTGTGAAACGTGGTTATGCGGGCACATCTCTTTTCAGGGCATGGGTTCTCATAGGTTGGGTAGTAGATGATCTGAGCATACAGTAGCGCACTATCAACCCTGATGATGCCATTTTGTGAATATCACTCCTCAGAGGCAAAGAATCGTCAAGAGTCAGAAACACCCCGATGGTCGGCCACTCAAGAGTCAGGCAGGACAAGTTTACGCACTCGTTTATCCAAACCATCGAGGTAATGCCAAGACACAAACGACCCAAAAGAGGCGCCTCGACCGGGCGCTCTACTCCAGCCCAGGCTCGCGGCCGCGCGCGTGAACCGGGATTACATGTGCGCGCCTTCGTACCCACAAAAGGGCTGCATAAAGAGGAGACCCGGGAATGGGATGCCGGTAGGGCCTGGGGTAAAAATAAGAGTGCGGAGTAGTGGAGAGCAGAGATACCGAAGGGGTGAGATTCGAGATGTAGATGCAGATTGCACATGGCCAGATGCTGCGAGCCAGATGGGCAGAGATTTCGGAGCCCGGTACTTGACTCATCGTCAGACCATTGTACCCACAGACCCGGCCCGCATGATATGGAGGCGTGACCTTGTGTTGACATGGTAATGGGCGGTTTCCCCCCATTTGGGAGAGACAAGACACGGTTGGCACGGGCGCGAGAGGGACCAGGGCAGTCTGGAGCATGTGCGACGAGATTTTGGGTCAGAGATGGTATCCAGTGTCTCGTATCTTGACAGTCGTATCTTTCATCACTGCTTGACTCGATAAACATGCCCTCTCTACTCCGTATCTCTCCTCTTGGACGCTACAAAGAGCGGTGGAGAGAGAAAGCCAGTGGGGACATTTAACCTTATCTCCCACCTTATTGAACACACCTTAATACGACGGCAAATGAGGAGAAGACGCAATGTGATGACCCAAGATTGGATCCCTTTGGAGTTTTGTCTCCGCTTTTCTCTCGGCAAAAAAAGCAAAGACCGGCCCGCTCAGGCAAGACAAGGTACCTTGTTAGGTGCTGCGTCAACGGGCGGGGGCCCTTGTACCCTCCATCATTATTTCGCCTTCTGTTGCCCTGTTTTGTCTTCCCCCCCCTTTTCAGAGTTTTTTTGTGGCCTTGGATTTTGGGGGAGAATTCTTTGTACGTAAAGCTTGTTTTTACTTTCCCCCGCTTGTAGCTTTGGGGGGGAAGAAGATGGAGGGCGAGCAACAGGAGCGAGTGCTGAGGAGAAAGGAGGTCGGTCACTTTGGAGAAAATGTTACTCTGACCTTGTCATTACCGAGGAAGAAGCTGCGGACGTGCGGAGCTTCTACAGGGTGGCTTGCCCTCTATTCAGGATATGTGAAGCCATCGTCATATGCAAAATAACAGAAGCATCAATACAAGGACAAAAGCAGGTTCCAGGCCAAGCCGGCACATCCAGACCCAGGGCTTTCCCCGGAATCTCAACTCGCCCCCTTTCCCCGGAATCTTTCAATAAATCTCTCTCGACCCCGGATTTTCCTCTGACGGACCCGGGAATCTACGGGGTCTGGGGCATAGTGGGAGCATGATTGCATCTATCTGAGCCCTCTCTCTGTGTTCTGCTGACCTTGGTTTTTGAGTGGAGGACAAGCCCCAGTTGTGGTCCGGTCCACTGACGCAGCAGGCCTCCAGGCTGTCTGAACCACTGGGAGCCTGGACATCGTGCGGGGCAGGGCTTCTGGGGGCGCTGGGCTCAGCCCCGAACTGGGGTCCTCCTTGAGCGGCACAGACTCAACTGCAACGACCAGGTCTCCAGGACTTTGCATTTAATCCTTCATCATTGATTGGATGCTTGCATTTTCAGGTTTCAGTGGGTTTCCCCCGCAAAATTGGTCCCCGGCCAATCTCATCTCGCACGCCAAGCCTGGGGTAGGAGATTGGGCTTACCAAGATCCCCCTCCCCAAAGCACCAACCAACCTCTGCCACTCTCTCTCACATCTTGCTCTCCTCCATTTCTCCTCGTTTTCCTCTCTCACCCTCTCTAGTCTCTGTCTTTATGCTTATTCCCTCACACCTCCCTCCAACTCTCTCATTCCCCTCATGCTCCCTCCTTTACAACACACTAACGTCCTTCGCCGCGTGTTTCCCATGTGGTGGCGCCCACTTCCCTCGGCGATCGCGCCGCCCGCTGCGAAAGAGAACAGACTTTTTTTGTTCCCTTGGAACAATCTGTCTTGACGCCAAGCGAGGGGTACCCGGCGCCCTAGGTCGAAAAGAGAGAGCTTCCATCCGGCCGATGTGAGCTACGGCTGTCAAGATAGCCGAGGCCGTTGAGGCATGCCCCCGACCATGGTGTAGCTTTGCGGTTGAGGCTCTTTCGCATTACCGCTGTGTTGCAGCGAGGCTACTACGTAGAAGCGCAGGAAAAAGCTTGGCCAGAGCGCGGCAGAGCAAGGAGCGCGGCGATTTTTTCCAAGATCTCGAATCTAGACTTTTGTCTGGGCATCTGCTGGGCACGTCCTGGGCATTGCTTGACATCTTGAACTCCCACCTTGGCAGAAAGCTGTCAAGGGAGATCAACATGCCATGCCACCTACACGGGCCTCTCGTACCATTCTTCCAGAATCCTGGGCCCAGCGTCACAAGCAGAAGCCCGTATCTACGTATTGATGCCCTCCTTCCCGACCGCCGAGCGCTGCACGACACAGGGATACCAAGAGTTCTACACGTGGGAGTATGTTCAATTGCGCCTATATGCAGCATCTTTTACGTCGTAGAGGATGCGTCGCCATGTGTCCCCATGCAACTCTGAGCATGTAAATCCGCCCTTTCGCGGCAAACGGCCACGAGACCCGTCGGGACGGACGGGGGATAAACGCCTCATCTGGCCATGTACAGACATACACAGTCTCGGTCAAAGGTGACGTTTGGGAGGTGACGTCTCTGGGGAAGGGGAAAGCTTGGTCGCGGAGGGGTGGCACGGCTACAGGGGCGGAAAAATACTGCGAGATGGGAGATGGGCGGCTAGATGGGGCAGGGCTCGTACCAGATTACGGATGCGCTGGCATCAACATGAGGCCATCACCTCGACTTCAGCTATCGGCCATGATACGAGTAGCTCACCGTGAGGGCGCGCCCACAAGGGACTGTGACTTATCTCATCGGTGACGACCCTTGAAAGAACTTCTTGTCTAATAATGGGACCGTGTTTCGACATGCATACTAATGACTGAAGAAGGGGGGAATTGTAAAGCTGACACTGATACTGATGCAAAAAGGGAAAGCCACACCGCAAGCGCATGTCTGTGGCAAACGTATTGCTTGGCCGATATGCTTGGGTCTGTGATGCACGGGGATTTTCCCTGTTGCGGTCGAGAGAGCAAAGGACCGGAAACGTGCCGCTCTCCATGTCCATGATCACCTTTCTCAAATGTCGAACCATACGTGGGAGTCAGTACCGACTTGGCGAACAAGGGGCGAACTCGTCAAGCTTTTCTTCCCATGTCGCAATCTTTCCGCGAGTGATTGACATGATTGACAAGACCGGACCATGTTTATCG